AGTGTGCAGAGGAAATACATAAAAATACATTTTAACTATACAGCAAGCGAGCAAACAGGCAAAAGAAGAAATTTAATTTGTATGTAGACGTACGGAATTAGAGGCGAAAAAGGAGAGAACGAGAATGAGTTTGAGAGGCATTTTGGATGGGTTTGGTGGAAGTTAGAGCGCATTTTCAGAGTCTGGATATTAAATTTACAGATTTTGCTACGTTGCCAGCTTTTTCATACTTTTGACCCAAATTTTGCTACGTTGCCAGGTTTGCTGATACTTTTGACCCAAATTTTGCTACGTTGACAGCTTTTCTGTTCTCTTTTGACCCAAAATTTGCTACGTTGTCAGTTTTTCTTATACTTTTGATCCAAATTTTCGTACATTGCCAGCTTTTCTGTCACTTTTGACCCAAAAATTTGCTATATTGCCAGATTTTCTGATACTTTTGATACAAATTTTGCTACGTTGCCAGATTTTCTGATACTTTTGATCCAAATTTTGCTATGTTGTCAGCTTTTCTGATACTTTTGATACAAATTTTGCTACGTTGCAAGGTTTGCTGATACTTTTGATTTTGCTAAGTTGTAAGCTTTTCTTATACTTTTGATCCAAATTTTGCTACGTTGCCAGCTTTTCTGTTCTCTTTTGACCACAATAGGGCTACGTGCATAACTTATATCAGCTTTTCTGCATAACTTACATCAAAATTGTACAAAATTTCATCCCATGACAAACTGCTAGCCCAAATCAACCCTAAACCTCTCTATTCTTAATCTTTCAGCTACACAATCCCGTTCATAGTATTCGTAAAATCCTCATCTGTATTAGTTAATTGGGGTGCACGTACATAATGAACGTCAAAATGCCAGGCACGGAGAATTCTTTTATATTCACATACAAAAAAAAAAACAAGTCAAAAAGGAACGAAAAGAGAGTGGAATAAAAAATATTTTACGTATTACAGCCGCCGCTGCTGTTTTGATAACGAATGAATGATATTTTTCACTCAGTTTTTGAAAGAAAAGGGGACGAAATCGAATAAGCAAACTGAATGGAACAACATACAAAAAATAGAGAGCGAAAAAAAGGAAATGAGAAATAAAAATTTATAATTCTTTTGGTGCCGTTGTGCTGCTGCATGCATGCCATCTGTCTTTGGTGTTTGGGTATTGTTAACTGAGAGGGATTCTATGTTGATCGTTTGGAAAGAATTCATACTGATTGAGAATGTTTATATGGAAAAGTTTTTATTTTCATTGAATTTTGGAAGGCTGAGCTTAATGTTGTTGATGTTTGTTGAGTTGTTGGTGTGTTTGTTGTTGGTCTTGTCGTTGATTTAAGCCTTTGGACCATACGCTGTTCAGCATTCAAGAGTGTCATTAAGGTGCTACCAATCCTTAGAGTCTCATATGCTTCTAATAAATTCCATATACAATAAAAACCTATCATTTGCCTCTTATATCCTAACCTTAAAAATGAATTCCAGCTTCTAACTTAACGTAGATGTAAAGTGCACCAATGTTCACCAACGCTAGCCTCTGAATTTATAAAATATCTAAAGGTTGCTTAAAGTTCAGAGAATGATGTAATAAAATTAGCACAAGCAGGCAATCGACAAAAATGCTACGTTGCCAAATTTTTCCGTTGTCCTTTCTAAAATTTCAGATGTTAAGTCGATATGGTGAGATCTGAAAAATTTCGTCTTTTTGATTTTTTGTTCAAAATGAGAAGCAAGTCATAATTAATTGCATGACTAAATTAAAAAAAGCTACGTTGCCAGATTTTCCTGTCAGAATTTTTGAAATTTACAAAACTATTAGGTTTTTAAGAATTTAATATATTTTCAAATTTTGAGTTTTTAAACATTTTTTTGTTCGTGGAAATTAATTAATAGCTTCACTAGTCAAAAATGCTACGTTGCCAAAATTCATTTTTTTGAAACATTTAAATTTGCTCATAGAATTTTTAACAAAATTGCCGCATTTGAATTTTGGTTATTAGAATTCCAGTTCAAAGATGCTAATTATTACGTTCATTAACAAAAGTGCTGCGTTGCCAGATTTTTTTGTTGACATTTTTAAAAATTATTTGAGTTTTCAATATTTTGAAGAATTTAGATTTCGAACCACTTATATAAGTTTGCATAAATTCCTAGTTTTGTATAGTAATTTGTTTTCTCAATTGGAGAAAATGCTACGTTGCCAGACTTTTCCTGGATTTCTATTAATATAGAAACTTTTGAATTTTAATGAATTTTATACAATTTTGACTAGTTTTAATTTTTTAATATGTAATGTGCTAGCTTCACGGTCAAAAATGCTACGTTGCCAGATTTTCAAAAATCAATAATTAAATTTTAATCATCCAGGAAAGTCCAGGATAATTCAAAAAATTCTTAAAAAAATTCAAACCCCCCAAATCAGGTCGAAAAACACCCCCAAAGCTGCCTATAATCGACCACTACAGTTGCATGCATGCCATCTGTCCTCCCTTCTTTCTCCTATCGCGAAGGATATTATTCTCAATTGATCGTATTACAATCTACATCTATGTGCATTCAGGGTATATCTCTGTGTACATACATACACTCAGGGTCGGTGTACCATCGCATGACGAATAAAAAAAATTTCTTCGATTTTTCTCTCTTTTCTTTTCTATATATTCAGCCTTAGTGCTTACATTCTCAATTTTTTTTCTTTACTGTTCTGTATGTTTGCCTGCTGGTAGAGCCAACAACAATGTTTCTAGAGTCAACCATTCTCTCACGTTTTCATATATAATATAAATGGATTTTATGGTTCGTGAGGTTTTATTTCATTTCTTTTTTGCTGTCTTTTTTGTTGCTACTGAGAGGAACTGACTGCTGAGAGAGAAATTATAGTCGTGAGAATGTAAAAAAAAAAGTTTTGTGCTATTGGGGTCGAAGATTTAACAAAAACAACAAAGTTTGAATGCTGGCGGAAAATGACTGTTGGAAGTGCTTGAAAAATTCAAGCTGCTGTAAAGTTTCCATTAAATTTTGACAATTTTTCTAGAAATTTCCACGACTCTCACATCAAGTTCCTCTCAATACTCACAAAGACATCCACAATTCTCATCGAAACTTCTAGAAAGAAAAAATAAATTTGAAATTTTGGACGAAATTTTAGAGAAAAAAACTTTGTCCAAGCTGCAAACAATGCAAATTCACTTATCGGTTCGACTTATTTACCGTAAAAAAAAATTGTTCATTAATTCAAACAACGAATGTCGATTGTCGAAAATTCTCTCTCGTTACATTTTTATGATGCTATAAATTAGCTGCTCGAGAGGCTTTGGATGTAGATTGTCGGGATGTCCTGTGTCGTTGTTGAGTTTGCTTTGAGATTTATGATTTCCTTTGAATTGTTCGAAGCAAAAATGAGATAATGAAGGTTTTTGAGCCCTAAAAGACCTACATTTGTTCTGGAAGGTTAAATTAGGGCTTAACTGCAATGTTGCCAGATTTTCCAATTAATTTCGATTGTGAATTAAATTTTGATTTCAAGTGATTGTTAAAAAATGTGACTTTTGAAATCAATATTTGCAAAATTGAGATCTTTTGAAAACTAGTTTTAGCTTAATCTTATGGCCTAGGTATCCCAATTAGCTATTTAATTCTGTTTTCTTAACTTAATTAGTAAGTTCCTCGGTTAAATAGCCAGAAGAATAAATTTCCAAATTTAAGAAAAAACTAGGAACATGAACGATTAATAAAATAGTCTCTAGAGAACGTTCGTATCCTCAGAGTAAAGTTCCATGCCCTATAATATAAGATTTAATCAAAATTCATCGGAGATTAAGCATTTTTGTCTTTTATGACCTCTAAAAACTGATACTTATACTGTGTAAAGCTTACCAATTAGCTAAGAAGTCAAAAACAGAGTCAGATGGAAAGCCTTTTGTTGTAACCTAAGCTCCACATAGGAATACAGCTACAGTAAGGGACATTATATATATTTATTTATATATATATATATATTTTGAGTCGCAGTGCCTCCAGCTGAAAGGCTGGGCCCTTCACACATTATTATTATTATTAAGGGACATTATCAAACATTTGGTTTGACAATGATGTGGTGCGGCCAGTTTTGAAGCTCCGTTGCCTCAATTGACCTTTGAAGGTCAATTGAAATTTGAAAAATATTCCTATTGTCGTTTTTAAGGCTACCCAAGTGCCATGGGCAGGAATTTGTTTAACTTGAGACTGGGACAGGTTAAATAAAAAAAATAAACTTAAGCATTCAGACCTTATTGATCCATAGCTGCGCACTATATGCATGACAAGGCTAATGATAGTTTAACGAAGGAGGGTTCGCCAGACCTCCCAAATAAATCTAGACTTTCAGTTAACAGTGGGATCTGAAACACTACTGTGATGACATTTTTGTCTGTAGCCTACAAAGGAAGGCTGTGAGTCTCATTTCGAGTACATATGTTTCGAAAATGGACAAGCGAAAATTTTCCCATGCCGAGTCTCGAACCCATGATCGCTGTGTCAGTATTGCAATAATTAGGTACCGAAGTACTGAACCATTCCACCACCGAGCTAATTCAGCTCACATAACACAGGGTGGGTTTGACTAGCATTCTAAGGTAAGGTACGAGACTAGTGTCCCAAGGAGCCTTTAAAACCTGACTTTCTAAGAGAGTCGGATCATTTCTATTTAATTTATTTAATGTCTTCTGCTGAAATTATGGTTTAAATGGTTTTGCATGCCTCCAATTTGATAAATCCGTTAAAAATAATTATTCTGACATTTAAACTTAATATTCTTAATGTTCTCAGAATTTCACATCATTTTCATCCTTAATTGCCTCCTAAAATGTCATCAACCTTTTTCTTGTGAATTCTTTTAATGTCCAAAAAAATAATAATTTCTCTACCTGCAAAAAAAGAGAGATGCGCACTAAAATAAAATCTACCTGATCCGAGCCACCAAACTTTCCCTCATTCCTCTCATCATAAACATTAAGTTCGTCTCATACCCACAACGACGTCAATAGAAGTTTTTTCTCTCAAAATTATAACTTTTTTACTCTCTCGCTCTCACAACCACAAAGTCCCGTTTAATGGCACAGAAAAGTAAGAAACAAACTTCGATTTTATTTCATCCTCTCATTCATTTCAAAAATGGCTTCCGTACAGAACACAACGGCCGCATTTTTCCTTCATGGCAACGCTCGCCAATACGACTACGTGCTGAAGCTGTATCCGCAGGTGCTTAAAATGAAGGCAGAAGAGAAAAAGAAGCCCGATGAGCTGATACGATTAGATGAATGGTGAGTAAATAAAGTGCAAATTAAGTGAATTAAGTCAAAAAAAAATTATAAATTTTTTTTTATTATATTATATATTTTCGCATTTAATGGTGTTCGAGTTTCGTTACGAGAGTCGAGTGTAGTATGAAGAAAAAAAAAGATTTTTTTTTTGCCACTTTCGTCACTCGATTTCAGTTGTGTGTGTTCAATTAATGTGACTCAATGAAAGTGCCTTAAAATGAGGGAAATTTTGGAAAAATTGACAAAAATTTTCATTCACCAAAAACAAGAAAAGCGCCGAAAAAAAAATACAAAAAAATATTTTTGTAGCGCAAAACTCTGCAGTTTTGATGATTTGAAAGAAGAAGGAAAAGAAGAAAGAAAGAAAAAAAAAGTTTCCAATTCAAAATCGTTCATCTGCGGCAGTATGTGCTCGGTGGGCACCAATACAAATGCAGAGCGGGTCGAACAACAACATTGATGTGAAATTTATTTTGCCGGCTGCATGTAGTCGTAGCTGGCGGCCGTGTGTCGACACACAGAATTATATTCTTTTATTTTTCTTTCTTTTTTTGCCTGCCCTGTTCTGACTGTGTTGTTGTTCCTTCTCAACAGCGTCGACTGCTTCGGTTTGAGTCTTTTTTTTTTCTTCTGTTATGTATTTATAGTGGGTATATATGTATATGGCGATGGGGTGTCGATGTATGTGTGTGTGGATGGTAAATGAAACATAATACTGTGTGCTGCTTCGATAGACTGCTTTTAGAGGCTACTTTTGTTAATGGAAAATATATTCTGTTTTGGGATACGATTTTTTGGGGATTCGAGGGTTTTTTTGAGGGGTTTTGCTAGGTTAAAATTAAAGTTTTGATTTTTTGTCATTTTTAGAGATGAAAATAATTGAAAAGTCGCAAGATTTATGTAATGTTTCCATCAATCAAGTCAAATTATGCATGACTAATGGATTTATGATGATAAATTTATGTTGAAATGCTGTCAGGATATGCATAGAGTTTATTTTGAATTAGCTTTTTTAGTTTTATGATGAATATTTGAAAGATTTTTGTTTTCAACTTTTTTTGTTTTTTGGGGTTCTTTGCAACAATCTCATAGATTGAATACAAATTAAATTTTTCAAAAAACATACTGAAAATCGAATTTTGACTTTATAAAATATTATAACAAGCCAAATAAATAAATAATGAAATTTGAAGTTAATTTGATAAAACTTAAAATCAGACAGCTTTATTCTTTTTTGGAAATTTTTAACTTCTTTTGAAAATTTAAACCATTTTTGAAATTTTAATTATTTTTTTTGTAAGTGATAACAAACTCGAGCATTTTTAACATTTTTGAAAATGTTAACTTCTTTGGAAAATGTAAACATTTTTTGAAAATTTTTCCTTTTTAAAATTCAAATTTTTTTTAAAATTTTTAAAATTGTAGAAGTTTTAACTTCTTTAAAAATCTTACTTTTTAGATGGTATAAACTTGTTTAAAAATTTGAACTTTTGAGATGACTTAATTTTTTTTTGAATATTTTACCTTTTTGGAAATTCATCATTTGAAAGTTAGAGTTATTTGAAAAATTTATTTTTTTTTGTAAATTCAAACTTTGAAGAAAATTTAAACTATTGCTAAAATTTTAAATCCTTTAAAAATTCTAGTTTGTTAAGAATCTTAATAAATTAAAAAATCATAATCATAAATTTTTAAAAATTTCAATAAGTTTAACAGACAAAACCTTAAAAATATTTTTTTAAAAAAATATTCTGCAGGAAATTTTCAAAAATTTTTTAAAATTATTCTCTTTTTTTCATTACTTCAAAAAAGAAAACATTAGATTTGCGCGCGTAATATTTCAAGTTATAACAAATAAAAATATTCCATAAAATGCATTTAAATGAAATAAAAAAGCTACAAATAAGTTGAATTAAGGACTTTATTTCATTAAATATTATTGTTTATTAAACTTTCTCCAAATTTTTAAAAGTGTTTTACATTAATTCTTGTTAAAAAATCAAATTTTCGTTAGAATTGCAACTTAAAATTGATTAATTTCAATCTTTTCTGATTTTAAAAATTAAAGTTTTTCAAAAAATCTTTAGAATCTTCAAAATTATTCAACATTAATCAAAAAATTAAATTAAAAGCTCAAAACCAAAAATTTAAACTTTCCAAAAAAAATCATTTCAAAAAAAGTCTCAACAGAGAAATTTTCAACTTCAGATCCTTATCTACTCTCAATACAATTTCAAATTTCACTTCTTTTTCCACACTCAAAAAAGAAATACACAAGAAAAAAAAATATAATTTTCTCTTTTTTTGTGCTCTAATGCATGCGACTGCCTGTGAATATGCATTAACTGAAAAAATAGAAAAATTTCATTTCTTAAAAAGATTTTTAAAGATTAAAATTTCTTTACTTTTAGCCATGAAAATAATAAATTTTAATCGAAGACTTTCCTGGTTTCCATAACGCCATATTCAATTTTTTGTTGTTGTACGTCTCGAGTTGAACTTTTTTTATTCGTGTTTTAAGAGAGATGAGATGGAATGTCTCATTAAGTGGGGTCAATGGCTGTGAGTTTATTGACGAAAATAATAATAAGGATAATGAGGATTATTGGACGGTGAGGGGGTGTTGGGTGGATTAGAGGGTGGTGTATAGTTGGCATTATTACTATAATTGGAATTTTGTGGGCAAGTTTCTAGAATATTGAGCAGGGAAAGTGAAAAATGTGAATTTTGAGTGGCCAATTGACAAAATTTGATCATTTGTAGATTTAATATTGACAATTTGAATTATTAGGGATCATTAATTAGTGATGTCAATCAAAATATTCAAGCTTAGGTTACCCGAAGCATTTTGTTGACTGCAGGACTTAGTCTTTGGCACAATGTGGCCTTACTAGACTCTTAAATCACTGTTATTGCTATTTACTAAGGAAAGCTAGCACATTTGATCCATTTCAACCCAAGCTATAACTTTAAAAACCTTAAAACACTCAAAAATACTCAAAAATTCCCCTCAAAAACCATTCAAATCATCCGAAAACATCAAGAAATCCCAAAAAACTGCATCATTTGCATCGCACATTTTTGCCTCCACTTTTTAATCTATTTCACATTTTACTTTGTATTTTGTTTATGTTTTGACGAATTTTTTTTTTCGCTTCCTCATTTTTATTTATCTTTTTTTTAAACCACATGCATATCATTCTCATGTTTCCGTATCTCTACTTCTCTCCGTCTCTCCCTCACTCTCTCTCTTTCTCTTCTTTATTCTTGTTATTTTTTTTTACATTTGCCGACAATTTTTTTTCACGTCTTCTTTTTCTTCCACGTTCTTTACTTTCAATATTATCAACAAGCATTTTTCATGAGTCACATTTGTTTACCAATCAACCTGAGGATAGATAGACACTTTTAATGTCTTGTCGGGTCGCTCGAGAGTGAAGAAGAAACAAAAAGAGACAAAAACATCTTCACTAATTTTTATTTTATTTTTTGTGTGAAGAAATTTTTGGTTGAGGTGTGAAAATCGTGATGAGATGTTGGATTGGGTGCTGATTTTTGTTAATTGTATGACTTAGTTCAAAATTCAGAAATTGTTTGGCTTTCATCTATAATTTCGGGATTTAGATGCCGACACACTAGTTTTCTGTGGTTCAGGTATCTTCATACTAGCTTTACTATGGTTCAGATGTCTTCACACTAGTATCGTTAAGTTCAGGTGTCTTCAGACTAGCAAAGTTAAGTTCAGCTGCCTTTACAATAGCTTTCTGTGATTAAGTTGCTTCACACTAGCTTTTGTGTGTTTCAAGTGTCTTCACACTAGCATTTTTAAGTTCAGTTGCCTTTACACTAGCTTTATGTGGTTCAGGTGTCTTCACACTAGCATCGTTATGTTCAGCTGCCTTTACACTAGCTTTCTGTGGTTCTGGTGTCTTTACACAAGCATAGTTAAGTTCAGGTGTCTTCACGCTAGCTTTTCTGTGGTTCAGGTGTCTTCACACTAGCATAGTTAAGTTCAGATGTCTTCACACTAGCTTTTCTGTGGTTCAGGTGTCTTCACACTAGCATCGTTAAGTTCAAGTGTCTTCACATTTTCTATGGTTCAGATGTCTTCACATTAGCTTTTTTATGGTTCAGGTGTATTTACTTTAGCTTTTCTGTGGTCCAGGAATCTTCACACTAGCATTGTTAAGTTCAGGTGTCTTCACACTAGCTTTTTTTTATGGTTCAGGTGTCTTTACTCTAGCTTTTCTGTGGTTCCGGAGGCTTCACACTAGCATTGCTAAGTTCAGGTGTCTTCACATTAGCTTTACTGTGGTTCAGGTGTCTTCACGCTAGCTTTTCTATGGTTCAGGTGTCTTCACACTAGCATCGTTAAGTTCAGGTGTCTTCACACTAGCATCGTTCAGCTCTGGAGCCTTTACACTAGCTCTTTAAAGCTTAGCTTTTACCAACTGATGTCAAATATTGCCAATTTAATAATTCTCGATATTAAATTTCAATTGCATTCCTAATGTCAGCAATATCAGCGCTCATAAATGCAAAATAAACAAAAGTTTAAAATTATTCACAAGCATTTTCAGTCAAAACACTTTGAATTTTATCGACAAATCGACTCTTTTGTTCCTCCAACCCACTCAGTACACTCAGTGGTATTAATTGCCATTTCAATTTGCATTTTTTAACGAGATTTTCTGCGAACTTTGTCTGAACCAAAAAGAGTTTTTCACTAGAATTAAAAGCAAAATTCCACGAAACTTATTAATTTTTGTTCCATGAAAATAATGTCAACTGTGAGTAAAGAAATTAAGAGGATTTAAATCATAAAAAGGACCTAAACATTCTGTAAATGTTCAATTTAAAAGCCACTTTGATGTGTGAATAATTTTAATTAAATTTAACATGAACAATTTTGCATCATTTCTGAGAAAATTACTCCTTTTGTAAGGTATCAAGTCATATTATGTCATAGCTGCATAATCCTTTTAACTTTGATTTAATGATTCTCGTGAACTTTATTATGACATTCTTACCTAATGACTTAAAAGTTTGTGTTTTTGTTCTTGGAAAATTAAATTTGATATTTAAACATTAAAGACTCATAATTACATCATAATGCGAGCTTTAACTCTAAAGATTGTTAAATCTTTAATATCTTGGTTTCCTAGTAACACCAAAAATGCGAATCTCGACTCGACTTTATCCTTAATATTGACAGTTTCTCATATTTTAAAAATTTACGACATTTTTACTAATTTAAGAATTTTTTTCTTGTGTTCTAATTTTAGGTACCAAAATGAATTACCGAAAAAGATTAAACAAAGAGGACGTGACGCTCACTTGATACACGAGGAATTGGTTCAGTGCATGAAATGGAAACAAAGTGTAAGTATCAAGTCTAGTGTCGATTTCTTAGCTTTCCTTAGCTATCATGCTCAAGTCTTAGTTCGACTTTATGGACATTGTTAATTCAGAGTTTTAAGTTCACTTTGGAATGGTAGGAAATTAAGTTACTGGTCCTAGTAGCTTCTGACCACTTCTCCTAGCTACTTTGCTAGTCCACACACTAAGGTACTTACCTCAAACACTCTCTCTGCTTACCATAAGTCTCAATCTATACTTTAAAGGTCATCTCTAACAGTTGGCTTGTCTTATCTTCTATGTATTGTCTATCCTAACTTCCAAAGCTACCAATAGTGAACCCAACAGTTAAGTTAGAGTCACTAGATCAAGACAAAGCACCCATATTCAAGAAAATTGTCATTAAAAACCTCCAAACACAACTAATCGAATTAAAATCAATCCATGAACTCAGTTATAACATCGAATATCTTCATTCTTACCTTAATATACCAAACGAAGCTTAAATACCATCTCAATTTTCCTTCTTAATCTTCTTATATACAAGCTACAACACAATAAAGAAAAATCTCATCATAAATTTGTCTGTATTTTATGTTTCTCATCTCATTTTTCTTCTTTTCCATTTATCCACAAAACTAAATATCCATCACATCAACCAACAGCGAGGAAAATATTACCCGCAGCTATCATATCTAATTAAAGTCAATACACCACGTGCTGTGGTGATGGAGACAAAAAAGGCATTCCGTAAGCTGCCGAATCTTGAGCAGGCAATAACAGCATTATCAAATCTCAAAGGTGTCGGTACGACAATGGCATCGGCGTTATTGGCTGCTGCAACACCAGAACTTGCACCATTCATGGCTGATGAGGTACTCAAGGCTATTCCAGATGTTGAAGGCATTGATTATACAACCCGCGAGTATCTCAATTTTGTGACACACATCGAAAGCACGAGGAACCGACTGAATTCAGAAAATGGTGGTGAGGAGTGGACAGCTCATTCGTAAGTATTGGATTTACTTTTTTGTGTGAATTTTGTCCAACATACTTGACTATGATGCAACCTACTTGACTTACGTTCAACCAACTTGAGTATGATGCAACCTACTTGACTTAGAGGCAATTTACTTGCCTTTATTACAACCTACTTGACTATGATGCAACCTATTTGACTTAGAGGCGACTTACTTGCCTTTGCTGCAACCTACTTGACTAAGAATTAATCTACTTGACCATGAACCAATCTATTAGAGTTTAACGCAGCTTTCTTAAAATTTGGTCAACCTACTTGACTATGATCCAATCTACTTGACTATGATCCAATCTACTTGACTCTTGTTCAACCTACTTGACTACGAACTGCTTTACTTGACCTATAATTCACCTAATCAACGACTATCATAAGCAGTATTGAAAATATTCTCATTTTATCAATTCACAGAATAGAACTAGCGGTGTGGACACATTCGATAGCAGCCGATATGAAACCAGAACTCCTACAGGACATGCCGGATGTTGAAAAGCTAAAGAATAACGTGATAGGTGGAACAAATGGCACCACACACACACATCCAGCCGACAGTATCACAGCAACAACAGAGCAAAGCGATGAGAGCAATGCAGAACCAGAACCAGAAGCAGCAACAGAACAAAAAGAGACGAAACAAAGAACAGCCAATGGTAAGGGTACGGATGATGATATATTTCTCTTATTGTAGATAGCTGTAGTGTGTAGATGAGGATGTAGTGGAGATTTTTAATATCGAAAGTTAAAAATTCAATTTCGAAAGTTAAAAATTCAATTTCGAAAGTGAAAAATTTAATTTCGAAAGTTAAAAATTTAATTTCGAAAGTAAAAATTTAAAAAATCTTCAACTAATTTTAACTCTTTTGATTTTTCCTCACAGGTGCCGTTGACAGTCTAGATGAAAGTACGCTGTCAGATCAGGATAGCTTAAACCCGAATACGCCAATTATAGCTAATGACGAGACAAATGATAGCGATTCTCATAGTAGTGCTAAGAGGTATGAACAAAACTCCCCAGAATCCCACATATTTACTAATTCTTATTTCTATTGCATTTGTAGATCTTTAGACTCAGAAGAGCATCCGGAAACGGGCGAACCGGAATTAAAAAAGGCAAAAAGTAGTGAATAAGAATAAAAGTATGTTCCCATCCCAACTATATCTCCCCATAATTCATCAACATATATCCTTCCCTCAATAATGATGATGATGATAAGAATCCACACAAATACATACAAAAAAAAGAAGCAGACACACACACACACTTATATATGTTATAAATATACACAAAATTTAAATTCAAATCTTGACCCAAGCAGCATAAAATTCATAGAAATTATAACATTTTTGAGGAATGGAAAAAAAGTAAATAAAATCCCAAAACACACACACACACATTTTTACGAATATAATAATTAATAATAATATTAATAATTATAATAAAAAATAAAAAAAGATGAAGAAATTGAGTTAAGGATATAAAAAATTTAACATATAAAAAAACTGAAAGATGAAAAATTTCTCTAATTATTATTTTGTCTCTTAATTTAATTTAAACAAACAAGTCGTAAAGATGAAAAAACAATTTAGGTTATTTAAAAAAAAGATGAAATTAAGAACTAACAATGAAGAAATATGAATCATTTGCATAAGTTGTTCCATTTTACACACATACATACACAAAAAAGTAAGAAAATCAAGTAAGAAGAAAACTCACCTCATGTTTAAGTAAAATTATAAACAAAAAATCATAAAATTTAATTGAAGAATTTGTAATAAAAAAAAGTTTTTTTTTTTGAAAAAAATTTATTACTGCTTTTGTAGAAAGTTGAAAATGAGGTTTTGTTGGGGTAAACAAGGACTTTAAATGGCAATACAATTTAGAAGTTAAATTTTTATTTTCGAAAGTGAAATTTTAATTTCGAGAGTTAAATTTTTATTTTCGAAAGTAAATTTTTTATTTTCGAACGTTGAATTATAATTTCAGAGGATAAATTTTTATCTTCAAAATACAAAATTTTTATTTTCGAAAGTGAAATTTTAATTTCGAAAGTGAAGTTTTTACTTTCGAAAGTAAATTTTTTATTTTCGAAAGTTAAATTATAATTTCAGAAGTTAAATTTTCATCTTCAAAATTTAAAATTTTTATTTTCGAAAGTGAAATTTTTATTTTCGAAAGTGAAATTTTAATTTCGAAAGTGAAATTTTAATTTTGCAAGTTGATTTTTACTTTTTAATATTGAAAATTTCAGTTTTTAAACATTTTTCCCTCAAAACATAAATTCATGCTTCCAGCAAAAATAAAAAACCAACATCAATTTTATAAGTTGACCTACATGACCTTCCAAGAACCCCAACAAACCCAAAAACCTATCAAATTTTTGTTCAAAATACATCTTAAAATAGATTAAGACATTTAAATTTTTTTTGACATTTTTAAAACAATTTTCGTTCTAAGATTTCCAAAATTTGCTTTATTTAAATAAAAAATCTTCAATTTAATAAATTAAACAGCAGAAATAAAATAATAAAAAAAAAACTTGTAATTAAAAATGAATGAAAAAAAAACTGAGAAAAAGTATTTTTATTATAATTTTCAAATTGAAATGTAGAAAAGAGTGATTAACTTATAACTGAACAGTTGGAATGGTTTGTCATGATGAGGAAGTGCTTAATCTGGGTTTATTAGATCAATAGAGTAGTGGTGGTCAACCTGTGATCCACGATACACTGCTTCTAGAAACCCTGATAAGCTCGAAATAAAAGCTTCAACTTAAATAAATGAAAATTGATCCCAAAAAAGAAGTCTTTGAACTTTTTAATTGAAAATGAATGAGAAAGCCTGTAAAATATTAAATAAAGAATGAAAACAGGAATAAAATAAAAAAAATAATTTGAATTTAATTGAATATTTTTTAAAAGTTAAATTGGCACTTATTTAATGTGTAAAAATGAAGAATGAACCAAGAAAATTATTTCCACTATTTTTAAAAATTTTAATTTTAATTTTCGTCAAATTTGGTAAAATTACTTCAAAATATTTTCAAATTGAATTCGCAAAACAAAATTTAATTCTTATTTTTAAATAAAAATTAAAAAAAAAAATTTATTTCATGATCAAATTACAAAAATAAATTACTTTTCTTCTTAAATTCTAATTGCTTAAATTATAATTTAAAAATAAAAACAAACAAGAATTTTAAATAAAACTGAAAAAAAGGAAGAAAAGGAATAAAAAGAAAACATTCTTGAATCACTGAAAAGCGTAAAAATAAAGAATTTAAAAATGATGAAAAAAAAGGTTTTATTTATTGACTTTTATGATTAAATTTCAGATATTTTTAGTTTTTAAATTGAAATAACCTTCTAATTAGGAAAAAAAAAATTCATTTTCGAAAGTGAAAAAAATTTACTTCAAAAGTAAAAAATTCATTTTCGAAAGTGAAAAATTCAATTTCGAAAGTGAAAAAATTTTACTTCAAAAGGGAAAATTCATTTTCAAAAGTAAAAATTCAATTTCGAAAGTGAAAAAGTTGTACTTCAAAAAATGAAAAATTCATTTTCAAAAGTAAAAATTTAATTTCGAAAGTGAAAAAAATTTACTTCGAAAGTGAAAAATTCATTCTCGAAAGTGAAAAAATTTTACATCGAAAGTGAAAAATTCATTTCCAAAAGTAGAAATTCAATTTCGAAAGTGAAAAAATTTTACTTTGAAAGTGAAAAATTCATTTTCGAAAGTGAAAAAATTTTACATCGAAAGTGAAAAGTTTATTTTCGAAAGTGAAAAAATTTTACATCGAAAGTGAAAAATTCAATTCCAAAAGTAAAAATTCAATTTCGAAAGTGAAAAAATTTTACTTCGAAAGTGAAAAATTCATTTTCGAAAGTGAAAAATTTATTTTCGAAAGTAAAAAAAATAATTTCTAATTCTTGATTCTATAATTTACTTCAAAATGATGCCAATTGCACAATAATCTTTGACAATCCCAAATTTTTATTAACGGCTTTTTAAAATTCAAAAAATCCCCTCTCAAAACTACACCAATCCTTAACAGTCCCAAAATATTAAAAACAAAACAATAATATAAGAAAAAATATAAAAAAATTATTTTTAGCAGTTTTAGTCAAATAGTCAAGCTTAACTGCATTTAAATCCACTAAACATCAATTAATATCCACAGCAGTAACAATTCCATCGAACAAGAACTCCAAAAAATCTTCAAAAAACCTCAAAAACTTCAAATAACATAAAATTTTATATTTGCAAAAAAAAATCAGTATTTTTCAATGAATTAAAAAAATCTCCAAAATTGAAACTTCCAAAAACTTTCACGAAACTTGCCAACTATACAAGATGAAGCAGCGCGGAGCTCGAATGTCAAAGATGCAGCAGGAAGTCTACATCAAATTTCTCGAGCATAATCCAAATTTTTCGACAGGCACAAATAGCATTTCATATGATTTAAGTACACGAGAGAGAGACTTTGATAGACTTGTAGATCAGCTCAATGGCACACCGGGGGCGGTTAAGGATCGGAAACATTGGCAGGAGGTAAAGTTTCCTGTAATTTTGAGTTTCTTTTAGGGAACTTTAAGTCTATTTCGAAGATTTGAGGATAATTAACCGGCTATTGCAGTCAGAGGTACCCTAAAGTGGACCTCAAAGCTTCTTGACTTAGAACAGTGATGGCCAACCTTTGTGCCGCGGCACTCTAGTAAGCCATAAGAAATTGGAGTATCCTGTGTGTGGTTTTGGTCATGGTTCACCACAAAGTGTACCGTGGCATAAAAAAGGTTGGGCACCACTGACTAAGAACCACCAATCATATGCGTATCCCAACATTCTAAAGCCTTCAATCCATCCAATATTCATTTACAGACCCTCGCAGATTGGCGCTCAAAACTCCTCAAACGTTACAGATATCACTACTCAGAAGAAGTCCGCAACTCAATGTCACAGTCGGCAGTTAAAAACCTCAAAAAATTCGATGAATTCGATGTCCGAGCACTAAAAGCACTTGGAAAATGGGAAAATGATCATGGCGGAGCATCAAAAGTTTTAAATAATAGAAAAAAGAAGCGACGAAGAGTTTATAGACGTGGCGGTGATGAAGAGAGTGAATCTGATGATCAGGATGAGCAGGATGAAGATGATTCTGAGGATAATGACTTTTATTCCTTAATGAGTCCAGCACCAGACACATTTAATTGTTTAAATGTCAAAACAGAAGTTGAGATTGAGGATCCGCTTGTTGAGGAGATTCAGGCGCCAATAATAAACAGTCATGAGGAACCGATGGAACCAACACCGCAAATGTCAAGAAGGAAACGAAAAAATGAATTTAAAATTCATGAAATTGAGTCACAGGAGCATCAACATGCGGAGCCTGACGAGCATTATGAACAAAATGAACAGAATTTGTCACTAACTTATGAAAAAGTGCTGCTGGAGAATACAAAAGCAATGAAGCAGCATACAGCGGCCATTATGGGTCTCACAGATGCACTCAATTCACTCACATCGACGATACGATCCTACATGTATAATAAATGACGAAGGAATTAATTTCAATAATTGTAATTTATAAAGAAATAAAACAAAAAGCATGAAAAGTTTAAAAATTTTATAGATTTATTGATTATTGAACCTTAAATTGAGGTTTCAGGAGGTTTAACCTGAAAAACACAAGTCGGTTAATCGAATAGAAATCCGGAGTTAATATAGCGTGACTCTGGCTTCGATTTGAATCCAGCACAATGCAAGAACCGACTTGTGGCATTCGAGTAAGGTTTACATAATTTCGCTTAATAGTTTTAATTATGAAAGTCTTTAAAGAAGTTCAAAACAGAGCTCCAAGTCGACTTGAGTCGACTTCATTTTTTTCTATACGACTTCTTCATACAAAAAAGTTACCAAGTTGACTCCGAGTCGACTCAAGTCAAGTTGACTCCGAATCTACTCAAGTTAAGTTGACTAAGAGTCGACTCAAGTCAAGTTGACTAGGAGTCGATACCGAGAAAATAAAGTCAACTCGAGAAAAAGTTGAGTCGACTCGGTTTTGAATCGAGTCTAGTCAACTCGAACCCTATCGACTTCAAGCTCTGGTTCAAACTCATAAGGAACCTAAATCAACAGCAATATCTTATGACCAACCAGACAAACGGACAAAGTGCAGACAAAAGCTTAAGTGCTTTAAAGGAAGAAAAAGATACATTTAAAGATTGTTAAGAATAAAGTTGTCACAGTTCTACCGACAGAATCAATTAGAATTGAGATTCCATCAAATATAGTTCCCATAGCGACAAAATTGTCTCGTATTCTATAATGAAAGGCTGGTCCAACAATGACGCAGATGATGAATAAAAATGTCAAATATTTGTTGCGACCCGTAACAAGTCGAATTGGAATATCTTTAAGCGTCAGCTGGTCTTGATGATTATTTCGTCTAATTAAACTCATTTTCTTCTTCTTAAAAAGGATTTAAAATGTTTGTAAAATTAGAAAATTAGTTTTTTAATAGAATTATAATTTACACTTGTTTAAGAATTTTTTTACAAATGAAATCATGAATTTTAGTCATTCTGATGAGTGACACATACAATTGGAGCTTAAAAATCTCATTTTCAATTTCGCATAGTTTGAAAGATAAAAAATAGTTTTTTTGAGAAACAATTCACAATTTTGCATTTTAATGGGCTGCTCAACTGCTTTTTACACAAAGTCATGCCTAAAATACTTAATGTCCTTAATTTTTGAACCTATTTTTCATGGAAAATGTTTGGAAATTTGGTCTGTTTCGCTTTTTTACGGCTGAAATCACGACAAATTCTGCTTTTTTGAACAAAAATCTCCAAAAATCAAAATCAAATTTCCATTAAATCAAACATTTCATAATCTTCATGTTTTAGAAACCGCTGTTGTTGTTATCCAAACTTGGAACATCCCACATTCTTGAGTATTGAGAATAAGAAGAACTTATAGCTGCATCCAATGAGAGACGTTTCTGCTTTTAATGTTGATATTAAATATAAATTTTTATTTCAAAAAATATCATTTTAATAAATTCATAACAATTTCTTTGTACATTCTAATTCCGCTGATTAAATTTTAATAAATGCATCAAGTTTCAATTAAATTAAATTCATTGTTTTTTGGATATTTTATGAAATAAATTCAGGATTCTCCTTAACTTCCAAAAAAATCCCAAATTCTATCCAAAAAAGTTCTCAAATAATTATTAACATTTCCCATTGAACCCAGTCTTAAGCAACCCACAAATCTTGCCAAGGATTATAAACTTCCTTAATAGTTGATCAACTTTTTGATTCCTTCCAAGCATCTGTACTTGTCTGGTAAGTAGAATGTCTCAAAGACGTGCTGAAAGTTAAAGTAAAAATTAAATTCAACTTTTTTGTCTGTATTTAATTGACTAGATCTTGACTAGATCAGTTGTGCACAACATTTTTTGTGCCACGGCACACCTTGGCGGTAAGCTATGACAAAATCCGAACACGATTCGTGGGCATTCTTGATTTTTTTAAACAAAAGTGTGCCGAAGTGTCAGGGTTGCTATACAGACACATGCGCATAGATCAGAACCGTACAATTTCTTGATAAATAAAAAGGTTTTTCTATCAAAACCATTCAAATTCTAATAAAACCTCACAAATTATTAAGGAATTGTACGGTTTTCACCTCTGCACAAGTGCCTGTATCGCAAACCCTGGCCGCAGCACATCGGTTGACAATCACTAGACCAGTGTTGTCCAAACTTTTTTGAGCCATGGCACCTTAGGGGTAAGCCATAACTAAAGGAGCACACAGCATGCTGCTCGCCACATTTTCAAAAAATTTCTACGGCACACGAGTGTGCCGCGGCACACAGTTTAGACAACACTGCACTAGACTCTAGATTGAGTGATAATGAGTACAAAATAGCTGAGGCTGCACCTTATTAGCTGTCATGTTAGTCATCAGCACTAAAGTGACACAATGAGCAACCTCAACTCATCAATTTAGCAGCCATTATCACTAATCATGTGGAACTGATCAATGTAGCTCAAGATTTGACAATAAATTAGTCAACTTACTGGAAATGGAGTGTCCCATCCGCAAACTCTCGTAATTGGTGCCTCTAAATGCAAGAAACATTCCTCTTGAATGGTTGCAGCTAATTCAGCACCAAATCCGTTTGTTATTGGAGCTTCATGAGCAATCAGACAGCGACCAGTTTTCTTTACAGACTGAAAAGTGATGAAAATTAATTAAAATTGTCAAGAATTCAATATTTGAAAATTAAGGCTGCAGGAGTCTTAGTTGGTACTGCAGGTATATCCTTGGATAATCATCGAATTCTTGAAACTTACATGGCAAACAGTCTCAACATCCCATGGCAAAATTGACACTAAATCAATAACTTCACAGTTGACATTCAACTTCTTCTTGGCATACTCGGCAACTTCTCGCAAGACACTTAAATATAAGAAATAGAATCAGGTAAGTAAATTCGAGTAGCACAAGTTGGATAATCGAGACAAAAACCTACGCAAGGATGGCGCTTGTCACGACAAAAATTAGCCCTTAAGTCGCTGTTGCCAGACGTAGGATTTCGTCTCAATTATCCGAATTGTGCTACTCTGCAAAGTCATGTCAGAAAGCACTCTGCAGATATCAGGCAACTCCACTGCCTTCTAATAACACCCAGGATCTTTAATCTAATCTCACTCAATACTCACTGAACTTGCGTTCCCCATCCAATCAACGTCACATCACCGCCAACTCTCAAAATATCAGCCTTTCCCAAAGTACTTTCATAATATCCAAGTGGAACATCCTCAATGGCTGATCTATAAAGTGTCTTTGGTTCCAAAACAATGCATGGATTCTTGTCATTAAGGCAAGCTAGAAGTAATCCTTTAGCCATGTTTGGACCTCTTGGAACGACAATTTTAAGACCTGGTGTGTGTGCAAAGTAGGCTTCAGGGCTTTGTGAGTGATACAAGGCTCCATGACCGACGGCTCCACATGGTGCACGGATTGTAAGGGATCCACCTGGAATTGGAATTTTTATGAGATTAATTATTAAAATTCAGCATTGTTGGTTCTTGGTTTGTATAGGAAATAAGACTTAGTGCCTAGCCGCAGCTCCTGTACAGCTTAACAGCATATGTAAGACTCAACTCACAATCAAACAAGTTTCCACTTCTGTATCTGTATTTGGCAGCTTCATTAACAATCTGATCGAATGCTGGAAAGATGTAGTCAGCAAATTGAATTTCACAGATTGCCTTAGCACCCATAGTGGCTGCACCGATAGCAAATCCAGCAATTCCTTGCTCACAAAGTGGTGTGTTGAAGACTCGTTCACCTCCGTACTTATTTTTAAGATTTAATGAGCACCTAAAGACACCTCCGAATGCGACATCTGGAAGAATTTGATATAAATTTGAGAATTATCGGAACTGCCAATTGACAAACCTTCTCCAAAAAGTATTGTCGACTCATCCTTGGCTAACGCAATGTCCATTGCATTATTAATGGCTGTAAACATGTTCATTTTTTGCTTTTCACCCTCGATCGGTGCTTTGTCATCAGGTTGGTATGTAAAATGTGACACATTTCGGGTTTGTCGAACGACAGTGATGCTGAGGAAGCGCTTGAGAGGATTCAAGTGTGCAATTAGACTCATTTTGAATGAGATATTTATGAATTAGGAACTAGAAATAGTAAAAATTATTGAATTGAAAATAAAATCTTAAATAACACGGGATCGACTGTGTGAAATGTGTGAATGTGTTGGTGTAAAAGTTATCAGTTGATATTTTTTTTCGCATCAAATTGTTGGGGCTTTTTGTGGATATTTTTGAGAATTTTGAATCTGTAACGGATTTTTATAACTTTGATTTTTTTTAACTTTATTCAAAAATTCAGATTTTTAAATTGAATTTTTCAGCAACTTTTCTTCAAAATTTGGTAATTTTTGGAAATCACTTCCTTTCCATTTTGAGTGACGAAGCAATTATTTGATGATCTTTCCAATCTTCCAGGACTGTGAAGCTCAGATTCCATACTTCTGCAGATTAGGTAATTGTCAGTTCCAGCAATTGGCTGTCGGGAGTCACTTGGATCAGCCCAGACGTTGTTGGTTTGGACTAGAATCTAGAATTAGTAAATTTTATAATTTTGAGGACTGTCAGACATGATGTCAAGACATAGATCGACAAAATTGACATTTCAATCAGATTTTTACATAATTATTGTCATTAAGCCACAAAAAGGCTCGAAGTCAACTCAATTCCATATAAAATATCACTTACTTCGAGCTCTATTAAACCGAACGTCCATTAATCAACTAGTCAAAGGCTGTCTAAGTGCTCGTTTCTGAACGGGCCAGTCCCGCTTTTTTGGAAAAAAGTCCCGCCTAAAATCTTTAAATCCTTGCTTTTTTGAACCTAGTTTTCTTGGAAAATGATTGAAAATTTTGGTCTGTCCAACTTTTATAGAGCTGAATTTGAGACATGCCCCGCTATTTGACCAAAAATCGACAAAAACCGATAACTAGACATCAAAATCTAGCTGCTCTATTTACCTCAAAACTAGTCTTAGCATACTGCACTCTGTCATATCCAACATAACTTAATTTCTTCAATGGAAAATATTTCCCGATAATTTTGCCGACTGATTTGCCATCTCCTGTGGTATGATCAGCTCTAATAACAAAGCAAGGACCAGCTCTTTCAAAACCAGCATTCACTGCATTGCTAGGAACGCCTTTATTTGATGTGTTCCAAGAAACCCAGACTCCATCGTCATTAAGTGCATCTGAATAAGCTAAATTTGATATTTTAATGATAGCTTTATGTCAGGAACTAGCTTCCAGAGCTGTAAATAACTTTATTACCTTTCCAGTTTGCCTTCAAATCTTCAATTCGCACAACTTGGCTTCCTTCCACAGAATTAACTCGTTTAACTGCAGCACAAATAATTACTGTCAGTAACAGCACAGCAATAAGCTTCATGACTAGTCGAGCTTGATTATTCAAATGATTTCTTTATCAAACCTGACAATTGAATTGATTATTTATTGAAAATACAAAATAGAAGGTTGAAGGAACTGAAAAACAAGCAACAAAAGCTGATTGTGCTAAAATTTACTTTTTTTTAAGATGCAGCAAATTTCCCAAAAATGCTAGCTTAATTAGTTTTAAGTCAGAAGCTTGTAAGGAGCTCAATCAAGTTTATAGCTTAGAAGTCAGTTATTTCAATAAGCTTTTTAGTAGAACGTGGCGCTGTCTAAGGATTTGTATGCTTTTGAGTAGATTGTAGTCGACTTATTCAATATAAAATCATTGTAGGCTTGTTCCTCTGCTTTGTGCTTACATAAATTTTCAATGCTACACAAAGGACATAAATTCTAATAAGTTGGTTCTTCAGTCAAATTCTAATAAGAATCCAACTCAGTGGTCGGTTTTTTACCCAAAAAGTTGTAAAAGCTCATTGGGATCACGACGAAATCATCCAAGGCAACAGTTTCTTTTACCAAGGATGCCAAAGACAGCGATCTTCTGGAATGTCCAAGGAAATAGGACTAGGGGCCCACGGAGAATTACTTGGCGGACAACTGTTGAACGGGAGGTTAAACAACAGAACAAGATGCTGCAGGAAATAGCAGCATTGGCCCAGAATCGAGTGCGATTCAAATGCTTTGTGAACGCCCTACGCTTCATAGTGGAGCAATAGGAACACATCATCATCATGTCAAAGATAGCACAAATCGGTAAATTGAATAGAAATCCGACACCAAGTCAAAGCAGCTCTGGATCAAATCGAATCCAGCACAAAGTCAAGGTCACTCTATCGTCGTGCCGGATTTCTATTCGATTAACCAACTTGTGCCATTTGGGAATTTCTAAAAAGCCAACCCTATACCAAAGATGCGGATCAAAATGATCAAAATTGTGCAAAATTTAAATTTTCATCTCTACATCCTTGCCCCAAACACACAAAAGGTCTCGAAAACCACCAAAAATCATAATGGGCTGTTCATAAATGACGTCTGACATTCAAGTAGAAAGGTGATTTGAAGATTTTGTGACAGTTCAAACAAAGGAATTGTTTTCCATACAAATTTTATGGCAAGAGGGGGAGGAGGGACGAAAAAATTCGTTTTTTTGTCAGACCTCATTTATGAACAGCCCCCAATTTAATTCACATTTTCTTCACTTTATTCATTTCTGACTATAAATCTAAAATTTGAAACAAAAGTTCAACGGGTACGGAGTACGAAAGCTCAACAACTTAATGGCAGTCCTTATTCATCCTTAGTTGCACCATTCTTTCCATCCATCTCTTGTCACTTAAACATCAGGAGCTCCCTTTGCCAGCACAGATTTGATTGTTTTAAATAAACTTGGAAGTGTTCCTAAACTTGAGTCTACACATTTAATTGCACATCTTTCAAATTCTCCTGTATATTTGGCGATTTGATCCTCATTTGGATTTGCTGGCATTTTATCTTTGATTTGATCGTTGCAGTCCATGACGCAGCGTTGGAGGCGATTTTGGAGACGTTCGAGCTCACTTTGGACGTAGCTGGAAGTGGAAATTTAATGGTTTTTGAGTATTTTTGGGTTTAAGGAGCACTAGCTGACTATAGGGGTGCAGTAAAGGCAGTCAGCCTAGCTTTTTCAGCCACAACTATCAATCTTACCTTTGAGCCTTATTGACTGGCTTCGAGCACCTTTCAACACATTGCTGGACATTCTCCATGGAAGATTCTGTGTCATAACAGCACTTGGCTGCACATTCATGCATCTGAGCCTGAAATTTACAATGATTTTAAAACTTTTCCAGCATTTCATAAGTAAGTCGGCTTATTGCCAGCATTGATCCTTACCTGCATCTTTCTCATAGTCGACCGATCAAGATTGTCAACTAAGGCTGTGATTTCTTGCTCCACACGCTGACGTTGTTGGTTGATTGTTGCCATTTTTAGTGAATTTGTGAATTTTTGTTCAGAGTTTTTGTAGAAATAATTCAAAATTTTCTTTTGTTGCTCTTAAAAAAATAATTTTTCAATTTTTCTCTAAGATTTTTTTGATAATTTTGTTCAAAAATGTCTCGAAACTATGACTTGTACATAAGATTACTTGATAGCTGCACTTAAGATATAAATCAATTTAATTTTAAACTATTAATTAACGTTTTTCAAAATGCACGAGGATTTTAATGTCAAAAATGTTACTTTTTGTTTATCACACAAATACAAAAGAACATCAAAAGTTTCACAAGTGATGCGAAAATCGAAAATCTCGTGATTGGATTGAAAGTTTTTGCTTGAATTTTAAAAAGCCGTTATTGAAATTGTTTGAGATATATATACAAAATTTGAAAAATTTTAGCGTAGTCAAAGCTGAGTTTTTTTAAAGCTGAGCGTTGTTAAAGCTGAGTGTTGTTAAAGCTGGGCGTTGTTAAAGATGAGCGTTGTTATAGCTGAGCTTTTTTAAAACTGAGCGTTGTTAAAGCTGAGTGTTGTTAAAGCTGGGCGTTGTTAAAGATGAGCGCTGTTATAGCTGAGCATTGTTAAAGCTAAGCGTTGTTAAAGCTGAGCGTTGTTAAAGCTGAGCGTTGTTAAAGCTGAGTGTTGTTAAAGCTGGGCGTTGTTAAAGATGAGTGTTGTTATAGCTGAGCGTTGGTAAAGCTGAGCGTTGTTAAAGCTTAGCGTTGTTAAAGCTGAGCGTTGTTAAAGCTGAGCGTTGTCAAAGCTAAGCGTTGATAAAGCTGAGTGTTGTTAAAGCAAAGCGTTGTTAAAGCTAAGTATTGTTAAAGCTGATCTTTGTCAAAGCTGAGCGTTGTTAAAGCTGAGTGTTGTTAAAGCTGAGATTGTTAAAGCAAAGCGTTGTTAAAGTTGAGTGTTGTTTTAGCTGAGTATTTTTAAAGCTGGGCGTTGTTAAAGCTGAGCGTTGTTAAAGCTGAGCGTTGTTAAAGCTGAGCGTTGTTAAAGCTGAGCGTTGTTAAAGCTGAGCGTTGTCAAAGCTAAGCGTTGTTAAAGCTGAGTGTTGTTAAAGCAAAGCGTTGTTAAAGCTAAGTATTGTTAAAGCTGATCTTTGCCAAAGCTGAGCGTTGTTAAAGCTGAGTGTTGTTAAAGCTGACCGTTGTTAAAGCTGAGCGTTGTTAAAGCTGGGCGTTGTTCAAGCTGAGCGTTCTTAAAACTGAGCGTTGTTAAAGCTGAGCGTTGTTAAAGCTGGGCGTTGTTAAAGCTGAGTATTGTTATAGCTGAGCGTTGTTAAAGCTGACCGTTGTTAAAGCATACCGTTGTTAAAACTGAGCGTTATTAAAACTGAGCGTTATTAAAGCTGGGCGTTGTTTAAGCTGAGCGTTGTTTAAGCTGGCCGTTGTTAAAACTGAGCGTTATTAAAACTGAGCGTTGTTAAAGCTAAGCGATGTTAAAGCTGAGCGTAATCAAAGCTGAGCGTTGTTAAAGCTGGGCGTTGTTCAAGCTGATCGTTGTTAAAGTTGAGCAAAGTTATTGCTGAGCATTGCTAAAGCTGAGCGATTTTAAAGATAAGCATTGCAAAAGCTGAGCGTATTCAAAACTAATCGTTGTTGAAAATGAAAGAATAATTTAAATAAAATTCATTCTTAAAATCAATTAACGGTATTTCCCGCTTCATAAATTCAAACTTCAAAATCTCCACAATCCCAACTCTAAATCCCCATACCAAAGAGCACAACTGAGAGTAAGACACGACGTCAACACAACAAAACAGAGAAGATAATAAAGTTTCATTCAACAATTTTCCCAAAATTGAGCATCCAGTCTCAGTCATTGTCTCTCACTCGTGCTGATCAGTTAGTTAACTTACATTGTGACAAAATTTAATTAAAAATAATTAGATAAGTAAGGAAAATTTCTGAGGAATTTCATAATTGCACAACAAAATAAAAAGAATATTTTTAAAAATAATAATAAAGAAAATTAAAATTTAAAAATTGGCTTAAAAAGTTCAATGACATGAGAAAGTTTTTGGAAAGTTGGACTAGAGATGTTTGACATAATTCGGGAATGTGTTGAAATTATGTGAAGATTTGTGAAAATAATCAATTTTAAATTGACAAAATATTATTAGAAAAATTATTTTTAATATTGTGCAACAGGTGACAAAGTTGAAAAAGTAAAAAAAGTAAAAAAAAATTGAAAAAAATAAAAAAAAGTTGAAAAAAATTTAAAAAAGTGAAAATAGTCAAAAAAAATTCAAAAAATTTAAAAAAAAGTGACAATTCCAAAAAAATGTCAACAAAATCAAAGATCTTCTCGAAAGTGCTCCAAAAAGTCGCTGAAAATCCAGAACTAGCAACAAAACTCCTCGAAACTACATCTGAAGCCCTTCCAAAAATCCTCAAAGCTCAACAAAGGCTATCCAGCCTTTCAAATCTCCAGCAAGTCGCTCCTCCCCCAAAACCACCCAGCAACTTCTTCAAAAAGGTCCGTCGTGTTTTTCGTTATGGACTCATTGGATCAACGATCGTTGGAACTGGTCTGAGTCTTCATAATGCCAACTACGACTGGAGTGGAATTGGAATCGTTAGATTTACAAGATCAGCAACTGCCTTAGTCGAAATCGCATCTTTATACCAACGTGAGCTTTACTTCAAATCTTGGGACAAGTCATCCAAAGAATATCGTGAGCAGCGCAGTGTTGTTCATCAAAAAGCAGCAAATCGTCTCCTTGAACTTTGTTGCCTTAACCGTGGCGTTTATGTGAAGGTTGGACAGCACATTGGTGCTCTTGAGTATCTCCTGCCAATTGAGTATGTCAACACAATGAAGATCCTTCACAGTCAGGCACCAGCAAACTCATTAGAGGATATTTATCAAGTCATTCGACAGGACCTTAAGAGAGACGTAAGTTACACATTTATGGAACTAATTAAAATCACGTTTATCCAGTTTCTGTCGCTCACGTGTTGCTCATCATCGCAATTCTTTCATCATCGTTATCGCTTCTGTTTGTTCCTCATTATTACGGAATTTTTGGAAGTCTTTCATGCATGTGTGTGTGTGTAATTGTGACTGTTTTCCAGAGAGCGGTGCATTAGACGAAGGTCAACTCACGATTTTTTGGTAATGGTTTTATTGAATTGAATGACAAAAGTGAGAGTGATCTTGTGGGTAAATACACTGAGTGATTGTCAATTGTTTTCCGGTAATTTTGAGATGAGTGTTTGCGAAAAATGAGTGAGACATGTGATTTTTCGGAGTTCCGTGTATGGATTTTGAGATTATTGAAAATAAGTCATGATAATTTAGTGATCTTGTAGAAAATATTCATCGACAAATGCTCCAATCCTTAATATTTGAAGATTTTGCAGCAACAAAAATATTAAGTGACAACTTTCAAAAATATCTGACAGAGAATAAGTTAGAAAGGATGATAAAAAGTTGTAAATTATGCAAAATGACATCTTGGTCATTAGAAAGTAAGGTTACTTAATGATTCGATATAAGAAAATTTTGCAAGATGACCATCAATATATTTGAACAGTTTGAGCATCGTATGAGGAAAGCTGAGCGTTATTCAAGCTCAGGTTTGGTCAATCTGAGCTTTAGTCAAGCTGAGCTTTAGTCAAGCTGAGCTTTAGTCGAGCTGAGCTTTAGTCAAGATGAGCTTTAGTCAAGCTGTGCTTTAGTCAAGCTGAGCATTAGTCAAGATGAGCTTTAGTCAAGCTGTGCTTTAGTCAATCTGAGCTTTAGTCAAGCTGAGCTTTAGTCGAGCTAGGCTTTAGTCAATCTAAGCTTTAGTCAAGCTGAGCATTAGTCAAGATGAGCTTTAGTCAAGCTCTGCTTTAGTCAAGCTGTGCTTTAGTCAAGCTGAAATTTGGTCAAGCTAAACTACAGTCAAGCTGAGTAGTCAAGCTGATCTTTGCTCAAGTTGACTATCAGTAAAGCTGAGCCTTAGCTAAGCTAAGCGATGTTAACGCTGAATCTATTTGAAGCAAAACATAGTTAAAGCTGAGCATTGTTAAAGCCGAGCGTTGTTAAAGCTGAGCGTTGATTAAGCTGAGTGTTTTTAAAGCTAAGAGTTGTTAAAGCTCATCATTGTTAAAGCTGAGCATTGTTAAAGCTGAGAATTGTTAAAGCTGAGCTTTGTTAAAGCTGAGCATCTTTAAAGCTGCGCGTTCTTAAAGCTAAGCGTTGTTAAAGCTGAACTTTGTTAAATCTCATATGATTAGATCTATTACCTTTATTAAGACACCAAAAAATAAAATTATAAAAAATCTTCAAAAAACACTTCAACCTCCAATAATCTCCACAAATGTTCAAGATTATTCACCTCACATGTAAAATAATAATCCACGAAGCACAAAATAACGTCAAACACAACTTTTATCACTCAATACCAGCATCTTCGCTTATGCAAATCTTTTTTTTATCGTCCACAAAAATCATCTCTCTTTTTTTTGACATTTATTTTGTGCCACCAATATTTGCCGTCTTTGTTGTTGCTGTAATATTTACAATTCTCGTTTGAATGTCGTTGTGAATGAGACATAGAGTCATATTATGATGCTTGCTTTACGGCTTTTAATAACTGTTAAAAAATTGTTAACACGATTGTGCGATGATTCACAAACAAAAAAAAAAGACTTGGTTTCGTTTAAGCACATTTTTTTTCGGTTGGAACTTTCTCTTGCATAATTCTCATGATTACTCACTGGAAGTGCGCACATATGTTTGTAATGGTTTGTTGGTATTTACGTCCGTCTATGTTTTGGTTTTTTATGAATGGAATTAAATTGATCGGATAAGAAGATGTGATTGACATAGTCTCATGTCTGACGGGTTTGGATGGATGTTTGAATGGAAATGTTTGATAATTTTATGGTCGGTGTGATGGAATGCTTTAGTTTAGTGATTTTTATACGACACATTGTGAATTTTACCTGAAAATTATTTTTTTTAAATTCGTGCGCCATATTTGGGAGAGACAGTAAACTGTTTCACTGAATATTGTGCACGTGAAAATTTTTCGCATTATTTTTCATTAAGTTCGTCTTTCCAGCCATCCGAACTCTTCCTCACATTCGATCCAGAGCCATTAGGAGCAGCAAGCTTAGCACAAGTTCATCGAGCAACCTTGAAAAACGGTGCAGATGTAGCAGTCAAAGTTCAGCATCATTATGTCCGAGGAAATGCAAAAGTAGACACAGCAACCATGGAATATTGTGTTCGAATCATGGAGTGGCTGTTCCCAGAATTTAAATTCAAGTGGTTGGTTGATGAATCCAAGAAGAATTTACCAATTGAATTGGACTTTTTGCACGAGGGGAAGAATATTGAGAAGGTAAGCATAATCTTTCGATTTTTATTGACCCAGCTGTTTAAATAACAAATTTTAAGGTTCGTCGTCAATTCCAAGATGTTAAATGGCTGAAAATTCCAAAAGTATTTTGGGAATTGTCCACTGATCGTGTGTTGGTGATGGAGTATCTAGAAGGTGGACAAGTCACTGACTTGAACTATATGAAGAAGAATAACATTGATCCATTTGAAGTGTCTAATAAGCTTGGTGCCTTATATGCTAATATGATCTTCCTTAATGGGTTAGTATTATGTGGGATGGAAGGATTTTAAGGAGGTTTCAACCCTCCTTGACCTCTACTTGCTTACTTTTGTCTGCACAATTTTGATTAAATTTGCTTGTTTCTTTTAGATACGTCCATAGTGATCCTCATCCGGGTAACATTCTGGTCCACAAGAACAAGAAAGGTGGCACCGATATAGTTCTACTTGATCATGGTCTTTATGCTGTAAGATTTGCTTTTAAAGTTACTTTTGTCATGAGAAAATTACATATTTTGGGAGAGACTTTAAACTATTTCTCTGATTATGGCGCACGTTTCAAATTTCGACTTTAAAATAAGCCAAAAATCAACAAGAAGATTTAAAGCTCTTTCAAAAATTTACCTCATTTCCCTTATTTCTAGGACCTCTCAAACCGCTTTCGCTATGAATACGCAAAGCTCTGGCTGAGCATTCTCAGAGTTGACCGAAAAGCCATGCGTGCTCACGCCTACAACCTAGGAATCAAAGGTGATTTATATGGTGTCTTTGCCTGTATGGTCACAGGACGTCCATGGGAGAGCATCATGCAAGGAATTGCCAAAAAGAGACCAGATGCTTACGAAAAGGAACTTTTACTTACCGGCGGTGCCTTAGTCATTCCAGATATTGCAGAAATTTTAGAGAAGGTTGATCGACAAATGCTGTTGGTGCTTAAAACGAACGACTTGATTCGCGGAATTGAGTCAACAATTCAAACTCAAGACAGAATGACAGCATTTTGGGTCATGTCAAAGTGCTGCGTCAAGTCTGCTGCGAGGGAGGAAATTGAGAGGAGTGCAAATTATTGGAAGAAATTTTCATTGGCAATTCGAGCTAGTTGGTCGCTATTTAAGATTAACTTCTTTTATTTGTATTTGGGATTTAAGCAAGGATGCCTGTTAGCGACAATGAAGCAGCTTGTTATTTAAATAATTTAAGATTATTGTTGTAAATTTGATGACCAAATCGAAATTAATTATTATTTTATAGTTTTCCGTCCGAATAAATCTTAACCGAATAGCATAAGTCGGTCAATCGATCAGTAATCCGGATCTGAAGATCATTCCAGAGTCATGCCAGCATTTCTATTCAATTAACCAACTTGTGTCATTCGGGATAATTAGGTTGAATGATTCGAAGGGGATAACAACTTGGTGGGGAAGTGATTTAACGGGGAATTGATAGAGTTTGAGAAGAAACTTTCGACTCTATTGAGAAATTAGTTTGAAATTCAATTTCGAAGAAGAATCAATGAGAATTTTCAATCAAAACGTTTCCCCATCATGCTGTTACCCCCTTGGAAAATCCACTCAATATTTCAATTTAATCAAAAAATATTTATTTTTGTATGAAAATAATCCGCAAATAATGAAACAAATTCAAAAACTTCAAGGGGGTCCTCGGTTTGAAAAATTGTTTAAATCTAGAAAAATCTTTCTTAAATCAAGTATCCTCTAGAACCTGAAATTCCATTCACAATTAATTGGTGATCTATTGGTGCTGTCTACTCTTTCAACATAGTTAAAAACTCAAATTTATGTCTAGCTTTTTGAAATTCTACGAAATTTTTGAAATAAAATGCAATAAATCTTGTAAATAAAATAAAAAATGAATTTGGAATTATTTTTAAATTTTAATGAATGAAGGCTGAGCTTAAGGTTTCTAAAAATAAAACAATAAAGGCACTAAAGGATCTCTAAACGAGTGTTAAAGAAAGTCTCAAACCAATTTAAATTCAAATAATTCAACAACTTTATTCCGAATTTTCAGTAAAATTGGCAATTTCATTTGAAAACTGGCACAAATTTGGCAAATTTTCCACAAATTCTTTAACTTCATCCTCAGAATTCACAAACATTTTATCAACACAAATATTTCTTTCCAAATTTAAGGTCTTCAAGCTTGTCAGTCCTTCAAAAGCTGTTGTGTGAATTTCCTTAATTTTGTTCCCAAAAAGCCTGACGAACTCCAACTTTGGATTAAATTTGAATAAATCAGCATCTAGATATTCAAAATTATTGAATCTAAGGCACAAATACACCAAATTCGGGAACTGCTTTAAATCCGGCTGATTAATTTCCTCTAATTGACTGTTCCAGACTGCCAAATATTTCAGATTTTTGAAAATTTCTCCAAAATTCGTTGGCATAAAATGCAATGTTTTACGATTAATAAACAGCTCGGTGACGTCATTGTTGGATTTTTCACTGGCATGGCTTGTTAGTCGACCATAGACAATGTCAACTGTCGAGTTCCTTGTTGTGATATAAAATGGAGTCTTTAAGAAGCATTCATAGAACTCGACGTACTGAAAGTCATGATGGAAGGTTGTAAAATCTTTTTGGAATGAGCACTGGAAGGTGATTGACGCACTTGATGTGTTTGAGGTTGCTATTGTGAGGATGGTGATTAGGTACGGCAAAGTGCTGTGAAATTGATGAGAATTGATTATTTTTGGAACATTTGAGGCTCAATTAAGAGTGTGGAATTGATTACAAGAGGCTGCCTTATAACCAAAGCTGTCGGCCCGCTCAATTCAGTAGATCACACACCAAAGGTTAAGAAACTCTGTCGTTCACCCTCAAAATCAAGCGATTTAATAAGATTTTGAATACAAAACCAGATTAAACCAACACAAATCCTTAAAATGCACTCTGAAATCCAAAAAAACTCACCTCAAAACACTGATAATCCACATCATACTGCTCGCTTCGTCGTTCTATAACTGAGCATATATTTAATAATTCAAAATAGAAATGATAATAAAGAGACTAAGTCAGCGCATTTGACACAAATAATTGATTGAAAATGGAGCGATTTTCAAAGCTCAAAGCTGATAATGAAAAGTAAAGTTCAACGAATAGGTCAGCCTGTAGTAAATAAATCTACGGTTTGTGGGGAGATCTCTGTCTTTAGTAAATATTGGACAATTTTGGTGATTTCTTCTCATGTAATTAATCCTTTTCGCGAATGGCACAAGTTGGTTAATCGATCAGAAATTTGGCACCAAGCCGGTGTGACTCTGGCATGATGCTGGATTTAAATTAAAGCCAGTACCATGCAAGAGTCATGCCAGCTTGATGCTGGATTTCTACTCAATTAACCGACTTGTGCTATTCGGGTTGGCTACGTCATTGGCATAAGCAGAAGTGCATTCACTTTTTGGTAAGATTTTTAACAGCTTTTCAGCACATAAGTCAGCATATGGTTGGTTTAATCCTAGCTTGGAGCGGTATTTAAAGTTGAATCTGACCCTAAGTTGACAATACAATGAGGTTCTACTGAATTATGCATCTTTTTACAATTTGAACAACACCATCAAAGAGCTTTGTGGATAATCAGCGAGGAAGCAAGCTGCAATTAAGTCAAAGGAGGGCAAGTTCTTAGTAATCCTTCGGGAACAGCTAGCTAGATGAAAGGAGCACTATCATGAAGTACTTAATGTTGAACGTGAAGGAATTTGTGTGGAAGTACTTGACAATCCACCTTTGTTAACACGGAGCCACCTAGCATCAAGGAGAAAGGAGGAATCAGCAAGCAATAAATTCTTTATTTTAACATTCTTTAATTTTAGATTGAACTAAATCATCTTATGTAGATATAAACAGCAATATATAGTAAGCCATCATGTACACATGAATAAAGAAATACAGAATTAAAACACCATAAACATCTGCCGTATTCACTCCAGAGTCATCAAGCGAGGTAAAAACTACAGAAATTATAGCGACGAAAAAGATCAAAAGCCATAATGCAGTCGGTATGAAGCCTAAGCAGATCCGGACTCTAGAATTCTGAAGAAATAAAATTTATGGTTAATATTTGTTATGATTTTGAGTTATAAAAGTCAAACTTACAGCTTCTAGTCCTTTTAAAGCCACTAATGAGATGACAATCAAGGCAATGTGGAAGAAAATGTAGCCGACGTACCATCCAACACCTGAGAAATGAAGAATATAGTCAAAAATATTCATAATATGAAAGTAAAAAGAGGGGAAGGAAGGGGAAGGGAAGGGGAAGGGTGGGGGAAGGGAGGGGGAAGGGAGGGGGAAGGGAGGGGGAAGGGAACTGGAGGGGGAGGGGAGATTTATCTGACAAGACCCTGGTTTTGATGGATTTTTTCAAATCGGAGATGGATCCTAAAGAGAGTAGAATTTGAGATATTCCCAAAAGTTTTGGAGAATTCATCTTTCTAAGGGCTTTTAGGGGGGGGGGGGGGGGGGGGGGGCTTTTAGGATTTTTTCAGAAAACCTTAGCAAAACAATGTAGGGAGATTGGTCACCCTAATCTCTCCCTGGCTCCATACCTACTTACAGATTAAGCACAGAAGACTGTATACTTTTTATTTATCAACCAAAATATAATAACTCCCCCCCCCCCCCCCTACTAGATTACAAAAAGTATCTTACCAACATAATATGTGATTGTACTAGTGATGAAGAATGAGAACAAGACTGTACTCAGTGATAGCCAAAGGTTGTAGCTGAGAAAAAAAAATCAGAGTTATTCTTAAAGTTTTATTCCTTAAGTCAGTGATGGAAAACCCATATGGCGTGATTTTTTTTGGATATCACACAAACCGTATGCTGTGTGCGGTTTAGGTAACTACCAAGTGTGCCATGGCACAAAAAAGGTTGGGCACTACTAGCTTAAGTCAATAATAATCTGCGATTTTTAGTTTCTTGTTCATTGTCAAGGTCATAGGGAAGATTCTAGTCTAGTAAGATAAAAATAATTGCATCATGCTAGACATTTCAGCTTCAAAAAGTGGTGGCTTAGTAAAATAATCTAAATAATTTTGTGTAAAAATGAATTAAGCTTATCGTTCATTGCAAAGCTTCGTAATCGACTGTAATAAGATAATAAAGTACTCGAACCACCTCACCCGTTGATAAAAACACCGCCAGTCTCTAAATGCAGCATGAAAAAGAAGTTCTTGTGATTTATTTTTCTTTTGATGGCCATGAGGAACTCCATTGTTTTGATATTGAGAGTGAAACTTAGTGAACTGAAGGTTGGATGAGATGGAATCTAGAGTTGTATGATTTTTGGATTTTAGATTATTTTTAAAACTGTTGATTTTTTGAAATTTTTTTAAATGTTTTTTAAAATTGTGAAAAATTTAAAAAAATTAAGTTTTGAATTTTTTTGATTTTTATAAAAATATTTTCAAACTTTTTGTTTTATATTTTGAAAAATTTAAAAATCTTTTAAAAAAAATTAAGTTTTGAGTTTTTTTGATTTTTGATTTTTTTTTAATATTTTCAATCTTTTTGTTTTTTTTTTATATTTTTAAAAATCTTTTAAAAAAATCAAGTTTTGATATTTTTTGATTTTTGATTTTTTTAATATTTTCAATCTTTTTGTTTTTTTTTTATATTTTTAAAAATCTTTTAAAAAAATTAAGTTTTGATTTTTTTTTTGATTTTTTAAATTTTTTTGAAATATTTAAAAAATTTGAATTTTTTTTTATATTTTTTTTAAAAAAAAAAACAATAAATTTGTCACAAAATTCTTAAAATTTCACAAAATTACTTAATCCTCAAACAACAGCCAAAACTTGACTGAAATTGTCATTATTTACCAAATAAATAAAATTATTCAATAGCCTTATCAAAACGATAATTTTTTTGTGCTGATAAGTCCAATTTTACTATCTAATTTCTAGGAAAACCTCAACAATGGTAAAAACGTACATACTGATTAAGGTTTGAGTTTACTGACTTTTTACTTTAAGAGCCGTGAATTTGTTTTTTTTTTGTTATTTTAAAAATCCATTATAACCAAAAATTCCTGAAAATTTAAATTTTTATTATTTTTAAAAATATCAATTTATTTTCTAATTTAAATTTTTTTTATTCGACCAAAAATTAATCTTAATCATCATGCTTCCTCAAATGCTTAATAATCCCATCAACCCATGTGTCCAAGTCAATGATTTTATCCACATTATCAGGATTGCATGCATATTGCTTCATGTCTGTAACTCCATAAGCCTTAAGAACTTCATCGTCAATGTAAAAGTTTCCAGTAAAAGCCTTTGGATCTCTCGATAAAATGATGTAAGCAGCATCAGACATAACTTCAGGTTTTCTAGCGACATCGAAGCTTTTTGGTCCAGTAAGTGCTGCAACGGCTGCTGTAAAGACTAACTTCCTTGGCCATAAAGCATTGACAGCAATATTGTATCTCTTGAACTCATTTGCCATCCCTAAAGTACACATGCTCATTCCAAACTTAGCCATTGTGTATGCTGTGTGGTATTGGAACCATCTTGGGTCAGTTCCAAAAGGCGGTGCTAAATTCAAAATGTGAGCATGTTCAGACTTTTTCAGGTATGGCAGGCACTCTTTAGACACAATAAATGTTCCTCTAGCATTAATTTGCTGCATCAAGTCATAACGCTTCATGTCAGTCTTCTCGACACTCGTCAAGTTTATGGCTGATGCATTATTGATGACAATATCAATTCCACCAAACTCTTTGACTGCATGCGCAATGGCTGATTTAACTTGAGTTTGATTTTGGACATCGACGACACATGGAAGGGCTTTGCCTCCAGCTTTTTCGATTTCTTGGGCTGCTGTGAAGATTGTGCCTTCGAGTTTTGGCTGGAAAGAGGAAGGAAGGAATATTTTTATTGCGAATTTAGTCATCTGGATTTAGATTTGGTCATCTAGGTTCAGAATTAGTAATCTAGGTTGAGATTCAATCGTCTAGGTTAAGATTTAGTCATCTAGGTTAAGATTTAATCGTCTAGGTTAAGATTCAATCGTCTAGGTTAAGATTTAGTCATCTAGGTTAAGATTAAGTCATCTAGGTTAAGATTCAATCGTCTAGGTTAAGATTCAATCTTCTAGGTTAAGATTTAATCGTCTAGATTAAGATTTAGTCATCTAGGTTAAGATTCAATCGTCTAGGTTAAGATTAAGTCATCTAGGTTAAGATTCAATCGTCTAGGTTAACATTCAGTCATCTAGGCTAAGAATCGATCATCTAGGTAATTTTTTTTGTTCATTATTTACATGTGGCTCGGCAGTTTTTGATGCAATCACAACATTTGCTCCATCTGAAGCAGCTTTAAGTGCTATAGCCTTTCCTATACCTCTTGATGCACCTGTTATGAACAGGGTTTTCCCAGTCAATTTACTACAAATAAAAAACATGTTTAAATAATAAAAATAAGATTTTTTGGAATAGTTTTGACCTGAAAATCATTTATTAGATCATAAAAAATAGGCTAGACATGAACTTAATGGCATTGGAAAGTAGAACTGTAATAACAACAACATGAGAACTGCCCTTGACAATGAAATGCTAATGACATAAAAATTATCAAGATAACAACAAATTTGAGAGAATTCTCTGAAAAAATGCACCGAAATTGAGTCTCTCGCGAGAGTTTGATTGAGCTACATTGGAAATTCAGTTACCTTTATCATGTTATTGGATTAAATAAATATTTTTGCTTTGCTGATGACTTTTTTTGTACTTTAAACTTTGTTTTTATCAATTAAGAATCGGGAATGACTCTTTAAAGACGAAACATTTGATAAGAAATTAATTCTACGAAGTTTAAAGTGAGGGATTTAAAAGATTTGACTTCATGGATATTAGATTAGAAATTAAGGTTTGCTGCACTAGTAAAAGGACCTTTACTCATTCCATCTAGTGTTACGGAACTTTAACTTGGGTTTTTTAACCTTGCTTGAGTCATAAAACTGATGTTTTTGCAATGGAGTCTATCTTAAGCCCGGCATCTTTGACCAACCGACCATAACTACATTTATGTCTCCCAATCACGCTTTCCTTTGACAACAATCGTCTAGTTATGCGCACATTTCTGAATATTCTCCAAAAAAAACATCTTAAAAGTCTGAATTCGAACATAAATGCATCAAAACTTCCTCAAAATCTTCAGAACATCAACAAACAAGTTCTCTTAAACCGACCTTTGATCATGCCACAAAAATATTCTACAAACTCACATGAAGTTTTCTTTCATCTCTCAATAGCACGTGCAGTCTTGTTGAATGGAAAATGTAAACTGAGATGGAATTTGGATTCTCCCACGAGGTATTTTTGAGAGAATTTTGAGCATTGAAATGTTAAAAAGAAGTGGAAGTGATAAGAAATGAGAAAATGAGTAAATTGAAGTTAAAAGTGTCCTTATTCAGAGGTTTTTGAGTTGTTTATGATCAGCTTAGGTATTTAGGACTCAATTTAGGAAATGACCCTTCAGCTTTGCGTCTCTCTGGGCTTATGAAGGGATAAAAAAGCACAGGAACGCTTCTACGAGGACCGATTCTAGTCTATAAAGTATTCAGCGTTCAATGCCCCAAAAGCATGAAAACTTAATTCTAGTCAAAAAAGTATTCAGCGTTCAATGCCCCAAAAGCTTGAAAACTTAATTCTAGTCCAAAAAAGTATTCTGCGTTCAATGCCCCAAAAGCATGAAAACTTAATTCTAGTCCAACAAAGTATTCAGCGTTCAATGCCCCAAAAGCATGAAAACTTAATTCTAGTCCAATAAAGTATTCAGCGTTCAATGCCCCAAAACCATGAAAACTTAATTCTAGTCCAACAAAGTATTCAGCGTTCAATGCCCCAAAAGCATGAAAACTTAATTCTAGTCCAACAAAGTATTCAGCGTTCAATGCCCCAAAAGCTTGAAAACTTAATTCTAGTCCAAAAAAGTATTCAGCGTTCAATGCCCCAAAACCATGAAAACTTAATTCTAGTCCAACAAAGTATTCAGCGTTCAATGCCCCTAAAGCTTGAAAACTTAATTCTAGTCCAAAAAAGTATTCAGCGTTCAATGCCCCAAAAGCATGAAAACTTAATTCTAGTCCAAAAAAGTATTCAGCGTTCAATGCCCCAAAAGCATGTAAACTTAATTCTAGTCCAACAAAGTATTCAACGTTCAATGCCCCAAAAGCATGAAAACTTAATTCTAGTCCAATAAAGTATTCAGCGTTCAATGCCCCAAAAGCTTGAAAACTTTGGGAACCGCTACTCTAATGACTGATTTCTAGTCTTTCTATAGCCAAAACTCAATGAATCACGCTCTTAGGTATAAAAAGAGTATCATTGTGAATTGGGAAGCCTGAGATACTCTAAAACCAGTGATGTCCAACCCATGTGCCTCGAAAAAAATTCAGAAATTTTATGAACCGTATGCAGTGTTCGTTTTTGTTGCTGGCTTACCACCAAGGTGTGCCGTAGCACGAAAAATGTTAAACACCACTGCTCTCGATAGAACTAAATACTGTCTATGATGTAAACCAATCCCAACCACATGTGTCTATACTTCAAGCTATAAGTAGGGTGACCATCTGCGTAGTTTTACAACGGACAGTCCTGTATTTCAAAACCCTGTCCTGTATAAATTTGAAAACTTTGTTCCAGGTCCTGTATTTTTTTCACGAAAATTTCCGTTAATTTTCGAATTTTACTCTATGTCCTGTATTTTTCGAAAAAATTTACCAAAAGTCCTGTATTTTCATGAAAATTAGATGGTAAGCCTAGCTATAAGCAACTTACCCTGTATTCAACATAATGATTAAATAATAAATAAAAAGCTAAAATATCACAGATCCTCCTTTATTATCTCCAAACACATTTAATGCTCCTGCTTTACTGCTGATTATACCAAATTTTTTTTATCTAATCAAATGTGAAATAAAATCGATACAAAAACGACAAAGACATTTGTATCTAAATGGATGTTAAGGGCCGTTCACTTATTACGTAACGCTTTTAGGGGGGACAGGGGGGGTCTAAGATTATGTTACGGTTCAAACAAAAGAAATTTTTTTTACACAAATTTTGTTACGAGGGGGAGGGGGGTCTAAAAAGTCGTTTTTTCGCGTTACGTAATAAGTGAACGGCCCCTAAAATCTTGGTATCTACATCATTAAAGTTTTATGTTTGTGTATGACTTGATGACAATGATGATGATGACTTAAGCTTAATGAGCACCAGGGGCGTAGCTAGGAATTTGAAGAGGGGGAGGACAAAAAAATTTTTGTGGAAAAATTTTAGGGGGGGGGGGGGGGGGGTGATTTTTGTGATTATTCTCAAAAACCCTAGCAAAGTAAAGAAAATTCTGTTGGATTTGTCCCCAAAATCCCCCCCCCCCCCCCCCCTGGCTACGCGTCTGCTGAGCGCTGACTGCAAGAAGGCTGAAGCTTATTGATTTCTGGATTTGATTTGGGTCGGAATTTAAATTCAATCTTAACCAAAACTGAGCTTTTTTTGTGGTTATGTTGATGAGCTATTTCAAAATAAATAGCTAGAAGCTTTATGTTTAGTCTGAAGCAAGGAACCAACGTTTGAGCTTAAGGAACTGCGATTCAATTAGGACACAATCTCTTGGCTTTGGACGCAGTCAGCTAAAAGTTCCAGGTTACGTCTTTAATCAGGTTTTTATATTTTGCTGGATTTGCTAGTCAATTGTTTATTTCGAGTCCTAATGTGCTGCTAAAAATGGATGCTATTGCTTATTTTGGAACTTACTTTCAGCTAAGCTATGCAAAGATCTCTAATCACACATTAGGACTGTCTAAAAATAGCACAGCTCATTGCCAGTTTAAAGTAATAAGGACTCAAGCACACCAGCTTAATTCTCTCTTTCACATCCAATCCAGGAATACGAGAAACAGTAAACTTCAATGCCCACCTCAAGGTAAAGCACAAATCAATCCAATTCTAAGTTTCAGAACCTTGACAACGCCTTGAAACCTGATCAAGTCATAACATAAATAAAATTAATAAAGCCAGACTCATAAGTGCGGCAATAAGCACAAAATCCCAGTTTCAACATAGCACTTGCATGCTGATAAAGTCAATGTCTATCTCCTTTATGACACAATGAGTTGTTGACGTGCTTTTTGGTGACATAAATAATTTTGGAAATACCCAAAAGATTAACATTCAATCCTTGCTAAGCACTCGCTTGTTGATAACATTAAAAATAAAAATTATTGAACCAGAATTAGTGAACATAATGCCTGGATTATATCTCGAAATGGAACTGAAATGATAAGAATTGTCACAAGGAAGTCACCAAAAATTAAAAAAATCAATAAAATAACTTTAAAAAAAATCTTAAAATTTATTTAACTGTCAATTTTCTTCATTTTCTCAACAGCTGCATCGATCCAAGTGTCTAGTTCCATAATTTTATCCTCATTTCCAGGCACACATGAGTACTGCTTCATGTCTGTGATTCCATTGGCAATAAGGAACTCGTCATCAATGTAAAAGTTGCCTGTTGCTTCCTTTGGATCTCTCGAAAGGATCAAATAAGCAGCATCGGACATAATTTCAGGTTTTCTGGATATCACGTAGCTGTTTTGTCCGGCAAGCATTGTTACAGCTGCTGTGCTGATAAGTTTATTTGGCCATAAAGCATTGACTGCAATGTTGTATCTTTTGAACTCTTCAGACATCCCCAATGTGCACATACTTGATCCATACTTAGCAATGGTGTAGGCTGTGTGATATTGGAACCAACGAGCTTCACTGCCGAATTTTGGCGCCAAATTTAAAATGTGAGCGTGACTGGACTTTTTAAGGTATGGAAGGCATTCTTTGGATACCAAAAATGTTCCACGAGCAATGACTCCGTTCATTAAGTCATACTTTTTCATGTCTGTGTTGCCGACACTTGTCAAGTAGATTGATGATGCATTATTGACGACAATATCGATTCCACCGAATTCTTTGACTGCAGCTTCGACTGCTGCTTTGACTTGTTCATCATTACGGACATCAACGATGCATGGAAGAGCTTTGCCACCTGCTTTTTCAACTTCTTGTGCTGTTGCGTAGATTGTACCTTCAAGCTTTGACTGGAATTGGGGAAAATTAGTTTTTTGAATTTTAAAAAACCGGTAAAATTTGAATTATTAAAAAAGTTTAAATTTAAATTTTTAAAAAAGTTTAAATTTGAATTTTTTAACAAGTTTAAACTTGAATTTTAAAAAGTTTGAATTTGAAATTTAGAAAACCGTTAAAATTTGAATTTTTAAAAAAGTTTAAATTTGAATATTTAAACAAGTTTAAATTTGAATTTTTAAAAAAGGTTAAATTTGAATTTTTAAAAGGTTTGAATTTGAATTTTAGAAAACCGTTAAAATTTGAATTTTTAAAAAGTTTAAATTTGAATTTTTTAACAAGTTTAAACTTGAATTTTAATAAGTTTGAATTTGAAATTTAGAAAACTGTTAAAATTTGAATTTTTAAAAAAGTTTAAATTTGAATTTTAAAAAAAGTTTAAATTTGAATTTTAAAAAAAGTTTAAATTTGAATTTTAAAAAGTTTGAATTTGAATTTTTACAAACCGTAAAAATTTAAATATCAAAAAATATTAAAATTTTAATTTTCAAAAACCTTTTAAATTTGAGTATTTAAAATCCAAAATTAAGAAATTTTTAAAAAGTTAATTTTTGAATTTTAAAAATCCGTTGAAATTAGATTTCTAAAAATATTTGATCTTCAACTTTAAAAACTAGTAAAATTGAAATTTTCAAAAACCAGTAAAATTGAAATTTTCAAAAACCAGTAAAATTGAAATTTTCAAAAACCAGTAAAATTGAAATTTTCAAAAATCAGCAAAATTTAAATTTTCAAAAACCAGTAAAATTGAAATTTTCAAAAACCAGTAAAATTGAAATTTTCAAAAACCAGTAAAATTGAAATTTTCAAAAACCAGTAAAATTGAAATTTTCAAAAACCGGTAAAATTGAAATTTTCAAAAACCAGTAAAATTGAAATTTTCAAAAACCAGTAAAATTGAAATTTTCAAAAACCAGTAAAATTGAAATTTTCAAAAACCAGTAAAATTGAAATTTTCAAAAACCAGTAAAATTGAAATTTTCAAAAATCAGCAAAATTTAAATTTTCAAAAACCAGTAAAATTGAAATTTTCAAAAACCAGTAAAATTGAAATTTTCAAAAACCAGTAAAATTGAAATTTTCAAAAACCAGTAAAATTGAAATTTTCAAAAACCAGTAAAATTGAAATTTTCAAAAATCAGCAAAATTTAAATTTTCAAAAACCAGTAAAATTGAAATTTTCAAAAACCAGTAAAATTGAAATTTTCAAAAACCAGTAAAATTGAAATTTTCAAAAACCAGTAAAATTGAAATTTTCAAAAACCGGTAAAATTGAAATTTTCAAAAACCAGTAAAATTGAAATTTTCAAAAACCAGTAAAATTGAAATTTTCAAAAACCAGTAAAATTGAAATTTTCAAAAACCAGTAAAATTGAAATTTTCAAAAACCAGTAAAATTGAAATTTTCAAAAATCAGCAAAATTTAAATTTTCAAAAACCAGTAAAATTGAAATTTTCAAAAACCAGTAAAATTGAAATTTTCAAAAACCAGTAAAATTGAAATTTTCAAAAACCAGTAAAATTGAAATTTTCAAAAACCAGTAAAATTGAAATTTTCAAAAATCAGCAAAATTTAAATTTTCAAAAACCAGTAAAATTGAAATTTTCAAAAACCAGTAAAATTGAAATTTTCAAAAACCAGTAAAATTGAAATTTTCAAAAACCAGTAAAATTGAAATTTTCAAAAATCAGCAAAATTTAAATTTTTAAAATCAGTTAAAAATTTAAATTTTAAAAAAACGTTATAAATTTAAACATTGAAAAAACTGTTAAAAATTTGTTTAATATTACATGTTTCTCAGCAGTTTTGGAAGCAATCACAATATTAGCTCCATCAGCAGCAGCTTTAAGTGCTATAGCCTTACCAATACCTCTTGATGCTCCAGTTATGAAGAGGGTTTTGCCAGCAAGTTTCCTTTAATGAAAATTATGAAGAAAGTCAGCTAGAATGTGAAGAAAGTGAAGTACGAGGGCTGGCTGGGAGGAGGGGGGGGGGGGGGGGGAGCTATCTTACAGTTATTCTCAGGATAGACCAGAAATTTATCAGATCTAAGACAGTGTCTCAAAATCCTCGTCCTTAATTCAAAGCTAATTCACATTAAATTATTTATAAAGAAACTCACCCAGTATTAATCATTTTTGAGTTTGAGTTAAATTTGAGTTAAATTTAAATAAATTTTATTTTTTAAAAAAAAGACTTTCAAACGTTAGATCAATATGAATACTTAACTGCAACTGAATCTTATTCTCCAAAGGAACTCTCGATGTAAGCTAGGATCAACATTAATTTCAATTATTGTTATCTTATCATATAAAATCTACAAATACAACAAACAATTTACAATACATTTTAAACAAAAAATAATTTTCTTTTTATCTAAATTTAGAAGTTGAGATAATAAATGTACTAAAATTGACAGCAGTAAAGTTAAAGTCATTTTTTTATCAAAGACAGTGGTGGTCAACCTTTTTTTGTGCTATGGCACAACTTGGCCTTTAAGCCATGACCAAAACCGGATACGGAACACGACTCGTGGGATTCTAGAAGTTTTTTGAGATATTTGTTTGCCATCACTGAACTAAGATGACATCGAGATCTCTGATAAACAATCGAATCAAGCCTATTTTGATATGCAACAATATTAATTGACTTTTTTTGCCGAGAGGAAAGGAGGGGGGGGGGGGTTCGAAAAATCAACCCTCCCCCCATTCGAAATGTTTAGCTCCGACCCTGCTTCTTTGAATTACTTCGTCTACCCTCAAGCATTGGCGTAGCCAGGAATTTGAAGAGGGGGGGACAAAAAAATTTAAATGGAAAATTCAGAGGTAAGGGGGATTTTTGTTAACGTTGACGGATTTGTCCCCCAAATCCCCCTTCCCCTTGGTTACGCGCCTACTCTCAAGTTAAAGCAGGGGTTCTCAAACTTTTTTAATTCACGGTACTCTTTTCTAGTTCCTTGACGACACACTAGCGAGTCGCAGCACACAGTTTGAGAACCACTGAGTCATATTCATTTCTTCAAATCTAGTGTACCTTCTATCCTAGCTTGAGGTAGGCTTCCACAAATCAGAAGCTATATCCTTTAGGTAAGCTAACCTTCCCAGTTTAATCCCAACAATGAATATTTAACAGTTCCGTTCATTAACACATCTTATGAATCATCTGCTTTTGTTTACTTGTCTTTTCTAGCAAACGGGTTTTGTGTCCCGCAGAATCAAGTTTTATGCAGCCTCACAGTATCTATTTTTTGCCTCTTAGTCGTTCATTAATGTTTAGCACATCGCAAGAAACGGACGATTTTGTAAATTAAGAATGAATTTTAAAGTTTTGTGTTTAATTTTTGCACATTTTGTTGCACTTTATGGACAAAAGATTGAGTATCTTAGTGATTTATATGAAAATGATGAATGTGAACTAGAAAATGGTGCATTTGGTGTATGTAAAGCAGTTACTGACTGTCTTCAAGAGTACGAATTGTATCGAAAGAATCAAACAACTTTAAGAATTTGCACTTACAATGATGCTCCATCGACATCAATCATTTGCTGTCCAAAAACTGTTGTTCCTCAAACAATCACTAAACAAAGGAATGAACTGGATTTGACAAATTTCGAGACATGCAGGAACGAGTTCTTACAATACAGAAAAATGGGAGTCAGCATTAATCATTTTGCAGAAGCATTTTCGAACAAAATTGTGCCTAATAATCAAAAAAACTGTGACTTTATCAACAAAGATATTTCGAATGGTAAGGGTTAATGGGAATCATCCATAAATGATGTCTGTATTTAATGAATGATTGGAAACTTCTTTCATAGATCATTTTTGGCAAGACGGTCATCATAGTTGCAGGGAACAAGATGGAAAATTTTATCTAGCACAAGTGGCACCGGCTTATGCTGAATTAGTTCGAAAAGGTGATCGTCCCAACATTGCAGCAATTGGATGGACCCAAAAGGACAAAAGTATTTTATATAACTGCGGTGGATCAATTATCACTGAAAGATACATCGTCACAGCTGCACATTGTAGAATTTTTCAAAAGTAAGAATGGTTTGGGGCTGTTCATCGATGACGACACCATCATTTATGAATAACCCCCTTCAGAATTATTCAGTGAAATTTTAATTTCAGGAAGGAACCTGACCTAGTTCGACTTGGTGATCGCTACTTGTTGACTTCAGAAGATGATGAGATTGCACAGCAAGTCAGGATAGAGAAGTTCATATCACATCCAGACTATACATCAGCATATCATTACAATGACATCGCGATGATTAAAACTCTTGATCGAATAGTTTTCAATAAGTTTGTTGTGCCTTCGTGCATAGCTGATTTAGATGCAGAACATATAGCAGCATTTAGAGAGAAAACATGGACAGTCGCTGGATATGGAGAGGTAAATCAAGGATCAATTAAAATTAGGTCTCTTTTGATTGGTTTAATTTTAACCTCATTAATCTAGACAGAAGACCGCGTTCGATCAAATATCCTACTTGAGTTGAAAGTCAAATTTGTTCCATATAAAGAATGCAATGAAACATTTTCTGACAATCCGGACTTACCACGTGGAATCGCTGACAGTCAACTTTGTGTCAAGAGCATTGGAAAAGCTATGGGAGAAATTGTTATATATCCAGACACATGGTAAGATTAAGTTACAAGTTGTCGCAAGGAACTCTTGAACTAAGGGACTATGTCGTAGCTAGAAGAGGATGGTGCCTTTCTTAACCTCTTCAGCAGCGCTCATGCTTTGAACCATTTGGTCTTGTGCTTCAAACTAGGTCCAAAGTAAAAATTTTGATCCATGCTCTTGCTGCGGTTTAAAACTTATAAGTGGGGGGGTCCAAACCATCCTGGCTACGCCCCAACTTCAAGTGTATCCACCACGCTATACTAATAACCTACAATGTTTATTGTCTTACAGTTTTGGTGATTCTGGAAGTCCTTTACAATACAAAACAGCATTTGAAGTCTTTCCTGATGATTTTAACAAAACATTTCTGTCTCATTATTACTTTTCATCAAATGTGATTGGAATTGTGTCATTTGGAGTCGATTGTTCGTTGAATGTTCCATCAGTCTACACAAAATTAGCTTATTATCGTGATTGGATGAAGAATGTGGTTCAGAATAATTGAAATAAAAATGCAAATAAACTAAATTGTGGTTAAGATGATTTATTTACTTTTATTCATAACATTAGGCATAGACAAGAGGGATAGGGTATGGGATAGGGTATGGGATAGGGTATGGGATAGTGTATGGGATAGAGTTTGGGATAGGGTATGGGATAGGGTAGAGGATAGGGTATGGGATAGGGTGGAGGATAGGGTATGGGATAGGGTATGGGATAGTGTATGGGATAGAGTTTGGGATAGGGTATGGGATAGGGTAGAGGATAGGGTATGGGATAGGGTGGAGGATAGGGTATGGGATAGGGTATGGGATAGTGTATGGGATAGAGTTTGGGATAGGGTATGGGATAGGGTAGAGGATAGGGTATGGGATAGGGTGGAGGATAGGGTATGGGATAGGGTATGGGATAGTGTATGGGATAGGGTATGGGATAGGGTAGAGGATAGGGTATGGGATAGGGTGGAGGATAGGGTATGGGATAGGGTATGGGATAGTGTATGGGATAGGGTATGGGATAGGGTATGGGATAGGGTATGGGATAGGGTATGGTATAGGGTATGGGATAGAGTATGGGATAGGGTATGAGATAGGGTATGGGATAGAGTATGGGATAGAGTATGGGATAGGGTATGGGATAGGGTATGGGATAGAGTATGGGATAGGGTATGAGATAGGGTATGGGATAGAGTATGGGATAGAGTATGGGATAGGGTATGGGATAGGGTATGGGATAAGAATTGATGAAATGTTTAAGACGATGGGAATCTCTTTTCAGCTGACTTAATAAATCTCATATAATGATAAACATTTGTGAACATTGTATAGAAACTCAAATCACAATTGCCTTCAACTTGTCTTGCATTACTGACGACACCGCGCAGAAAGTAAATTTCTTCATCATCTTTCATTTGTGGAAATGCCAATCCTGATCCAGAGTCTCCTTGACACACAGCATCACCGCCACTTATACTTCCAGCACAAAACTTATCAGGTGTCACGAATTGCTTGAAGTTTTGTGGTGCATCTTTTTTGCATTGACTGTAGCTTACTGTTGGCAATTTTCCGACTTTGAGAACATCACTTGGATTTCCTCCAGCAGTTGTGAATCCATAACCACCAACAATTCCGACCAGTCCTTGTTGAATTGTCATCTCTTCCTCTAAATATGTATTTTTGTCTATGCAGATCGGAACAATGTGCTGTCGAAAGACAATGTAGTCATCAAGAACAAGAATAATGAAATCAGCTGAAAAGAATCCCATGTAGCCGTCATATCCAGGCACAGAAATAACTTCACTAATGTTAAAGAATTGTGATTGAAAAGTTTCTTGAGCTGCTAAGTCACGATTGTATTTTCCAACTGCTACTTTGAAAAGTGACAAGTCTTCAAGGATTACACTCTCTACTAGGTTGCTTGGCTGCTCTTTGAAGAAGCAATGTGCTGGAATATTTTGGTATATTTAAAAAAGTTGGTTCTTTGTTGCTTGAACTTACCAGCGGATACAGCTAATCTCTCAGATATTATTGTGCCACCACAAATTAAGTAGTCACGTTTGTAAATTGCAGTAACCCATGGAACCTATGATTATTCATATTAGACGACATATATCAATTTTTGGAATGAATACAGAGACACAAAGAGACACACAAAGCACAATACACAAGACACAATATACAAGATACAAGACACTAAACACACGAAACAAGACACAAGACACAAGACACAAGATACAAGACACAAGAAACAAGACGACACTAGACACAACACACAAGACACAAGACACAAGACACAAAACACAATACACAAGACACAAGACACAAGACACAAGACACAAGACACAAGACACAAGACACAATCACAAGACACAAGACACAAGACACAAAACATACCTCAGCAACATTCTTAGCCTTCTTCCCGCCAACAACATAAGCTGTTGCAGCTTGAGTAACTCGACCACATTTTGGTGTACAACGTAGTGCAATTTTGTCCCAGCTTCCAGTTGACAAACATGTCAATTTTTGTGATAAATGTTTGCTGACATTTAAGTTTGGCATTTCATAGTAAGATCCACAAGTTATATGAGCTATTGTCCCAACAACATGCTGTTGATTGCATGGGATAAATTTGTCGTTTACTTCGCAGATTGTTTTGATTGTTCGGCCAATGACATCAGCTCCACTGCAAATTGCTATAAAATAACTCAAGATTATTAATAGCTTTAAAAGGAACTTAGCAACTTACTTTGACATTCTGGAAATAAAGACCATTTTCTAGTCCATTTCGTTCGATCACAGCTATTTGATGAATCAAAGTCCATGCTTACATTCATAGTTGTTCCACCTTTACAAACTATTTCGATATATTCGCCATCATTGACATATCCACCCGGCAAGTATTCTTCACCAAATATAGAATTAATGTACCGTAGATCATTTCTGGATGGCAATCGACACGATCCAGGTGGAACCTTTCCAGTTAAATTTCCTTTAATCAAGTAAACATTATAATGTGCTCCACACAGCAGCTCATCCTCATCTGAACCATCAGCACATCGACTGGTTCCAGTGCAACGAAAACTTTTTGGCACACAAGCGCCATAACGACATCGAAATGCATTCTTTGGGCAAGTTATTTTAAGACAAATGTTTTCTTCTTCATCGGAGCCATCAGCACAGTCAACTTCACCGTTACAGACAGTCTCTGAGTCTATACATTCACCAGATCTACAGTGGTACTTGTCAAGGCTGGAAAAATTGAGAGGATTGAGGTTTGATTGGTTGGCTGGCGGGGGAGGAGGGGTTCAAAGGGTTTAAAGATTGACTGATGGGCAGGTGCGTGGTCTTGTCCTCCTCTTAAGCGTTTAAGACCGTCCTCTCGCTGTGGTTCAAAACGTATAAGGGGGGGGGGGGGGGGGGGGACAAGACCCTCCTGGCTACGTGCTAGCAGATGGGTCAAAAAAGAGTATTTAGACCAGCAACAACACTCTTGGCTATTTTAATGATTGAGTTGGTGACATTTGGTCAACATTTTGATACTTACGGACATCCAACAAGTTCATTCTCTTCTTCCTCAATACAATTAATTGGCAGCTCATCAGATCCATCCAAACAGTCCTTCTTTTGATTACAAACATTTCTTGGATCTATACAAGCTCCATAAGCACATCTAAAGCTGTATCTTGGACATTTTAATTTTTGACACAATTCTTCAGTTTCATCTGTACGACCTGAGCAATCAGCCTTACCATCACAAACAAGTTCGTCGGGGATGCATGAGCCATCCTCAATACACTTAAATTCAAATGGCGTACACATGTTGAGTGTTGACGGGACAGCGGCTGAAAATAAAGAGAGTAATGTAAACAATAACAACTGTTGAGGTAGGTTAGTGATGTTTTGGGTCTTTGCGGTCATGAGAGAATGAAGTTTTTGATCTCAATTTTAAAATTCTTATCAGTTTTTATTTTAAATTTTAGATTTTTTATGGTTTAATAATTTTAAAAAAGGTTTATTTTTAGGAAATACTTACAATTTACTGCTGTTGAAAGTAAAGAGATGCTTAGTAAAATTAAAATTAGCATTTTTCGAGCGAAAGTTCTACTAAAGCTTGTAGAAAGGAGGAAATCTGAAACTTGACTAACCAGATTGCACGAGAAATTCTCATCTCAAATAATATTTTTAATTCTTATTCTCAATTTTATTTTAATGCTCAATGCATAATAATCCAAAACAAAAGAAGGGGTTGTACACTTATGACGTCCAACATTTAGGGGGGTGTGGGGGTTGGGGGGGGGGGGGGGGGGGGGGGGGGGGTCAGGCAACTTGTGACTTCCAATTTTTTAATCAGGAAAATATAAAAATTTTTGTGTCTTGGATTGCACGTCACAGAGGAGGGGGGGCATTGACAGCTGTAACCGTTTTGTGACAGGACAGGAGGGGGGGGGGGGGTCAAAAAATTAGGTTTTTTGATGGACTTCAGGGGCGTAGCCAGGAATTTAAAGAGAGGGGGACAAAATGTTTTTTTTTGTTGAAAAATTTAGGTGGGTGAGGGGGGGGAGGGCTGATTTTTGGGATGTTTTCATAAAAACACTAGTAAAATAAAGAAATTTCTGTTTACGTTGCGGGATTTGTCCCCCAAAATCCCCTTCTGACTACTCGCCTGATGGACATCATAAGTGAACGGCCCCTCATACAAAAAAAATGATTACAATATTTGATCCAGATTTTTTTTTTATTTTCTATAATTACAAATTTTTTAATTCTTATTATTTTAAGTTCAGTTTTATGTTTTAATCCTACAAACTATAAATTTTGCTTTTTGTATTTATTTCAATTATTTTTAAATATTTTACATTCGACCGAAATCAATGCTGTATCTAGAAAGTCTTTTAAAAATTGATCTCAAACTTTTGGACTTATTTAATTTATTCTTAGCTTTCAAGCCAGTTGCCCACTAAGCAGTCTATTTGATAGATCAGTGTTGTCTAAACTATGTTTCGCGGCACACTGGTAGACAGTTTTTGGAAATGACGTGAGCTGCATGCAGCTTCCGATTTTGGTTATGGCTTACCCTATACCGAAGTCGAGGATTTCTCGGGAATTCCGAGACCGAGACTGAGAAGTCGAGAAAGCATTCTTACTCCTAAGGTGTGCCGTGGCCAAGTTTGAACAACACTGCTTTAGATGTTCTTTATTTTGTCAGATCTTTTGCTCAAAATTCCTCAAAAATTAAACAAAAAGCTCTGTTGAACGGGGTTTCTACCCAACCCCCCAAAACCTCCCCCACCCTCTCTCTCTCCTCCCAAATCCCCCCCTCCTTCCCCAAAATGTAAACCCCCCCAAAAAGGAGGCAAATTCACTTTCACATGTTGTAATTCTTTTTATTATTCTTCCCATTGCTGCGTCCATTTCCTAACTTTTTCTTTGTCTTCCTCTCATTCCAATTTGTGTCTGTGTCGCTCTCCGAATCGTAATATGAATTATTGGTTGTCTTCTTCCGACTTGCTATTCTACTTGAGTTTCTACCAAAGCCCATGCAATTTTCTAAATGACTCGCAAACTTATTTGCAGACACGACTTTTTCACAGTTTAGACATTTGCAGTTGAATAGCTTGTTGCCGCTGCTTCCGCTGTTGTATTCACTATGTGAGCTTCCTTTTTTGTCGTCTTGTGAGTCTGAGTTGTAGATTTCCTGTGTGAATTAAGATTGTGGGTTTAAAGGGCATTGGTCATAGTCAGCTTGCTGCTCAAACTTACCGGATGCTTGCTCTCAAAATGAGAACGAAAAACAATTTGAAGAATCACATCGTCCACCAATTGATCATATAAATATTGAGTTGCATAGCTGACATTGGCTGGATTTGACATCGTTTTTTGATAGTCTTGAACTAGTTCCGTTTCACTTTCATACTCGACGTTGTTCGGACGTTCGGACGATGACATTTTTAGTTAAATTATTGTGAATTCTACTTTGATCTGTGTTTTTATTTATTTTTTGTTTTCTTTTGAATCTTTTTAGGGGGAATGTGCTTGAATTGAAACTTGAAAAGATGCAGAAAAGTGATGCGAAAAATAATTTGAATTTTTTTTATGGCGGGAAAACTTTTATCAAAAAATAAGAAATACGAAATAATTTTTAAAAAATAAATAAAACTTAAACAATTGCAATAAGGGGCTGTTCATAAGTGACGTCTATAAAAAAACTTGATTTTAAGACTTCCTTTGTCATGAAAATTGAATTGAGAAATTTTTATTGGTTTGACTCTTCACAAATCTCAAGACTCCTCCCCAAATGGTAACATCATTTATGAATGGTCCACAAAAATTTTTATTCACCATTGTGCTGTACAACCAAGTTGATCAAAGCTAGTAAATCTAACAAAAATGTTCAGCAAATGTAAAATAACTGACCTAGCATACTTGAAGTAGTTAAGCTTCAATAAGTTGAGAAATGATGTTTTTGTGTCAAACGTGTTCATTTATTGATGCATATTTGATCTTCGGGTACAAGATCTATGAAAGATAGCGAAACAGCAAGGAGGACCCAGATGCTTAGCATCAACATTGAAGAATTGTGAATAATTAATGGCAATAAACCCTAAAGAGTTTAGAACCTTTTGGCTATTAAATAATTGAATCAATTTCACCAATATTATTAAAAATATATTTTAAGGAGCGTAGCTAGAAGGTTCTGGACCCCTCATCTCCCAGCGTTCCCCTAAAAGTTTTAAAACGCAGCGATAGCACGGCTCAGATCCTCCTGACTTCGCCCATTATATTACTAAATTGCAGTGTTTCTCAAACTTTTCAGGCCACAACACAGTAAAATTTAAAATATTACAACTACCGTCCCTTGTCTCTGTTTAAGAATGCAATAAAAATTAGCAATTGTGTATTAAAATGACCATGAACGGCATTAAGCCTAGTGATGCAATTGGCAGACGACTATTATAAGAGAACTTGCTTAAGAGCAGCTTCAGAGTAAAACCGTGAAAATTTGTATTTTTATTATTAGTTTCAATAATTGCGATGCATCTGATTGCATCAGAAATGTGCACAAAGTATTGACGGAATGTTAAGCACCAGTCAGTTATTAGCAGAGTTATTAGCACTAGTGGTAGATTTCAAGAGATAAAACTCGAGATTCTGGATAATTAAGGATTTTAGGCGTGAATTTGTTCAGAAAATCGGGACTGTCAAGCTCAAATGTGCACGGACGGACATCATATTCATATATCCCAAAAATATTCAAAATAATCCCTAAGCCTGTATGCATTAGAATTGAGAAATACCATCATATCCTTAAACTACTCGTCCAATGCACTAAGGATACGTTGGGATATCTTTATTATCGTGCATACATGCTCAGGAATTTTATGAATATTTTTGGAATATGTAGGATAAATATGATATTTGTGATAGTTTCCATGCCTTCTAAATGACCGAGACAAATGTACCCCCCCCCCCCCCCCCCTCCCCTTTAGTTCTTAATCTCGCAAAACTGCCTTTATTGACATGATGCAGGCGCGTAGCCAAGAGAGGTCTTGTCCCCCCTTAAACGTTTTGAACCGGAGCGAGAGCACAGCTTAAAACGTTTAAGAGTGGGACAAGACCCTCCAGGCTACGCGCCTGACATAATGGATATCTTTTGATAATTAACTTCACTTCCTTGAATTGATTCTTGTTTGAAGCCAGAAATTTGAAGAGGTGGTATAAAATTTAGAAGGGTGGGAGGAGGGTGGGGGTGGGAATTTAGGATATCTCCTGGACTAAACGTAAATTTTGAAACCATAATGAATGCACGAGCCCTTTAAAGCTCAAACGAGTTTATTTAAATTTAAAATAAAATAATTAAAGATAAATTGACTTAACAATATTATACCAATCATCGACTTTTACATAACATCTTGTTATGTCTTGAACTGAATGAAATAAAATGGAATTTGATGTATTTCACCTTAATCAGGAACCTGATTGCTTCTAAGATTAATGTCATTTACTTCTCAATTTGAAGGGTTTAATTAATAAATTGGAAAAACTTATAATTATTAAAATTTAAAAACAAATCTTTATGGCACATGCATCAAATCGAGTACATCCAAGACTTCTTAAAAAGGGGTCAATACTGCCAATTTGACCATAAATATCTTCAACACATTTGCATCAGGACGATGACACACAACCTTCATCAACAAACATTTCCTTAAGCCACGAAGTCCAGAAGTAAGCATTCAGGTGAACAAATTATTCTCAAAAAAATTCAATGAAATAATAATTTTTCTCTCAAAAAACCTCTTGATTGTCTGGCATACCGACGCACGCAAGAGTAATCCAAGGTCATTTCACAAGAGAAACATTACTTTGACTACCGACTCGAGATTACGAAATTTCTCTCAGTTTTTAAACGAAAAGTTTACCTTGAATATTTTACTTAATGGTATAGCTTGTACATTTGTGTATCTTTTACTCATGTCTGGCTTTATGCTGTTGGAAATAAATAATAAAATAAAGTTTGGCAAATCGTTTAACATGTGATGAAATTAATGATTGTAGTTTAAGGTTGAAAATTAGGTTTCCGGATTTGTTTTGGGCAATTGGAAGTTTCGAGACTAGTTTTTCATATTGAGCTAGGTTGTTGTAAGGTTCATCACTGCAATTTTTGATTCTAAGCCGGTTTCTAAGCTTTATTGGAGTGCTAAGGGGTAAAAGTATCTTAATAAGCTCTAGAATTAACTTTTTGGGGTCTCATGGTCCTTCTTGGACATTTTTGAACTCTATTCTATCCTCCTAGACAGTTTTGAATGGTTATGCAACTTCAGAAGTGCTAAAAACTAGCTATTGAGGCCTCTTGCCACCTTTTAGATTTCATTTCATTCGTTGGAACAGTTATTGGATGATCTTGAACCGGCTTTGTCCCTCTAGGACTCTTATTGACCCCATTGCTTACATTAAAAATGTGGATAAAAATTTCCATTGCAATGCAAAAAAATTATGAAAAATCTCAATAAAAAATGATTTGAATTTTTCATTAATCTTGATTTCTCACACATGTTGTTCCCACACTTGATTGTAGCTAAATGATAATTACAGTATCACTAGTCAAATTATGTTTTGTACCTAAATTCAAGACCATCAATTAATCCAAAGGGTTTAACCTTCATTAAATAGACACTAATAATTAGTAGCTAATTGTCAATTGGATATCATTACAAATCTTCTGGAATTTACCATGAATTTATTTCAATATTATTACAAAATATGGCATCTTCAAGATCCACACAACCTTAATGCAATCACAAGTAACAATAATTAATCCGCATACATACATTTAAAAATTGCAAAATTAAATTCATTCAATGAGATTTCATTTCTTTTATTTTAAGTGGCTTTTTTCGCGGTGTAAAAAATGTGTTGAATTAAACACAATTGTATTAAGTAAGAAATGTTAAACATAAGATTGAGAATAGAGCGCATTTCAAAATTTGAGGATAGTTTCATATTCATATGTTAAGTTTGTTTGGCATTCATCATGTCCATATCAAGTTTGATATATTTGCACTCTTGTATGCATAAAATAAGCTTCAAAAGACATAGTTTTACACCCCTTGGAACTTAAAATGGCGTAGTTTCACACCCCTGGGAATTTAAAATAACGTCTCATGTTTAGAAACATCCAACGATCTTATAAGCTAGATTTAAGTTAATTCAACTGAAAGATGTAAGAGTCTTAGCTAGGGGGAAAACAACATGATGAGAAAAATATTTGATGAAAAATTTGCGCCAATTTCCTACTGATTCTTTAGCATTGTGGACAATCAATGAGAAATTGTCGATCAAGGTCTGAAATAGGTCGATAAACTTTAGTCTAAACTTCCTCATCATGCCCATCATGTTGTTATCCCCTTGAAATTTTTTAAATATTTTCTAGAAATTCTAAATGTCGGACAAAAATGCCTTAAAACCAGTAGACAGCAATTGCGGCTTAAAGAGTAAATTACTCTCTTTGAGTCTTCATCTTAATAAAAGAAAAAAATCATTGGTAAATGTTAAAAAAAAATTCTCTCACAAATGTACAAACAGTGTACGTCAAGCTATTGTTGTAATGCTCATTTCTTATGGAATTATATTTACGAATTTTAATTCGACTTGGCTCAGTTTTTAGGCTGCTCTCGTAAAGTTAAGATGTGTTAAATTTCGGAGAAATAAATTCAGTGATTTTTTGTGGCTGCAAAGACATTTGACCTAATTTTTTTGTGTTCATTCTAATTAATGACTTCAATGTCAAGTTAGTAAATTATTTGGTGAATTTTAAACATGTTTGTTTTTATTTGAAGAATTTATTGACGAGAAAGCTTGAAAAAAAATTTTTTTTTAATTTTTTCAAAATTTAATTGAGTTATGGACGAATTGAAATGAAAAATAAATTTTAAAAAATAGCAAAAAATTTAAAAATAATCAAAAACTTTAAGAATTAGTTTTTGAATATTTAAAAATTCAAGTTAAAACCGAAAAACCAAATAATTTGAAAATAAAAATTGTAAAGTTTAAAAAAGTCAAAAAAATATAAAATAAAAATAATTAAAAATTGAAGTTTTCAAAAAATTTAAAATGAATTGAAATATTTAAAAAAAATCAAAATATCAAAAAAAATTCAAAAAAAAATTAAAAAATTGAAAATTATTAAAAAACAAAAAAAAATTAGGCAATAATGCAAAGTTAAATCAGTTTGCATCTTGTGAATAAAAAAACTTGAAAAAATTAAAATATTCCAAGCAAAATTCAGCATTTCAACTCAAATAATTTTAAAATTAAGTTTTATTGTGAACCAATTTTTTTAACTCAACTTTTTTTTATAGATTCATAGTGTCAATAAATAAGTTTAAAAATCCATAATAAGACAATTTAAAAAAAAACAAGACTTAATATCGCCAAAAAAAGCTGTGCAAATTTTAAGAAAAAAAAAAGAATGAAAATCAACGATTCTGACATGATTCCGTACTCGGACATTCTGCGAAACACATCAATCGCCGATTTTTATGCAAACAAAAATATTCTCATAACTGGCGCGACGGGATTTATGGGAAAAGTGCTCTTAGAAACATTACTTCGGAAATGCGGTGGCATTAATTGCATTTACATCATTGTTAGAATGAAAAGAGGCGGTAAGAAATTAACAGAATAAATTAAATAAACAAATGTTTTTTTGTGCTTGAATTAGGCGATTAATAATTCCCAAGAGGGTGACCCCCAAAAACCTCTTTGAATCGTAGAACTGTCTGTAAAATAATGTGCACATATTTGTTATGAATTCATGGTCAGAAATCTGAACTGCCTGGAAATTCAAAAAGAATTTTGTGACAAAAAAATATGTAAAAATTATTACAAAGCCAAAATATGTTTGCCTTGGCTTGAAATTAAATAAATTAAATTAAAATTAATTTAATAAAATTTTAAAAACATTAAGAATTTGTGAAAAAAATGGATTTTGACAAATGAGGGTGTACTTGACCCAGAAGCGTAGCCAAAAATTTGAAAATTCGAGATTTTAAATTTTAGAATTTTTCCATAAAAACCCTAGCAAAATAAAGACATTTTCGTTGACGAAAGTGGATTTGTTAACAAAATCAACCCCCCCCCCCTCTCCTCCTCTTAGCTACCTGCCTGACTTGAACCAAGATTACAGTCTGAAGTAATTTTGATCAGTTTGGTTCGTTTTGGTTCAATCTGATCAGTTTCACACCCTTGAATCAACTCCAGGCGTTGCTAAAAAGGTTCAAATCCATACCAAAAGCCGCCAAAAGGATGTTTTAGGATTTATAAACCTGAAACTATAAACAATTTTAATTCCGGTCGCATGTCCTGCACAAACATTATTTTTGAATTAATTCCATTTATTAATCCATTTTTTTAATGTCTTTAAACCCTTCGCTCATAATTTTTATTTCCATCTTATTGACCATTTAGTTGACCCAAAGCAGCGTTACAATGAATTTATCGAAGATATTGTAAGTATTTATTATGCAACAAGCTTCAAAACTTATTCAAAAAATTTATTATTTCAGGTATTCGACAACATTCGACAAGCCACACCAGAAAGATTGGACAAAATTAAATTAATTAAAGGCGACATACTCATTGACAATTTGGGAATAAACGAGAAAGATACGATTGAGTTGATTGAAAATGTTAATATTATCTTTCATTGCGCGGCAAAGGCCAAATTCTCATTGACACTGCGCGATGCTTTAAGTCACAATTTACATGCAACGTGGAGAGTTTTACAGTTGGCTGAAAAAATTCAAAATTTAGCCGTCTTTTCACATTTTTCAACGTGCTATTGCAATCCATTGGATAAAGTTATGGAAGAGAGATATTATAAGCCATGCGAGGATCCATTCAAAGTCATTCGAGCATTGATGTCGTCAAATGAGAAAGACTTGGATGAGCTGCAGCCAATGTGAGTAGTTGATGAAGCAGATTTTAGGAATTTTTGGGATAGAGTTAATTGTTCAGGATGTAGTCATGAATTTGAGAACTAGTGAGGGTCTTTACTGGTATATAACCTTACCATTTTAGAGATTGCAGCTTAGTTTTGCCTAAGACAATGATACTAATGTTTTGGATATGGTAGTGACGTTAAATAGCTTGTTATTAAAACTTATTGGACTCAACCCTAGTGTAAACCTAGACTGAACCCTAATTCTAATCTAATTTCAACCCTAATGCTATCTTCGACTCAACCCTAATGCTAAGCTAGACTCAACCCTAGTGTCAACTTAGACTCAACCCTAATGTCAACCTAGTCTCAACCCTAGTGTCAACTTAGACTCAACCCTAATGTCAACCTAGACTTAACCCTAGCGTCAACTAAGACTCAACCCTAATGTCAACCTAGACTCAACCCTAGTGTCAACTTAGACTCAACCCTAGTGTCAACCTAGACTTAACCCTTATGTTAACCTAGACTCAACTCTAATGTTATCTTAGATTCAACCCTAATGCTAAGCTAGAATCAACCCTTATGGCAATTTAAGCACCAATCTATCGACTATGGGGCAAAATGAAAAAAAAAGGGACTTTCACTTTGAAAAATGGACTTTTCCGATTTACACTTTTTGGGTGATTTTTTCTTGTAGAGGACATAAAAGTAGATAGAAATGCCAAATTTCAGGTCATTTGGTGCTGATTTCGCGATTCTAGAGCTGTTTGAAGTTGAAAACTAGTGAAAATTCTGGTTTTTTCATACCATGTTTGAACCGGGAAATATCTTAACTGGTTTAAGATATTGCAAAACGGTTTTCAGTTCCTATTAGTAGTATATAAGAGCTTTATTTTGACATATAACAAAGTTTAGGTTCTGAATGTTTTCGTGCCATTATGGTAGAACATATGTGAAAATTTCAGGAAAATTATCTTCAAACAAGCCGCAACTATCATAAATGAAGAGTTTCCAGGCAAGTAAAAACGCAGTTTTGTAGCCCCATATATCTAGTTTTCAAAACTGTATAAACTTTGAAAAAGTAAGCTAACGTAATTGAGTTATGTTGATTTTAGTAGGTCGTTGAGTATTTGGCCAAAAACTAATAATTCTTTTAAAAATACGAAAACATAGTTTTAAAAATAGTTTTTTGGTGTTTTCTTATGAAAAATAACAATTTAAATGATTTTGTGAAGAAAATTTTTCAAAAACTTCAAAATCTTTCGAGATATAGGGGGTATGTGCTCTCCATCGATTTGGCCATTTGTCACCCTACTTAAACCACTATAACTTTTTTTTGAAAAAATATTTTTTAATTCTGTTTTCGGATTATTGTAGCCTAATGTAATACCTATCCAACGATATATAATACTTGCTAGTTAACTTAGTCCTGGTTATTTATAGGGCTGTTGATTGTGACATACGCAGTTTTTGAAAAATTCCCAAAAATTGCATTTTCAAAAATACCACTTTTAAGCAATCTCGAGTATTTTTTTAGAACTTTTTTATGTTTATTTATGACATTTATGAGATTATAAAGCCAAAAAATTAAATTTAGAAACTTTTTACTTCCCTAGTTAACAACTTTGTAAAGTACCCTTGGTAGTCACTATCAGGTGTGAAAATCTCAGTTTTGAAACTATTTTATATATATACTCGTGAAATTCTCTCTACACATCATATCAGTTTTGAACTTCATTGAACAAGTCACTTTCAAAAATGAACCAAAATTCAACACTTACGAAGAAAACACTCTGTGAAATTCTTCGCGACAAAACGTTAAATCTTGCAACACAGCACACGTACTGTTTGGCAGTAATAGAAGAAATTCATGGGAGAGAATTAGCGGAATCACAGAAACCAAGTTTAATTAATAAATTAAACAAGCTGAAGTCAAAGTCAAAAATGTTTTGTAATCAGTCAAATTGGAATAATGCATTAAGAGATCATGCAGATTTCTATGAAGAGGAATTTGAAGTTGACTCACGATACTTCAGCGAATCTAGTGGAGGGATTCTTTTTGAGGAAGAATCTATATATGAAGCAGAAAATGTTACTGACACAGATGAAGATATGGATGAGATTGAATACATCGTCCATGACATAGAGCCTTCATCCAGCAAGGGCATCAAGAGGAAATCATTTGAACAACTAACAAGCGATAAGCATCGACGTAGAAGAGTGGACGAATTAGATATCAGTTTAAAAGAAGCAAAAGGATCATTGTTATCAGTTCTTCACTTGGCACTTCGCCTTTCTAAAGAAGAAGGAAAAGTAGAAGGAGCTAAAATGTTAAAAGAATTTATTAAGGCGTGCCAAAAAGGAGAGGATCTTCCAGAAAAAACTACATCAAAACCTAAACAACTAGATATACATGTAGCTCTAGGTGTAAAAGCCTTTAACAATTTATCTCGAAATCAGTACAACAATATTCGACAAGTCCTGAAACTGGAATGCGAAAACGTTTTACCGACAGCTAAAAAATTGTTGAGGTTAGAGAAACAATGCTATCCTGATGACATAACGGTCACCGATACAAGAGCCGTTATTCCACTAAAAAATTTGACACAACTCACCACAAAAAGAGTTATTGAAGCACACAATTCAGAAATATACGACAAAATCAAAATATTACCTTCAGAATCAACTCCAAAAGTTATTCATGCAGAAATGATCGTCACATGGGGGATGGACGGAACAACAGGACAGTCACAGTATAACCAAGGAAAAACAAATTCAAGAAATCAAGAACGAGATAGAACACAACCGAATCAAACGACTAATAATGAAATTATAGAAGACAAATCACTATTGACAGTTAGTATGAGTGTTCAGCAACTACGACATGAAGACGAAAACGGAAATTATATCTGCTTATGGGACAACGAAAACAGTCAATCTGTATACTCAGTACGACCAATACAACTTGAACATGCCAAAGAAACCAGAGTAAATGTTAGAAGGATATATGAAGATATAAAAAATCAAATATCAAAACTTGAACCACAGAGATTCATATGTGAAGACATGCTTTTGGAAATTACGTACAAATTCTACCCCACAATGTTAGATGGAAAAGTTTACACAGACCTTACAGAAACATCAGGATATTGCAGATGTCAGCTTTGTAGATCTGGACCAAACGAGATGAGTGACATAAATAATCTTGATAATGGAAGATTCGAAAAAACACACAGAAAATTTGTTAAAGAACACTTGTATTTCAACACTCAGCCACTTCATACATCAATGAACGTACTCACGACTCTATATGATTTGTCATATAAACAATATGTTCAAAAACACTGGCTGGAGATAACTGAAGAGGAACAGATTGTTTTAGATGTTGAAAAGGCTAGAATAAAGCAAGCAATGTGGGATGCATTTAATGTTCGTGTACTCGAACCAAGACAAGGGGGAGCTGGATCATCAGATACAGGAAACGTTGCAAGAAAAGTTCTTGAAAATCCAGAGCTTCTAGCTAAAACTCTATATCTTAATGAAGAAATAATTAAACGTATATGCTATGTGCTAAACCAAATTCGAAGTTTAGAACCAGTTGATGATCTAGATGAATTTGATAGGTACTGTAAAGAAACATACAGAATGTTTTTGACAACATATAGTTGGTTCAAAATACCAGTAACACTTCACAGAGCACTTGCTCATGCAAAACACTACATGGAAGCCTTACCATTACCTCTAGGAAGAATGAGTGAAGAAGCCGGGGAGTCACAAAACAAATATCTCAGACAAGATAGAGAACTACGTGCCAGAAAAACTTCAAGAATACACAGTTTTACGGATGTTATACATAGAAGACTCTACAGTTCTGATCCAGTAATAATAAAAAAATATATGGATGTAATAAATAAAAGGTTAATGAGAAAAAATGTCCAAGAAGAAGGTGAAACACCTGAGCAACAAACAGAAAATGAGGAAAAAGATGAGGAAGAAATTGAATTGATTGAGCCAGAAGGAGAAGGTTATGACTTTTCCCAAGCAGAAAACTATGATTATTCCGAAGGACAAGACCATGAATATTCTGAAGAAGCAAACAACGAATGAATAAATAAATTTCATTAAATATGATAAAAAAATGTAAATTAAATTTCTTGACAAATAAACAAAATTTCATTAAACTAAAAATTAAACTTTATTAATTTTACCTATTATAGTTGCGTATCAGAGTATTTTTTTTATTACTCTAATGATAATAGCTTTTTTCAGACTTAACATTTCTTAAAAAAGTCCAAAAAATACTCGAGATTGCTTAAAAGTGGTATTTTTGAAAATGCAATTTTTGGGAATTTTTCAAAAACTGCGTATGTCACAATCAACAGCCCTATAAATAACCAGGACTAAGTTAACTAGCAAGTATTATATATCGTTGGATAGGTATTACATTAGGCTACAATAATCCGAAAACAGAATTAAAAAATATTTTTTCAAAAAAAAGTTATAGTGGTTTAAGTAGGGTGACAAATGGCCAAATCGATGGAGAGCACATACCCCCTATATCTCGAAAGATTTTGAAGTTTTTGAAAAATTTTCTTCACAAAATCATTTAAATTGTTATTTTTCATAAGAAAACACCAAAAAACTATTTTTAAAACTATGTTTTCGTATTTTTAAAAGAATTATTAGTTTTTGGCCAAATACTCAACGACCTACTAAAATCAACATAACTCAATTACGTTAGCTTACTTTTTCAAAGTTTATACAGTTTTGAAAACTAGATATATGGGGCTACAAAACTGCGTTTTTACTTGCCTGGAAACTCTTCATTTATGATAGTTGCGGCTTGTTTGAAGATAATTTTCCTAAAATTTTCACATATGTTCTACCATAATGGCACGAAAACATTCAGAACCTAAACTTTGTTATATGTCAAAATAAAGCTCTTATATACTACTAATAGGAACTGAAAACCGTTTTGCAATATCTTAAACCAGTTAAGATATTTCCCGGTTCAAACATGGTATGAAAAAACCAGAATTTTCACTAGTTTTCAACTTCAAACAGCTCTAGAATCGCGAAATCAGCACCAAATGACCTGAAATTTGGCATTTCTATCTACTTTTATGTCCTCTACAAGAAAAAATCACCCAAAAAGTGTAAATCGGAAAAGTCCATTTTTCAAAGTGAAAGTCCCTTTTTTTTTTCATTTTGCCCCATAGTGCTATCCAAAAACTATTATGTCAAGCATCTTTTTACAAAAAATTGGAGGTTTTTGATTCAATTCATGAATTTCCCGCAAAAAAGTACGAAGTTAAACAGACTCATGCATAGTCTAATGCATTCAATTTTCAAAATTTACACACTCTTTACCGAATCACATCCTGTCTCTTAGTTCCTTATTACCCTTTAAATGACCTCATCATAAATTCAGCGCTATTTTAACAGTCAAACAATCAAAAATTGTACATAAAAATTCATAAATATTAAAACATTTTTTTTACTGCTGATATTGAAGGTCAACTGTTCATTACTTCTCATAATTATTTGCAAAATTGTTAATGAACTTCAAAGAGTCGACAATGAAAAAATGTTTGAGAGAGGAATTGACCAATATTATTACGTAATTAATGACGAAACATGCGTTGGTATTTACGATGATCAAATTAAGCCTCAATGGTAACATTTCATGACGAGATGCATGACGAGGCAAATTTCAATCATTTGATGATTTTGAACTGTGAGAGTAAATCATCGTCAGGTGGTTCACATTTTCGGTATCTTTGTTGTTTTTCCTTGTGTTCATATTGATGACTACACAGTGTAAAGTACACAAATGTAATGGCTATTAGCTTTTTTAAAATTAATTGATGTCTTTGCTTGATGTAAGCTTCTTGGGTTTGGGTTTGCTTTACTTCCTATTATTTTGGGAGTTTATTTAATGATTAGTCTTTTAATTACTCAATGTTTGCTTTTTGGCAACCGAGACTTGAACCAGATTCAACCTTAATGCCAAGCTAGTCTCAATCTATTATCAACCTAGTCTCAATCTAGTCTCAATTTTTTTATCAATCTAGTCTCAATCTAGGCTCAATCTAGTCTCAACCTAGTCGCAATCTAGTCTCAATCTAGTCCCAACCTAGTCTCAGTCTAGTCTCAATCTATTATCAATCTAATCGCAATCTAGTCTCAATCTAGTCTCAATCTAGCCTCAATCTAGTCTCAACCGAGTCTCAATCTAGTCTTAAACTAGTCTCAATCTAGTCTCAATCTAGTCTCAATCTAGTCTCAACCTAGTCTCAATCTAGTCTCAATCTAGTCTCAATCTAGTCTCAACCTAATCTCAATCTAATCTCAATCAAGTGTCAATCTAGTCTCAACCTAGTATAAATCTAGTTTCAACCTAATCGCAATCTAGTCTCAATCTAGTCTCAATCTAGCCTCAATCTAGTCTCAACCGAGTCTCAATCTAGTCTTAAACTAGTCTCAATCTAGTCTCAATCTAGTCTCAATCTAGTCTCAATCTATTATCAATCTAGTCTCAATCTAGTCTCAATCTAGTCTCAATCTAGTCTCAATCTATTATCAATCTAGTCTCAACCTAGTCTCAATCTAATCTCAATCAAGTGTCAATCTAGTCTCAACCTAGTATAAATCTAGTTTCAACCTAATCGCAATCTAGTCTCAATCTAGTCTTAATCTAGTCTCAATCTTGTCTCAACCTAGTCTCAATCTAGTCTCAATCTTGTCTCAACCTAGTTTCAACCCAGTCTCAATCTAGTCTCAACCGAGTCTCAACCGAGTCTCAACCGAGTCTCAATCTAGTCTCAATCTAGTCTCAACCGAGTCTCAATCTAGTCTTAAACTAGTCTCAATCTAGTCTCAATCTAGTCTCAGTCTAGTCTCAATCTAGTCTCAATCTAGTCTCAATCTAGTCTCAACCTAGTATCAATCTAGTCTTAAACTAGTCTCAATCTAGTCTCAATCTAGTCTCAATCTAGTCTCAATCTAGTCTCAATCTAGTCTCAATCTAGTCTTAATCTAGTCTCAATCTTGTCTCAACCTAGTCTCAATCTAGTCTCAATCTTGTCTCAACCTAGTTTCAACCCAGTCTCAATCTAGTCTCAACCGAGTCTCAACCGAGTCTCAACCGAGTCTCAACCGAGTCTCAATCTAGTCTCAATCTAGTCTCAACCGAGTCTCAATCTAGTCTTAAACTAGTCTCAATCTAGTCTCAATCTAGTCTCAGTCTAGTCTCAATCTAGTCTCAATCTAGCCTCAATCTAGTCTCAACCGAGTCTCAATCTAGTCTTAAACTAGTCTCAATCTAGTCTCAATCTAGTCTCAATCTAGTCTCAATCTAGTCTCAATCTAGTCTCAATCTAGTCTTAATCTAGTCTCAATCTTGTCTCAACCTAGTCTCAATCTAGTCTCAATCTTGTCTCAACCTAGTTTCAACCCAGTCTCAATCTAGTCTCAACCGAGTCTCAACCGAGTCTCAACCGAGTCTCAATCTAGTCTCAATCTAGTCTCAACCGAGTCTCAATCTAGTCTTAAACTAGTCTCAATCTAGTCTCAATCTAGTCTCAGTCTAGTCTCAATCTAGTCTCAATCTAGTCTCAATCTAGTCTCAACCTAGTATCAATCTAGTCTCAATCTAGTCTCAATCTAGTCTCAATCTAGTCTCAACCTAATCTCAATCTAATCTCAATCAAGTGTCAATCTAGTCTCAACCTAGTATAAATCTAGTTTCAACCTAATCGCAATCTAGTCTCAATCTAGTCTCAATCTAGTCTCAATCTAGTCTCAACCTAGTCTCAATCTAGTCTCAATCTAGTCTCAATCTAGTCTCAACCTAATCTCAATCTAATCTCAATCAAGAGTCAATCTAGTCTCAACCTAGTATAAATCTAGTTTCAACCTAGTCGCAATCTAGTCTCAATCTAGTCTTAATCTAGCCTCAATCTAGTCTCAACCGAGTCTCAATCTAGTCTTAAACTAGTCTCAATCTAGTCTCAATCTAGTCTCAATCTAGTCTCAATCTAGTCTCAATCTATTATCAATCTAGTCTCAATCTAGTCTCAATCTAGTCTCAACCTATTCGCAATCTAGTTTCAACCTAGTCGCAATCTAGTCTCAATCTAGCCTCAATCTAGTCTTAATCTAGTCTCAATCTAGTCTCAACCTAGTCTCAACCTGGTCACAATCTTGTCTTAATCTAGTCTCAATCTAGTCTCAATCTAGTCTCAATCTACTCTCATTCCATTTGGACCTAATCTCTTAATGAACCCACACCATTTAAAGCAGTATTAATTGAAACTCTCTCTCATCTCACTCACATTTACTTTAGCCTTAAAATTAACCTTGATTGAATTTATATTTACAAATCCCATTCAACGCAATCGAAATAAGTAGCAAGAAAAAATTGAGAAATGTTAATGAAACTTTTTTTATGCTTTTAAATTTCAGATTAATGCGTGGAATGCCAAACACTTATGCAATTAGTAAATTGTTAACGGAAGAACTCGTTCATCTTTATAGTGATCGAATAAAATTTGTTGTAACTCGTCCGGCTGTCGTTATATCCGCATGGCGTGAACCATTCATTGGATACGTTGATAACAAGAAGAATGGACTTATTGGACCAATGATGGCACGTGCTAGTGGTGCATTAAGGACAGTTTTATCAAATCCAGATAAATTAATTGAGTTAGTTCCAGTTGATGTTGCCACACATGCAATTATTGCACTTACATGCAAACGAGGTCTAATTGAAGGAAATGAAATTCTTTATTGTAACATTATCGACTCCTATACTCATCCGTGGACATTCAAGAAATATTTTGACTTAGAGATGGACACATTCAAGAAGTTTCCAATGCGAAATCAATTATGGTGGCCTTACTGCGTCATTACAGGCAGTCGATTTTATTATAATTTTAGACGAGTTTATCATCATTATATGCCAGCTGCTATTGGTGATTTAGGTTCATTCATATTTAGACGAAAGCCACAGTAAGTTTTTGTAGTTGACTAATGTTTGGAACTAATCAGGGATGCAGAACTAATCCTAGAAAATGGCACTAGTAGTTCTAGACTTAACTTTAAATATGTCACTTTATGGCTAAAGTCTACCTTAAGCTTGTGACTAACAGTTCAAAGTCTTATTAACATTCCCTCTTCAACAAGCTATTCCAAAATTAATTATGTCATAATTATTAATAATGATCTTGTGTCTCATTCAATAGATTAATATTCTTTCAACGTAAATTTGATCGAGGCATGCATACATTAGGATTCTACAATACCAGAGAATATTTCTACAAAAATGAGCAATTTATGAATTTACCAAATGAAATGAATGAAAAGGATCGAGAGCTGTTCTATTGTGACTTTAAAAGAGTAAGTTGGATGAAGTTTTATTGTTAATGCCATGGAAAGCATGCGACATCAAAAGGTCTAAAAGCACGGACTCGGAGCTCCGTGTCAACTTCACTCAAGCATCATGAGTGCTTTTTGAGCTTTTTGATGCCGTGTGCTTAGACAAGGGTTGTCCAAAGTTTTTAAACCACGGCACACTTGAGAGGTAAGCCATGACCGAAGTCGCACACAGCATGCGTTTCAGTTTCAAAAAAATCTACGCCACATCAGCGGCACACAGTTTGGACAACACTGGCTTTGACCAGGGTTGCAGCAATAATCCTAATGAGCAGGCGAGTAGCCAGGAGGATCTTGTCCCCCCTTGAACATTTTGAACCGTAGCGAGAGCACTAAAGCCTAAAACGCTTAAGATGGAGGCAAGACCATCCTGGCTATGCGCTTGCTAATGAGATTAATCAGTTCCGAAACATTGAATTCAACATAAAATATGTTAATTACTCATCAAACTTAGTCTAATTGACTAAGCTAAGTGATGAAAAGCATTTTTATAGTTTTTTCATATTTTCTAACCTCAAAAAATCACTTTTTCATTCGGCAGCTTAACATGGAAGAGGTCTTAAGAAATTACGTCCTTGGTGTTCGAAAGTTTATTTTGAAAATTAACGACACCGACTCGTTGGAATTAAGAAGAGGAATTTTAACATTGTAAGTATTTTTTATGTCACACAAAACTCTGTAAATTCTATCAAAAAAATCTTTAAAACACAATTTTTTAATTCTCTCTTAAATTTTCATTCATACAGATTTTGGCATGTGGACCTCCTAGCCTGCACTGTCATAAACATCATCAACATCGCAATTCTCTTCTTTATTCTCTTTTTCTTCTACGATAAAGACATGCTTTTTGACTTTTTGAGCAATGTTTTTGAAACAATCAAATTTTTACTCTCAAATTATCTCGTACTTAATAAAAATGTAATTGAGAAATGCAATCAGAGTTAGTAGATATAAAGCTATTGTCTTGTGTACTGAGTGCGATCTAGTTAAATTTTGTTTTTCGAAATATCTTGCCAATTTATTAGATTTTAAAGATTTTTTTAAACTCATTTTTTTGATTTTTTTAAACAATGCAGTTGAAGGTTCAAATTTGACTGAATCAGGATCATAACCAGGAGTATGAAGGAAGGGGGGAGGGATTTTAGGGGGGTGTTATTTTAGAAGGAGGGAGGGGGGGGGGATTTTTGGGGGTTAGGGGATTTAAACCAGTGAATTTCAAACTTTGTGTCGAACAAAACTTCGGAAAATCTCACAAACCGTTGCCGTATTCGATTTTGGTCGTGTTTTACCATCAAGCTGTGTCGCCGACCAAAAAAGTTTGGAAGACACTGATTTAAACCCCACCAAATGGAGAAGTTTCTATTCACATAAAAGAATTTGTCATCTTATTACTCCCTTGGCTTCGTTCCTGGACAGCAGTCGACTGGATTGCTAGCAAAACTCTAAAATTGAAGATAATAAACTATTGCCAAGCCACAGCTCATTTTGAACCTTTTTTCAAATTTTTTTTTCTTGCCAATTCAATAAGCTTTAAACTGATTTATCTTAAATTATATGAAAAGTGTTTTACAAAATTGCAGCTTACGATGTGTTGAGGTGATAAATTTTGATCGAAAATCATGATTCAGAGGTTGTTGACTTTTGACGTCCAAGATTAAGAGGGAGGGAAGAGAGTCCAAAATTTTATGAGAGCTCAAGCAAAAAAAAAATGATTTCTCATATAAATTTTGTGACAATGTCGGAGGTCCAAAAAATACTCAGTATATTTTAGCCGCTTTTCGCCTATTTGGCTTTTCGCTGATTTTTGTATCAAGTAAACTTGATAAATTTGAAATTCGCTGATTTTCAATTTTCGCTGATTTTGAATTTCGCTGATTTTTGAATTTGGCTGATTTTTAAATTTTGCTGATTTTTTTTAAATTTTCGCTGATTTTTGAATTTTCGCTGATTTTAAATTTTTTGCTGATTTTAAGAGTAAAGTTTAAAATGTGATCATAAAAATCACCGGAAACCCGGAAGCAAAGAACCATCTTTTCGAAATCACCCACTTAATGAAAATCACGTGGGCGTGTAGTACGGCCGAGACCTTTATCGACACAGTTCAAAAGTTGTACCTAATTTATGTTAGAATTATGTCAGTAACAAAAACACTTAGTTTGAATTTTGTCACCATCGAGAACATTATAAACCAGTATAGTTGATTTTGGTCCAAATCTCGGCCATACTTAACACATGTTTGAACAACATTTTCTCGTAAATATTAAATTACTAGTCTATTTGGGCGCGCCCGTTATCAGTGTTTAAATTTGATTAATATTTTGTAAATAATGGTAACACTCTAATAACCGTAATGTTTTTAAAGTCAATTCTACCACAAAACTTCACATGACTTCACAAACCCCTCAAAATTGGACCCCCTCAATCCCACAAATGCTTTATATATGGCTTCACATTGTTTCATAAGCCCCTTCTAACTCGGACCCACCTTACTCCACACCAGACACCCAACCCCACCTGACACTCACCCCACACCTGACACCCACACCCACCTGACAACCACCTTGTCAACACTCCTTAAATTTTTGTCTTCACACGTCTTCACAAATGTCTTCACATGACTTCCGTTCCAGAGTCAGTGAATCAGTGAGTTGGGCTTTTATATATTAGATTACTAAAAAGAAAGTAATTCTGAATTATGTCACTATTATGTCAAGTGTTTCAGGATAAAGAAATATTATTTTTTCGTTTGCACAGTAAAGAGTATGAGCAAATTGAAAAAATGTAATGATATGTATTATATGCCAGATTTACGTCAGTTCAATTTTCAATTTTGGACTAGGGGCGACCCTAGTCCCAAAATTCAAACTAAGTGTTTTTGTTACTGATATAATTCTAACATAAATTAGGTACAACTTTTGAACTGTGTCGATAAAGGTCTCGGCCGTACTACACGCCCACGTGATTTTCATTAAGTGGGTGATTTCGAAAAGATGGTTCTTTGCTTCCGGGTTTCCGGTGATTTTTATGATCACATTTAAACTTTACTCTTAAATTCAGCAAAAAATTTAAAATCAGCGAAAATTCAAAAATCAGCGAAAATTTAAAAAAAAATCAGCGAAATTTAAAATCAGCGAAAATTAAAAATCAGCGAATTTCAAATTTATCAAGTTTACTTGATACAAAAATCAGCGAAAAGCCAAATCGGCGAAAAGCGGCTAACTTCCACGGAGTCAAAAAATTGTGTTTTTTTGACGGACGTCATAAGTGAATGACAAATAATTAATTAGTTCCACATCCTTAAGTAAAGCTAAAAGTTCTGTTGAGTTTTACTCAAAATGTTTAGGTGATTGTTGTCTTTTTTGGATTCTTAATGTCAATTTTGTTGATTGTATGCATGTAAATGATTTTTATTTTGACTTGTAAAGCTTTGTAAGAAAAAATTTATGAATAAACATTTATAAAATTTATTATTTTTCTTTTATTAGTAGTAAGATTTTATAAGATCGGTTTCTATGGCTACACGAGGCATGTTAATCTAGATTCGCAAGAATTTAATTTAAACTTGACATTCTGGAATACTGAATTTTATTTTTATCTCTAGTTTGGTCCGGACAGCCCTAGAAACTGGATAGAATGAAAGGAAATTCAACAGATAGATCCAATCACTCGAAACGGGAGTTAAGAAGCATTAAAATCGAATCCAGCGCTTATCCAGAATCACTTTGGCTTACTTACTTACTTACTGTAACCCTGTTTCTATGTTGAGCTTAGTTTACAACAAAAAACCTTCCAACTGACTCTGTTGCTGGCTCTGTTACCGAGTTTGTATAATTTGTCTGTCCGCACATTAAGCTGACATTCTTCATTTTAATTGCACCTTATTGACGACATACTGTCCGGTAATAATTCACATTTTACACTTTTGTATTTGTATACATATGAATTAATATTATGTAGGATCAAACTTTCAATCTTCAAATCTAGGTTTCAAATAAACTAAGGCTCTCGTTTCGATCTTCTGTAGGCGTAACGTGATACTTTTCAGATCCGTTCTGACAATATTCCATTCGTGGGTAATCTTGTAGCTCTCGTTCCTATTTCTCCCGCTACACTTCAAGTTCCTGACCCGTTCCTTAATCCAACGTTGCCCAAAATGCCCAATTATGGCTTAATCTCCTACATTAAGCAGTCGAAGTATCTAAACTTCCTAAAAAGAACAAATTTGGAAATGACTGGATTAGAACCGACGACCTTCGAGTTACCATATCAAATTTGAGCCAAGCGCCTTATCTATTCGACCAGCAAGGCACTTAACTGCTTAAATCACTATTCTGCGCTTTGTAGCTTTTGGAGCTTCAGGGCGTTTTTCCCTTGTCTCTTTGGCTTGGAATCTGATTTCAGATTAATTTCCTGACTTTTGGTTTCCGGAATTTTAGATTGATTTTAATATTATTTAATGCAAATTAAGATAGGATCTTGACCCCTTCTGGAAACTAGCAATTCTAATGAAGTTTATACAAAATTTTGTTTGTTTTAAGGTATTTTATTTTTTTTTAATTCAAAAGCTTTTAATTTCAGTTAAATTTCATTTTTTTGGCTGGACATACCCCATCGGATTCATTTTCTCCGTATTTTGCCACAAATCTGTTCAAAACTGTGATTATTTCTTGATTTTCTGATGCAAAATCTTTAAAAATTGTCAATTCTTCATTTTTAAATAAAAAGTTTCTTATCAAGTTTTGATCATTATTCAAAATATTCTCAATTTGACATAAAAGACGATTAAAATTGTCTACAGAAATTTGAGAATAATTCAAGTCATTTAAATACTTTTGCATAATTTGAGAACTTTCATTAATTTTAAAAATAATCTCAATTTGAGCTCCAACTGCCCAAACTTCATTAATATCAAAATTCTCCAAAAACATTTCTTTTTCTTCTTCTTCAAAAGTTTTCATAACCAAATCGTAGAATTTTAGTGAATTTTTATCAGAATTTAAGACAAATTCGTTGTAAGACATTCCATCAATTGCATTTAAAGCTTCATCTGCGACTAGCTTAGTGTCATTTTTACTGAACTTTTGATGCCAATTTGATTCGAAACAAAATTCTGCAGTTTTTGTCATTTTTGAATAATTTTTGTAATTTTTTTGAATTAATTTTTGAAAAATGTTCTTCGACTGATTTAAAAGCCACAATTTTGAGGTTAGTTCTTGGTTGTGTTTTATGAATTTTGCATAATTTGAGAATTTTGTGAATAAATCTTCTGAATTTGCAGCATGAATTTTGTCAATTTCCAGTAAAATCATGTCGTGGACTGTATCATCAAACAGCTTATTTTCAGGATATACTTCAAAGTACTTCAACATAAAATCAAAAATAACTTTAAAAGCAGCATTTTCAATCATTATTAAGTCTAGAATTGAAAATTTCCTCTTCACTTCCACTTCGCTGACTTCCTCGTTGTCATCAAACACAAAATCCATCAAAAATTGAGCAATAAAGAATTCAGCATAAGTTCTATGGACAAAATCAATTGAGTTCCTCAAATCAACAGCATTCAAGTCCACAATCACAAATCCATAACGTTGAATCATGTCGGAAGTCCAGTTCTTCTTCTCTTTCTTCCACTTCTTCATTATTCCCAGTTCCTCAATCTTAAATCCAAGTTGGTCCTCAAAATCATCGCCAAATACAAGAATGATTGCTAACACTCTATGGACATCCCAAACTGACAACTTCCCCGTCGGATCTCGTTCAGAATTCGGAATTTTTATCCCAACTTTCTCCTTTTGCTTATCAATCATTTTAAGGTACAGCCTACAAATGTTAATGTCATCAATTTGGATTGAATTGTCAATGAACAGTTCCGTTATCATTTGAATCATCAATGGATTGTCAATCAGGGTGTTGTAAGTATTTCTGTCGGTTGTGAAGAATCCATAAATATACATATTGACATTCTGTAAGATTCTCAGCTGTTCAGTGACTTTATGAGCATCTAAAATTCTATTAATCATGTCAACTCTCTCAAAATGAGTCGTTCCAACGAATTTGTGGACGGGAACTTTCAGGAGGTCAACTAATTTATTAGAATAATGTGGACGTGTTGAGATCCAGACGTGATTTTTGACTTCATTTGTTGTTAGCAGTTCGAGGATCTTTAAGATAATTTCTGTGTATCTTGGGCTTACTTCATCGAATCCATCAAACAGGAGCATTGTCTTGCCTGTCGAAAATAATTTTGTAAAGATTTCCTCTTCAACTTCCGACTCTTGATCCACAATTTCAAGTAAAATCTCACAAATGTCATCAAACTTTAGTTCCTTAGCTTTATCCTTGAACTTCTCAAAAGTCGATCCGTGACTCCTTAAATTGATGTACGAAATCCAAAAGTTCTTGTTCAATTCTTTCAATTTTATTGCTGAATCTTTAAAACTTGTTGTCTTTCCAGTTCCTGCATAGTCAGCTAGTAAAAACACTTCAGCTGCTTCTAAACCTTTTGTGTATTTCTTAGCTTCCTCAACATAAGCATTCAGATCCATTAATTTAAGTCTTTCGTCCACATTACTTTCGATGAACTTCCTTTCAATCATTCCGTATTTAAGGTTCAATTCACAAATGGAACTGTACTCAAGCTTACCATTTTTGATCAGCAGTCTTCGAATGTTTCCAGATGACAAGAGATTGAAGACATCCTGATCATCTCCAATTAAGTCATTGAAGGTTGTCTCAGATCCTTGAAAATTCAACTTTGAATGCAGAACCTTTGCCTTCATTGGAACCGTAAGGTCTGCAAATTTAATCACTTTTTCATCATCTCCAAGTTGTTTCAGCACTGGCAGTGCTTTGTCCAGCTCTGGATCAACAACTTCTCGACAATATTTAAATAAATCCTCAAAAGTTCCTTCCAGTTCCTCAATCTTTGCACTGTCATTGACATAATGCATCAACATTTGAGGCACAGTCACAATCATCTCAGAGTCCTGAACATCCTTAGCATAACTACTGAACACATTTGCGACAATTTCTTCTGCTTCCTCACGTTCCTTACATTGAACCATGACTTGTTCCTTAAATCTAGTTCCAATGACACTCTCACCAACTGGAAATGGATCAAAGTTGCGATTCATGAATGCCATAAAGACAGCAAGATGACAAAGCTCATGAGCCAGCACACCAAACACAGCGAACTTCCTCTCATCGTCTATCAAATGTTTGGCGCCAATGAAGATTGAACCACCTTCGTAGATGATTCCTTTCGAGTAGATTGATGTTGCTGGATCTAAATAGTAAGTTGAGTCGTGCTTGAAGTCAAAATAAATTTTAAGCTTCTTAAATTCAGCAGCAACTTTGAGGATCTTTCTGATAAAGCCATTTTTGTTGAGCATCTCGAAAGCTTCGTCGATGAACTTCCAGTTTTTGTGACTAAGTTTGTCGTTGTTGCCAATCCTTGACTTTGATCTGAGGATGAAAATGTGAGTTTCTGGAAATTCTTTTGCATTTATTTTGTGTTGTTCTTGTAATTTAAGGCATTCCAGGACGTACATGTTCTCGTAGACTTCATCAAGATCTTCGTGACTTCCAACTGTGATTCCTTTGTCGAGAAGATCGAAGATCTTGAATTTCCTCATTCTTAAGGAGTAAGCTAGCAGTGATTCACTGTCACGGCTGTAAAAATGTATTAAATTTGGGTCAGATTCAAGCTTCAACTTGAGAGCATCAAAGTTATCTTCATCTACATCTTCATGAAGGCTTTCGCATTTATCGACAAATTCTTTGACTTCCTTTGATGCTTTTTCGTACTCAAAATCATCTGGGAATTTTGAATTGGCACTAAGAAGGCTTAAAATTATTTCATTGGCTTCCTGCTTCTTTTCATTGTCATCCTCAATTCCTAAGAACAAATCCCAAGCTACATCAATCACATCATCAGAATCAAAGTCGTGGTTGAGAAGATTTTTGACGACATTTTGTTGTGTTTTGGATGTTGCTAAGGCTAAGAGGTTCCTTCCGTTGCTATCCCCGATTTCTTGCAGACGAATTTTATCTTTGAGTTGGAAGTTTTCGAGGATTCCTGAAATCAAAAAAATCATCATTTTTTATTGATAGCTTCAATGGTGAAGCAAGTGTCTTGGCTATGGAAGTAAATAATAAAAATATCATGAAAAAAGACACAAAATTTTGGTTTTGTTCGGGCGTTAAATACTCGATAAAATCCTGACAAGCGTACAAGAGATTAAGATCCGCTTTTGGGATTGCTTTTGGGTTTACATCAGACTCTACTCCTAAATCTATACCAAGATACTTATAACTATAACAAAAATCGGTCAGTAGAATAGAAATTCGACATCAAGCAAGCGTGTATATGGCATCGGACTAGATTTGATCATGCCAGAATTACTCAAAATTGATTCCGGATTTCTATTCGATTAACTGACTTCGAGCATTTGAGGTAAGGGCAGAAAAGGGTTTAATGACTAGTGTATCAGGTACCATCAAAAGTCTTGTGGATAGACCAAGATTTACATAGTAAAAGTTTGAAGGTATAAAGTTTGACAAACTAGCTTAGCTTTGCTCAGCATAAGTATGAAGGTTTAAACCTAGCGAGTCAGCTGAGCTTCGCTCAGCAAATGTTTGAGGTTATAAAGCTAGCGAGTCTGTTTAACTTCGTTCAGCATAAGTTTGAAGATATAATGCTTGATTTTGCCTCCTAATCCCACTTGGTTGTGCGTCTGTTTGGTACCAAGAAGCTTATCCATCAGTACATTCACCACAAGACTAAATATGGCCTTAAGATTCTTCAAAGTCAAACTTATCAAATAAAAACTCACCACTTCTATTACTTTTGATCTCATCAACCAGAAACTCATGACAAAAGGAAGTAACATCATCAGTTGGATCATCATTAATGCCAAGTGTATAAAATTTATCACGTCCAGCAGTTTTCCAATAAGTTTTACTTCCACGCTCACCAATTGTCGACTGAAATGCTATCAAAATTGAGGGTTTGAAGATTAAATCCAAATTGGCAGGAAGATCATCGTTAAAAGCTTCATTGATGCTTAATATGATGGCAACCAAGTGTTCCTGGTTGGATATTAATGATTGAAACCATTTTTGAGAAACTAGCTGAAGAGCTTTAGATGCTGTGAGGATGTTGATAATTATTAAGATTTCAAATGTTGGCTGATTAATGAGAGCAGCATCAAGCTGTTGAGAGAACTGAATGTCGTCCAATAAAAAGCCAATTTCAATTTTTCTCTCCATTCTTTGTTTATTTTTTGTATTTTTAATCTTTAAACTGACATTGTGGTTCTATTTTAAAGCATGTTCTTCACAATGTTAATGTGCTGTCTATTTTGCATAATTGGAACTAATTTGAATTGATTTTAAATCTAATCAGACACAATTTTTATGTAATTTATTACAATTAAATCATTATTTGATGAGCAACAACTTGAAAAAACTAAAAAATGATCACTAAAGATCTTCTCACTTGGCACTGAGAGCGACTCTCTTTTTTTGAGAATATCTCTTAAAAATAAATTATTATTTTGTGAGAATCAGAGTTGTTGGACGAATCAGGACAAAAAATAATATTTTATTGTTAAAAAAAATAAAAATTTGAGAATTATAAGGAAACCTCAAGCAGATAGTGACCAAAACTAGGCTGTCCATCAGTTTTTGGTAGAAAAGCCCGACTTTAGCTGGGGACAAATCAAAATTTCAAGCATTTTCCATGAAAAATATGTTCAAAAAATCGGGCTTGTCCAAATTAAAAGTGAGCAGTTGGACAGCCTTTCCGCACAACAAACTTATCAACAGGATCGAAGTCAATGAAGTGAAGTCGATTCACTTTACTTCGCTTCACACGAAAATTCAATCGGTTTCAAATCGACTAGAGTGAACAAGTAAAAAACAAGTTCACTCGAGTCGACTTGAAGTCGATGAAATTTTCGTGTGAAGTGAACTGAGTTCACTTTATCGACTTCGACCTCTGCTTATTAAGCTTTAGCGTTTTCATAATTTAATTGTTACATTCCGAAGCAGTTAAGTGCCTTACTGGTCGAATAGGTGAGGCGCTTGGCTCAAATTTGATATGGTAACTCGAAGGTTGACGATTCGAATCTAGTAATTTCCAAATTAGTTCTTTTTCAGAAGTTTGGATACTTTGACTGCCTAATGAACGAGATCAAGACATAATTGGGCATTTGGACAACATTGGATTAAGTAACGGATCCGAAAATTGAAGTATAAAGAGAAAAGTAGGAACAAGAGCTACAAGATTACCCACGAATGGAATATTGTTAGAACGGATCTGAAAAGTATCACGTCACGCTCACAGAAGATCGAAACGAGAGCCTGAATTTAATCGAAACCTAGATTTGAAGATTTAAAGCTTGATACTTCATAATATTAATTTGAACACAAATATATAAAGTATGAATTATTACTGGACAGTATTTCGTCAATAAATGCAATAAGGTGCTATAAAAATGTTGAGAAAAATGCGCTTATTAGCTTTCCGGCTTTTTTTACTTGCTCCTAATTAATGCTGAGCCTTTTCTTTTCTCAATTTGAAATCTTGTTTGACTCTTTTTTAAACTCTTTGGTTCGTCTGCTCGTTAAAAAAGCTTTATCATCATCACAGTCGCTGATTGAGGATTAGATAGTAAAGTGATCTGAAAAAGTTTTTAAAAAAAAGGATGAGTAAATTTATCCAAAATAGTTTCTTAAAACTCCAAAATTTGGGAAAATTGGCAAGTCAAGGTGGAGCAAAGGATACAAATGAAAGTAAGTTTAGATAATAGTTAAAAGAAGTCATAATGAAGGGAAATTGAAATCAATCCAAGATAACCTTGGACATTGCACATCATGACTTTTAACAAATTATGCACGTTGCTGTCTCGGTTTTTTACCAAAACTGAATAAGTGACTCCAAAACCGGGTTTTTTTCTTCGATGAACTTTAATTTTTGTCAAATAAAATCTTTGTCGGCTATGCATTGCTCATAATGATGTCTTTTAAATCTATGTTGTGATAAAGGAAGTGCTAATCAGCTACGCAAGTGCTTGTTACTCAATGAAACGCCAATCTTCTGTCAAAGGAACAAATGACAATGATTCTTAAAATCCTCACGACGCATACAAAAACCAACACTTACTTACTTCGATGACCATACAGATCAGTCAGATCAGTTGGATCAGTGTTGTCCAAACTTTTTTTATCCACGGCATCACTAAGGGGTAAGCCATGACCAAAGTCGCACACAGCATGAAGCTCACGTCATTTCCAAAAAGTTTCTATGGCACACCAGACAACACTGGTGCAGATCAATTGTGATCCATGGCCTCCCTCAGATGCCGCCTTAAACTGGCTCTATCGCTGGCTACCACTTGCCAATTTCCTATACCAAATGCACTGCTTTCTATCAACAGCTTTTATCCATGCGTTCTTTGGTCTTCCACGTGCTCTTTATCCATCCACAAATTTCGTTCAAAACCAAAAGCTTCCTCCTTAAATTCTCAAATTATTTTTTTTTTCATTTTTTAGATGAAAGTTACGAGCTATCCAGTACGTCAGATCCAACAGTGTCTACACTTGATATTAAGACAGTTTTAAATTTGAACTCCATGAATTTGAAAGATTTTATCGACTATTTTGATTCTCCTGATTTGAAACAAGAATTAGAGAACCAACAATCTGTTCTGGTTCTCAAGATGCAAGTCAGTGGCTTATCTGATGACTTAGACTCAGAAGTGCTTGAAAATCTAAGTGAAAAATGTCTTAATAAGTCAATTGTCATTTCAATTAAATTAGAAAGTTGTGAAAAAGTTTTAATTTACTGGAAATCAAAGGACGTCCAACAATTCATCACTTTAAGGCACTACGGAGAAGAATTTACCGAGAATGATAGAAAAATTTACGCATTTGTTGCTGATTATTTGGCGTCATCACTAAGTAGAGGACAATTAGGTACGTCATTGATTAAATACATTGAATTGGCACTGACCTTTGAAGTTTAAAGCTTCTCTCGGTATCGTCCTTAACATTGCGTGACTATAAATCAATTTAAAACCAAAAATTAATTATTTTTAGGTCTGTACAGAGAGTGGCAACAATACTCAAATGGAATTGAAGTTGGTGCACATCTTCTTGCTGATTCTAGAGATTACAACTTACTTCTTATTGCTGCTGAAGCTGGAAGTGCTGAGATTGTCGAAATACTTTTATACTGCGGTGCCAATACAACATCTGATGATGGAATTAGTGCTCAAGATTTGGCATGGAAGAATCGACATTCTGAAGTGCTTTTCGTTTTGGCTCAAGCTAATTTGAAATATCCTGATGGAATTGACATTAATCAACTGTCCGATGACTTCAAGACATTCTACAAGAAAACTGAGGAACTTCATGCTGCAATCATTGACAAAAATGAAGCAAAAGTTAAAAAACTTTTAAATTCTGGCAATAATTTGGAATTTTACTTCGACTTGTGCAACAAATCAGCAGCAAGAGTGGCTGTAGATGCAAAAGCTTTTGATATTTACGAGATTTTAGTCATCAATGAGATCTTTTTAGCACCACACGAGTACCAACAAGGAGTCTTTGATGATTTAGAACATCTCGAACAGAAACTTATTCGAGAACTTCACAATAAACATTCCAAAGACCTTCCAGACAAGCATATCAACGTCCTTATGGCTCATTCATTCATTAGCCACGATGTACCAGATGCACAAGGCAAGTTGAAGTACGTCTATGAAGCATATAAGCATATGAGTCAAGATCCACGATTAAATACAATCCTCAAGACAGTCGCAGCATCAAAAACTGCCAGAATAATCTACGACTTCAACCGAGATGCTGTCAACATTGCAGATCCAACAACAAGTGGCAATACTGAAGGAGTTTTCTATCCAATGGGAAGAATTTATATTGGTGCACGTCAACTGCTTGATGAAGAGACAAGAAGTCAAGCTATAAGCACATTAGCTCATGAATTATGTCATTATGCTGTCAATTTAGTTTATTCTAATCATGCTCAGCCTTATAAAAGCAATGACAATCAAACCATGCAGGAATTTGAAGAAATAAATACAAAATGTCAGACTAAGAAAGGCAAGGAAGAGATTGTTGATCTAGTTTATGAATTCTATGAAATTGACATGCATCATGCTGAGTTAATTGTCCGTCCAGCTCATATGATTGCTATGTACATGGATCAACCTGAAAAGCTAGCTGAACAGAGTCAAATCTTTCCAGAATTATTTGAGTTTTTTGAAAAAGTCATCAAGGAGATGGAAGCAGCTATTCCAGAGATTGAGAGACGTGATGAAGTTGAAGCTGAGAAAAAGGATCAAAAAATTTCAAATTTAAGAAAAAAATTAGTTTTAAGTGCAATATTTTCAGTCATTGGCATTATTGTGGTTGCAGCTATTGTTGCTGTCATTTTTCATAAGCCAATCTATAACTTTAAGGATCTATCTCCTGATAACAAGCTTAAAATCACTAGTGCTCCTGTAATCTATAAAGATATTGAGGTTACGTTTCATGATTTATTCCCAAACAATTCTACAGCTTACTATGAGCTTACTTCCGATCACATTTCACAAATCCTTGATGGACAAGTTTTAGATTTTAGTGATTCTCACTTCCAGTATCTAAATAACTTAGTCAATCATGATTGGAAGAATTTGGCGGGAAAATTAAAACAAAAATTTTTAACCTCAAATTTTACATTTCAAAATGAAAGTTTAAAGTTTGAAAAATTGGCAGAAATAAGTTCGGAAGTCTTTAATTCATTAAGTTCTGAGCAGATTGTGGATGTGTTGGATGGGAAGGAACTAGTAATTGGAAGCATGATTCAGAATAGAACAGAATTTTATGTTGAGAGAAGATTTATATTTCGAGGATCAGAAAATGTTAAACCAGATTTTACTTTCTTTAGAAACGTTGCACATTCAATGGATGATATTATTTACTTGGCAACTAGATTGAGGGTATTTATACTTTCATCCGATGCCGGTTCTGGTAAAACAGTAGCTTTTGAGCAATTTACAATGAGAATTAAACGAGAATATCCAACGCGATGGGTTTCGTACGTAGATTTAAAATTTTATGATTTAAATTTTGATGAAAACGACACCGAAAAACTTTTACACAAAATTTTAAATCTTAATTTAAAAAATGATTTTGAATTGAAAATCTTTGATGAGCTTTACAAGTCAGGCAATGTTGTGCTGCTTTGGAATGGATTTGATAAAATTCCTCTGACTAAAGTTTTTGATAAAATTTACAAAACAACTCAAAACATTCAATTTGTCAGTTGTAGACCATCGCATTTTGGTGAACTAGAAAAACTATTCATAAATAGAGCTTACCAATTAATACCTTTTAATCTAATCGAGCAAAAAGAATTTTTAACGAAATTTTTTATTGCTCAAAATTTGATGAGCTCAAAAATTGATGAATATGTCAATATAGTGCAGGATATGGCAACAACATACAACTTCAGCACGCCATTTATGTTAAAAGTAATTGGTGAATTGCACGAGGAAAGAAATTTGACAGTAAATCAAAATGTTTATGAAATATTTAAAGTTTTTGTTGAGAGAAAAATTGATGTTTGGCAAAACAGCCAATATGCCAAGAATGTAACAAGAAATCTCGTATTAAGCAGCTCATCATTCAATATTATGGAATTACATCAAAAATATGCGCTCATAGTTCAATTTAAAACTGTTTGGAAGCTTAATAAGCTTAAAATAATTCAAAAACCATTTCCATCAGATTTGAGGAATGAAGAAATTGCTCGAATTGGGATAATGCACTGGGATGATGAGTTTAAATTTAGTTTTTCACACAGAACTTTTGTTGATTATTTGGTTGCTAATTATTTTTATGACAATATTTATAAAGCTGATTGTGATTTGAATGTTAATGAAGCGGAACTAAGAATTGAAGCATTTATATTCACATCAGTTCTTTTAAAAGAATCACTTGGATTATTTTATAAATTTGTTTTAAATTTTATCGACTCCGATGAGTCTCAGATCGTTAAGAAGTTCTGTCCGACAATATCGATGCTTTTAAGAACAAATTATAAAAGACTTTTCTTTGATGCAATCAAGCACAGCGATACGACAGTGTTTTTATTTTTTATTGCATTCTTTATGAAAGATCGTGATGTTTTTGAGGAACTGCTTCATATTAATGAAGATGAAACGCTTTACACAGCTTTATTTAATCCAATTTATAAACCAGAAAATATCGATCCAGACCAAATTATGAATTTAGTTAAAAATTATTTGAGTGATGAAAGTTTCGATAAATTCATCAACGGGAGGAATCAAAAAGGAAAAATTATTTATGGAATTCACTTTTATAATATGAAGAATGATCAAAGAAATCACTACAAAATTAAAAATAATTTCAATTCTTCATTATCATTGGAAACTTTAAAACAGAACCTCCTTAATAATTTAACAATTGATGAACAAAAAGAAATTTTAAAAATTTTAATTGAGCCAACAATTTATGACAATTCTAATTTATTGTTTTCCGACTATGAAAGTAATTGGCCTAAAATTAGTGAATTATTTTCAAAACAGGAACTAATTCCGCTTATTGGGAAGTCAATTAAAAGTTTTTGTGAAACTTGTCTGCCATCTCACAAGCTTCTTTTAGACAAGTCTGAGGAATTATTTACATTCGATGAAATCACAGAAATGTTTAAAACTGAAAGTATTTTACACGCGGCGGTCATTAAACCATTCTTTTTTGTGTCATTTTGGAATGTTTTAATTAAGCACGCGAATCAAACTGAACTTAAGAAAATTTTATTGCAAGAGTCACCGATTCAGTTTATTAATTATTTCCAACTACAACGTGAGCAATATTCAATATTTAATTACGACTTTACATCCTTAAATATCCTTCAAATTGGAATGTCTTTTTGTCAAGATTCTGATTATTTTTATAAATTAATTCAAATTTATGAATCACATTTTAATCGATCGGAAATGCACCAAATACTCATAAAATCCAATGACATTCTACTTTATTCGACTATGTATGGAAGCAATCCATGTATCGCACATACTTTATTTTACTTTAAAGATCAATTTGTTGGAGTTGAGCATTTAATTTTAGAGTTTTTCAGACGTAAAATTAATTTGACAAATAAGAATTATTTTAAGTTCATGGAAATCTTTGGTCTTGATGAAGAAAAAGAAAATAATTTAAAAAATTATTACACTGTTTATTCGTATTTTAGAAAAAAAATTGAGAATAACACTGTAGATTCGTATTTAAATGATCCAATTAGCTTGTAGTAAAAAGGGCAATAATGTGGGAGCATGGATGTTCTGGCAGCACGGCTAAAATAAATCTATTAATATAAAAATAATAAACTTTAGCATTCAGACCTTAAGATGCATTACAATGCTAATTATAGTTTAACAAGAGAGGGTTCGCCAGACTTCACGCTCAAACCTAGACCAATAGTTTATAGTGGAATCAGGGGAGAAAACTACTTGGATGGTAAAAATCTGATCTGAATTTTTTCCCATTTTTCCCATTTTTTGTGAAAAAATTTCATCATAAAGTGGGAAAATGGTAAAAAAGGAATTTTACTTTATTTTCCCTTTTTTACCATTTTTGATTAAAAATTTCCACTTTTTTACCCATCAAGTAGTTTTCCCCCTGAGTGGGATCCAAACAACTCCTTCTTATGGCATTTCTGCGTGTAGAAAGGCTGTGAGCCTTATTTTCAGTACATATGATTCGAAAATATTTACCATGCCGAGTCTCGAACCCATGATTGCATTGTCAGTATTGCAATAATTAGGTACCGAAGTAATAAACCATTCCGCCTCTTAGTGTACCATGAAAAACTTCTAGAAATTTCAGGAACCAAGTGCTTTCTACGGTTTAAAGAATGGTTCACTCTCATGATGTGCAGTGACCCAAAAAAGGGTCCACTGCTCTAAAGCCCTATTTTTAACAACCCCAAAAATCTACCTTGGACCTCCTGAAACTCTTACAGTTATTAGCTTGACCTACTTCTAATTCTACATATTTCAGTTTAAAAAAAATACAGAAGTCCTCGTGTTATTGATCGAGGGACTTAAGCGCATTTTTGTGTAAGCGATCAGTATTTGATTATCTAATTATTTTGCGTTCACTTACAGATCATGAGAAGATTATAAGATTATTAATTTTAGTGTAATTAACAAATATTTTCAATGAATTTCCATATAGAAAAGGTTCATCATTTAACGGTTTTTTAGAATTCACATTTTTTAATTGGTTAAAAAATCGAATTTCTGAATGCACCCTAATTACAATTTTTACAACGGTAAAAAATAATTCGAATTTATGAACGCATCCATCACGTGTTTTTCATATGAAATAAAAAAATCAATAATTAAAGTATAAATACACTGTTTTAAGACTTTTAACTGTTTGATCGGCCAATAACCCGATAGAACTGATCTAATAAGACAAATCCGAGCTCTCTACGATGTCTAGTTAAAAAGTTTTTCTCTCCCCGAACAGCCGAACAAAGTGTATTTTTAAGCTACCTTTTAGAAACAAGTTTCAAAAATTCGCTAAAAAGAGATTTTATCAATAAAAACAAATGTCGATAGAATTTATTTATTAAATTATTCACAATAAAACATTAAGGGAATGTATATTTTTTTAATTAGCGTCGGAAGGTGTCACCACTGTTTAGAGTTATTAAATTGTCAAATATCTCTGTAAATTGAAAAATGTGATCTTTTGGAAAGAAGATAAAATGCGTCTAATTTGTATGCGTCAAGGTCGTCGAGTTTTATTGCTTAAACTTGTCTTCGTTGTCTCAGTTTTATCTAGTTTGTTGAAATAGGAAGATGGACTTAAATAAATTAATCTCAAAAAATAGTTAAAGTTTTAGAAAATAACAAGTATGAATAAAGAATTGTTGAAAGGTGCTTCGGGATTTTTCAACTTTGCTCCCTTTCGCAATCAGGGAAGTTCAAATAGCAATAAAAAATGTAAGTTATTGAAAAAAAAAGGCCTATGCTGGGTAAACTAGCATCTGGATGATATCATTACAGTATCTTGCGCACATGAATTGTGACTGAAGGGTACATCAGGTCTTTAAACGTACCCGTGTCTTTGCAAAGTGCAGAGCTTGCAAGTGGTTTGGATTCCACTATCAACTGTAACTCTAAAGCAGTGTTGTCTATACTGTGTGCCATAGAAATATTTAGTAAATGACGCGTCTTTGGTAATGGCTTCCCAGTAAGGTGTGCCGTGGCTCAAAAAGTTTGCACAACACTGCTTTAAAGGATAAGCTACAATAGATTTTGTTATAATTTGAGTCGCAGTGCCTTCAGATCAAAAGACTCTGCCCTTTTAATGCTTTTTATGGTCTCAACCAGTGATAACAAACCCTCAGCACACTTGCGTACCGCGAGAAAAGGGTTCGTTCACTTATTACGTAACGCACAAGGGGGGGAGGGGGGGTCTAAGATTTTGTTACGGTTTGTTACAGGGGGAGGGGGGGGTCTAAAAACTCGTTTTTTTGCGTTACGTAATAAGTGAACGAGCCCAAAGATAAATCATGGAAAGGGTCCAGCCATTTAAGCTAGAGGCACTGCGATTCAAATTCGAGAATTCCTTCGAACTGTCATATCTCACTAATTTAAGGTGTGCCGTGCTCTAAAAAAGGTTGCACCGCACTAGTCCAAACAGATAAAATTTATTATTTTTTTTATTGCCGTATTTAAACTAAAATGGCCATTTAAATTTTTATTTACATCTCTGAAGCTGACGAAACGTTCGTAAAAGATGAAAACATAGCAGAGATAAAGGAAATCACTGCTTTTGGATATAAAAATGTAGCAAGCGTATTTAAATCAGATGATGTTAAAGAAGAATTGCTTAACATTGAAAAAGTGCTCCTTCTCAACATCGAGCTTGATGGCGACCTTTGTGAATCGTCATGTCTTCATTTTAAGGAATTTAGCAAAGAGTGCAGCAATAAATCACTGTTAATTTCTCTAAAGTTAATAAGTCACAATAAGTTCATAATATATTGGAAGCAGAGGAACAGCCAAGATTTTTTAAAGTTGGAGTTAAATAAGGAAAGTTTTGCTGATGATTATGGTTTGGTCCATGAACATGTTGTTGATTTTTTGACTAATTGCTTAAGCAGAGGTGAAAATGGTAATATTAAAGTTTTTTGAGTGCATTTAAAAGTGACAAAATTATTAAAAATGTATAAAATTTTAGGTTTTCTCGAACGAAATTCGTCAATTCAAGATACAAATCATATTGAGGTCTGTTCATTGTGTGACTCTAGCGGATATAATCTCATTTTGCATGCAGCTGAGACAGGGAAGTGTCGAGTTGTAATGCAACTACTAGCTCAAGGTTTGAGTACAAAATCTATAGATTTTAGTATTAGTGCTCAAGATTTGGCATGGAAGAATCGACATTCTGAAGTGCTTCTCGTCTTGGCTCAAGCTAATTTGAAATATCCTGATGGAATTGACATTAATCAACTGTCCGATGACTTCAAGACATTCTACAAGAAAACTGAGGAACTTCATGCTGCAATCATTGACAAAAATGAAGCAAAAGTTAAAAAACTTTTAAATTCTGGCAATAATTTGGAATTTTACTTCGATTTGTCTAACAAATCAGCAGCAAGAGTAGCTGTAGATGCAAATGCTTTTGATATTTACGAGATTCTAGTCATCAATGAGATCTTTCTAGCACCACACGAGTACCAACAAGGAGTCTTTGATGATCTAGAGCATCTAGAACAGAAACTTATTCGGGAACTTCACAATAAACATTCCAAGGACCTTCCAGACAAGCATATCAATGTCCTTATGGCTCATTCATTCATTAGCCATGATGTCCCTGATGCACAAGGCAAGTTGAAGTATGTCTATGAAGCATATAAGCATATGAGTCAAGATCCACGATTAAATACAATCCTCAAGACAGTCGCAGCATCAAAAACTGCCAGAATAATCTACGACTTCAACCGAGATGCTGTCAACATTGCAGATCCAACAACAAGTGGCAATACTGAAGGAGTTTTCTATCCAATGGGAAGAATTTATATTGGTGCACGTCAACTGCTTGATGAAGAGACAAGAAGTCAAGCTATAAGCACATTAGCTCATGAATTATGTCATTATGCTGTCAATTTAGTTTATTCTAATCATGCTCAGCCTTATAAAAGCAATGACAATCAAATCATGCAGGAATTTGAAGAAATCAATGAAAAATGTCAGGCTGAGAAAGGCAAAGAAGAGATTATTGATCTAGTTTATGAATTCTATGAAATTGACATGCATCATGCTGAGTTAATTGTCCGTCCAGCTCATATGATTGCTATGTACATGGATCAACCTGAAAAGCTAGCTGAACAGAGTCAAATTTTTCCAGAATTATTTGAGTTTTTTGAAAAAGTCATCAAGGAGATGGAAGCAGCTATTCCAGAGATTGAGAGACGTGATGAAGTTGAAGCTGAGAAAAAGGATCAAAAAATTTCAAATTTAAGAAAAAAATTAGTTTTAAGTGCAATATTTTCAGTCATTGGCATTATTGTGGTTGCAGCTATTGTTGCTGTCATTTTTCATAAGCCAATCTATAACTTTATGGACCTATCTCCTGATAACAAGCTTAAAATCACTAGTGCTCCTGTAATTTATAAGGACATTGAGGTTAGGTTTCATGATTTATTCCCAAACAATTCTACAGCTTACTATGAGCTTACTTCTGATCACATTTCACAAATCCTCGATGGACAAGTCTTAGATTTTAGTGATTCTCACTTCCAATATCTAAATAACTTAGTCAATCATGATTGGAAGAATTTGGCGGGAAAATTAAAACAAAAATTTTTAACCTCAAATTTTACATTTCAAAATGAAAGTTTAAAGTTTGAAAAGTTGGCAGAAATAAGTTTGGAAGTCTTTAATTCACTAAGTTCTGAGCAAATTGTGGATGTGTTGGATGGGAAGGAACTAGTCATTGGGAGCATGATTCAAAATAGAACAGAATTTTATGTTGAGAGAAGATTTATATTTGAAGGAATAGCAATTAACTTAGCAAATATAACATACTATATAAACGTTGCTGACACAATGGATGATATTATTGATAAAACACTTAGAACAAGAGTTTTTATTCTCTCATCAGAAGCAGGTGCTGGTAAATCTGTGACTTTTGAGCAATTAGCAATGAGAATTAAGAGGAAATTTCCATTACGATGGGTTTTATACATCGATCTTAAGGATTACAAAAGTTTTTATAACACAAGTTTAGAAAATGTTGTATTTGTTGATAATATAAAAGAACTTTTGCATAATATTTTAAATTTAAATTCATTAAATGAATTTGAAAAGAAAATATTTGATGAGCGCTTAAAGTCAGGTCATGTTGTGCTGCTTTGGAATGGCTTTGATGAAATATCTCCGACTTATAATTCATTTATTTCGATTGTTTTGAAAGAAATTTATACAAAAACAAAGATTGTTCAATATGTAAGCACGCGACCATCGTATTCAGTCCAATTGCAAGGAATATTCAATAATAAAGCTTATCAGCTAATACCATTAAATTCAGATGAACAAAAGGAATTTTTGAGAAAATATTTTATTATTCAAAACATTAAAAGTATGAAAATTGATGAGTATGTTGAAAAAATTCATAATATATCATTGACGTATGCCTTCATTACTCCATTTATGCTAAAAGTAATTGGTAAAATACACAAAGAAGGAGATTTAATTGAAAAAGAAAATTATTTTAAAATCTATCAAATTTTCATTGAACAAAAGATAAATGTTTGGCAAGAGAATGACTTTGCAAAAAATGCAACACGTGAATTGTTGTCTATTAGCTCAAAGTTTAATGTTTTAGAATTTCATCAAGAGTATGCATTAAGAAATCTATTGCCATTTACAATAAAACTACATAAACTCAAGATCATGCAAATGACAAAAACAATCAATTTAAAATATGAAGAAATCTCTCGAATGGGCATTTTGTACTTGAATGGACCATTTCAATATAGTTTTTCACACCGCACATTTATAGAGTTTCTGGCGGCACAGTACTTTTATGAAAACATTTACTTGGCTGATTATGATTTGAGCCTTCAAGAAGCGGAATTTAGAATCGAAGCTTTTTTCTTTATAACAATGCATTTAAGGAACTCAGTTGTTCTCTATTATAAATTTATTGATAACTTTATTAATTTTAATGAGACAAAATCTTTAGGGACTTTTGCGCCAGCAATTTCTAAACTTTTGAAAACAAATTACAAAACTTGGTTTTTTGATTTAATTCCGTTTATTAAAATTGATTTGATAAATTTACTAATTAACTTTTTTAAAAGAGATCACGAAGTTTTAATTGAACTGCTGCATGTTAATGACAATGAAACTTTATATACAGTTTTATTTGATCCTTTAAAAGACTCAAAGAACATTGATCCGAAAAGTTTATTGGAAATTGTAAAAAAATGCTTAACTGATGAAGAATTTGAAAAATTTAAGAATGGAAAGAATCAAAATGCAAAAATTATTTATGGAATTGAATATTTTCGATCATTAAATGTTACAAAAATTCATTATAAAATATCGAATGCAAAATATCCATTTGAATCATTGCAAACATTGAGTAAAGAACTTCTTCTTAAATCTACAAATGATGAGCAAAAAGAACTTTTGTATGTCCTTTTACATCCAGCATTATGTAGTCATTCTCTAAATGTTTGTACAAACTTTACGCAAGCATGGCAACATGCTGTAAATTTAATGTCTAGACATGAGCTTACATCTTATTTAGGACAAACATTTAAAGACTTTTGTGAAATTTGTCCACCAACAAACTCACCAGGATATAAATTTATTTTCAATAAGACAGAAAACTTTTTCACAAATGCCGAAATTGTTGAAATGTTTACCAACAATTATGTTTTACATAAAGCTGTTAAAAAGTCATTTTTCTACGATAACTTTTGGAATGTTTTTAATAAACACTCAAATCTTACGGATCGAAGAAAAATACTCACTCAAGATTATCCTTTGCAATATATTCGATTTTTTCACAATTTTAATATTTTAAATTTTTTTGTTGCATATGATTATAATATTTTTAATATCTTTCAAATAGGCGTGAGTTATTGTACAGACGAACAATATTTTTATAGATTAATAACAGCTTATGAATCTAATTTTAATCGTACTGAAATGCGAGAAATTATTCTTAAATCAAATGAATTTCTTCTTTATTCAGTCATTTATTCAACGCCTCAAGTCATCAATCAATTCAAAGCTTATTTACTGGATCTCTTTGCGGACATGGAGCACTTGCTGCTGGAATTTTTCAGAAGAAATATTAAATTTACTCAAAGGTCATTTTTTAAATATGTTCGATATTTTCCAATGGATTTTTTAAAAATAAATAACATTAATTTATATTATTCCTTTTATTCTCTTTTAAAAAGTAAAGTTGAAAAAGAGCTTTATGTTGATAAACCTTTCTATTTGGATAATCATATTTAATCTACATATAATAAGTCTTTATAAGCAAGCTTATGTGGCTGGGTGATGGGATATTCATGATAAGATTGGACTTATGGTTTATAACTGATCATTTTCGTATTAGTCAGTGGCGGGCAATCTTATTTGAGTCGCGACACATTTTAGGAGTTGAACATGATTGAAACTTAACACGGAATATGGTTCCCGATTTTTTAAGTCGCACACTATTGAGCCGCGGCTTTTGGGTTCACTATTTTATGTTATTAACAATCATATAAAATGTTAAGGGACGTTCACTAATGACGTCCAAATTTAACGGTCATTTTTCAAAAAAGAAATTATTGATCGAAAGACTTAAGCGCATTTTTATGTAAGAGACCAGTATTTGATTATCTAATTATTTTGCGTTCACTTACAGATCATTAGAAGATTATTAATTTTAATGTAATCAACAAAAATTTACAAAGAATGTCCAATTAGACAATCTTCATCATTTTCGTTTCTTTGGAATTCAAATTTTTATCGGTTAAAAAAAATCGAATTTCTGAACGCACTCTGATTACAATTTTTACAACTGTAGAAAATATTTCGAATTTCTGAACGCACACATCACGTGTTTTTCATATGAAATAAAAAAATCATTAATTAAAGTTTAAATACACTGTTTTAAGATTTTTAATTGTTTGGCTGTAGGGTTGGGCAAATATTCGAATATATTCGAATATATTCGAATATGAACAAAAAAATATTCGAATATATTCGAATATATATTCGAATATTAGAAATTCAAAAATGAAAAAATACGTTATTTGTTGATTAGCATTTTTCAATTTGCCTGTAATTTGTAAATGATAAACAATTCATATATGAGAATTAAAGATATTAAATTGTAAATATGCTATAATTAATGATTTTTTGTGTATCCTTTGGCGAAAAGCTTTCAAAAGCTTACTGACTGTTAGAAAATTTGAATCTCAAAATACCGTTAAATGAAAAACTTTTTCTATATGGAAATTCATTGGAACAAATTATGTAATTATACTATAACTAATGTTTTCGTAGTGCAACTTTTAGCGGGAAAATTTTCAAATATTTTTTCACCGTTAAAATTTTTTAAAAGGCGACTTCAAATATTCTTTGATATCAAATTTTTTCAATTGAAAAAATCATGTTAAACAATTACTAAAATAGATCTAGTTTTAATGGAAAAGCAATGAAAATACTTTCTTTAGCCAAATACGTCGATATTTTAGTTGTAAGTTATTTAATTAATTGTTAAATATTTATTTAAAAAAAATCACGATTATTAACGGTTATTTTTTGAATTATGTATATTCGAATACATATTCGAATATATGCGCACATTTATGTGCGCACATTATATTCGAATATATTCGAATACGATTCTGCCCAACTCTATTTGGCTGGCTAATAACTCGATATAACTGTGCTAATAAAACAAACCCGAGCTTTTTACGATGCCTAGTTAAAAAGTTTTTCTTGCTCCGAACAGCCAAACAGCCGAACAAAGTGTATTATTAAGCTACTTTTCAAAAACAAGTTTCAAAAATGCGCTAAAAAAATATGTTTTTCTTTTCTGGCCACTGGACGTCATAAGTGAACGGCCCTTAATTAATTATCAAAATTAAAGAAAAATAAAAACTTTGAGCATCAAAAAAATGTGTGAATCATTTTTTATCTTTCAGATGTTGAATCTTCGCTCGGCTGATTCATTTATTCAATATAAATCATGGAATTTTTGTAATCTATCATAATATTCACCTCGGATATCCTTAAAGCTTTCAAAAATTGACTTATTTGTAATTACAAATTTTCTATTTAAAAATTCTTTCAAAACTTTTTTGTCATTTTCAAATAAATCAATAAAATATTTTTCAAATATCTTAGCCGATCGATATTTCCAGCAGATGACAAACTGAAGCATGTACTCATTTGGGGACATTAAAATTGCTTGAAACTCTTCAACTGAAAATCTATCGCTGTAAATGCTTTTGACTGTCTGTAAAATATTCTCATTATTCCTCAGTGAAGCTTTGTGGATGATTTTTAATGGAATATTGTGATAGAAATTGAAGCTGTCGTATTTCCTGTAATATTTTGGCTTGTCATCACGCTGAAGGAGTGTCTTTTGCTGCTTATCATCAAAATGAGTCTCCACAAATGTCCACAGGACATCAAAAGCTTTGTGATTGTAAGTCGCGATGTGTAAAATGTCAAAATTTAAAAACATCTCGAAAATTTCAGAATTTGATAAAAGTTCTTCAGTTTTGTTCAATAAAAATGGCAGAAAGTCTGCAAGTCTTACAAAGTCATCGAATTCTGGGTACTTTTTGATTAATTTATGGATTGTGTCAGCTATGGCTGACTGAATTTCAGACTTTGAGAGTAAATTTTGAAATTGTTGCCAAAGTTTTTCATGTTTTGGGATTTTTGAGGTATCTAAAGCTGAATAAAAAGGCGGAGTAATGGCTAATAAGAAGAACTGCTTCTTTTCTAGGTCTGTTAGATTTGCGGTAATCATGTCTGAATAGTCATACAAGTCTGTGTCTTCTTGGGTGTCTGAATCTGTGCTAATCTTGATTTTATCGTGTTTTTTTGGTTTATTCTTCTGCTCATAATAATGCAGCCCAAGCAGAACCTTCCCATTCTGATTTCTGCCTGTCAAGAACCTCTCAAACTCTTCATCATTCAAGTAACTCCTCACGATTGCCTTAATATGCTCTGGATTTGCAAGAGCTACAAAGTGATTTGGATTGAATGCAGCTGTGTAAAGAGTTTCGTCGTCATCAACATTTAGCAGTTCTAGCAACAGTGCATGATCCTTTTTGAAGAAGTCAAGCATGAATTTAAGGATTTCTGGATATTTTGGATTCACTAAGTCGAATAAGAATTTTTTGAACTTAGTTTTTACAAGTTTTGCAATTTCTAAACTGAAGGGTTTATTTGAGTCGGAATAAGGAGTTATGCCTTGGATTTGGGAGTTATGTTGGATGTCTTTAAGGTTAAGTTGGTTGTATTCAAGGTTATGCTGGATGTCTTTAAGGTTAGATTGGATGTCTTCAAGGTTATGTTGGCTGTCTTTGAGGTTATGTGTATCTTTATTCAGTTGATCATCTTGATTCTCAGTTGAGGTAGGTTCAACTAGGCTAGCATCACTTTGGTTGGTCAGAAAATCATTATTTTCAAGATTCTGGATCTGATCTTCTTTCATTTTATGGTCCAAACTAAAATGATCGTCCATCTGGTATGAAGTTGTTTCCGTAGCCCTTCTGACTCTTGGATTGTTCATGATCTTGTCATTTATAATCAATGTTGACAGATTTTTTGGATTTAACCTCAAAGTAATATTATTGAGGACCAAATTATTAAAGCTATTGATACCTAACCTAAAAGATGTGTCATTTTTGGTCAAGATCATAGCTTCATCGCTTCCTAACATTGAAGCATTGTCTTTTTGAACTTTACTTTTTTCGCTTAACCTCAAACTTTTAAGCTTCTCAATTTTGTGCCCACTTTTTGATCCTAACCTCAAATTGATATCATTTTGGACCAGAGTGTTGCTTTCTGCCCTCATTTCTCCATTGATATCTGTTTTGCTGAAACTTGCTGCACCTAACCTCAAAATAGTAACATTTTTGATAGATTCACTGTGACTTAACCTCAAAATTTCATTTTTTGCTACAAATTCTCTTTTATCAGAACCTAACCTCAACTTAGAAGACTTTTTATCAAAATCAATCCTTCCTAACCTCAAATCCCCTTCATTTTCCATAACAATCCCCCGTCGAACACGATGTTGACCGTCTACTCCATTAACTTTATCCAAATATGATATCATAAAATCAGTAACCATGACCTGATTGTATCCGTAATTCTGTGCAATATAAAAGAATATTTCAAGCCTATAATAAGCTTCTTCTGGACTTACATCATAGTCTGCATTGTAAATATTCTCAATAAAATATTGAGCTGTAAAAAATTCCTCTAAAGTTTTATGAGCAAACTCGAACTTTGTGTCGTCATTTATGTACAAAATTCCCATCCTTGATATTTCAGTTTTTGGAAGTCCACTTGGAATTTGACGGGACATGACTTTGAGTTTTTTGAGTTCAAATATGATTTGGAGATGAAGAGCTTCGTACAGCTCATTAGGCAGTGAATATTTTTGATAAATTTCGATTATATTGAAGCTTCGTGACAGCAGCTTATTGACAATATTCTTCACAAATGGACTGCTGTCCAGCCACACGCCGACCTTCTTCTCGACAAACTGTTGATAAATTTCATAAAAATTATCTGATTCAACTTGATCGTTATCGACATAAATTTCTGCGACTAGCTTAAGCATCAATGGTGTGTTAAAGTCACGAGTTGTCTCCTTAGCTTCACTTGTCAGTCCACCGACTAGCAAACTTTTGATTGTTTTTTGAATTTTTCCGATATTTCTGTCAATTTTTGACTTTTCAACATTTTTGGATGTGAAAAATTTCCTTAAAAATTCTTCTTGCTGTGCTTTGCTGTATGGAATCAACTGGAAGGTTCTTTTCTTAAATTTGTCGCGTAGCTGCAGTGAAAAAAGCGGTCGAGTTGATATAAACTGAACATTTTGCGTATTTTCACGAACTTGAGTCAGAATGTCGATAATAAATTTATTATAATCTGGTGAAATTTCATCGAAGCCATTCCAAAGCAGCACAGCATTGCCTGACTTGTACAGCACCTCAAAAACCTTCTTTTCGAATTCATTTTCACTTCCTAACCTCAAAATGTGAGTCAAAAGCTCCTCACCATCTTTAAACCTTTTATATAAGTTAACAAAGTCCTTCATGTCGATGTACGACACCCACTGAATTGGATTCTTCTTCTTAATCCTCATTGCAAGCTGCTCAAAAGTCACCGTCTTGCCAGCACCAGCTTCTGATGATAAAATGAAGATTTTTGACTTTTTCGCTTCTTGAAAGACTTTATCGAAGTCGTGTTGGATGAATTTAAGTTTGTCGGAATTGAGGTCAGCTAGAAATTGATCGTAATCTTTAATGAATCCTTGCTTCTCTATTTCCTTGACAACCTCAGCGTATATATCAAAGCCGATATCCTGAATTAAAGCATAAATATCTTGTAAAGTGAATTTATCAACTTGTAAGTTCTCAATGAATATCAAAGCTTCATATGGAACTCCACTTAAGAATACTTTATATTCCGGAAATCTCTCAAATAAGTCATGGACCGTCTTGTTCTTAAAATTCTGTAGGAATTCCAAAAATATATACCCAACCTTAATGTCCTCAAAAATTAGCTTCCTTTCTAAGTAAAATTCTGTTCTATTCTGAATCATGCTACCAATGACTAGTTCCTTCCCATCCAGCACATCCACAATCTGCTCAGAACTTAATGAATTAAAGACTTCCGAACTTATTTCTGCCAACTTTTCAAACTTTAAACTTTCATTTTGAAATGTAAAATTTGAGGTTAAAAATTTTTGTTTTAATTTTCCCGCCAAATTCTTCCAATCATGATTGACTAAGTTATTTAGGTACTGGAAGTGAGAATCACTAAAATCTAAGGCTTGTCCATCGAGAATTTGTGAAATGTGATCGGAAGTAAGCTCATAGTAAGCTGTAGAATTGTTTGGGAATAAATCATGAAACCTAACCTCAATATCTTTATAGATTACAGGAGCACTAGTGATTTTAAGCTTGTTATCAGGAGATAGATCCTTAAAGTTATAGATTGGCTTATGAAAAATGACAGCAACAATAGCTGCAACCACAATAATGCCAATGACTGAAAATATTGCACTTAAAACTAATTTTTTTCTTAAATTTGAAATTTTTTGATCCTTTTTCTCAGCTTCAACTTCATCACGTCTTTCAATCTCTGGAATAGCTGCTTCCATCTCCTTGATGACTTTTTCAAAAAACTTAAATAATTCTGGGAAGATTTGACTCTGTTCAGTTAGCTTTTCAGGTTGATCCATGTACAAAGCAATCATATGAGCTGGACGGACAATTAACTCAGCATGATGCATGTCAATTTCATACAATTCATAAACTAGATCAACAATCTCTTCCTTGCCTTTCTCAGTCTGACATTTTTCATTGATTTCTTCAAATTCCTGCATTGTTTGATTGTCATTGCTTTTATAAGGCTGAGCATGATTAGAATAAACTAAATTGACAGCATAATGACATAATTCATGAGCTAATGTGCTTATAGCTTGACTTCTTGTCTCTTCATCAAGCAGTTGACGTGCACCAATATAAATTCTTCCCATTGGATAGAAAACTCCTTCAGTATTGCCACTTGTTGTTGGATCTGCAATGTTGACAGCATCTCGGTTGAAGTCATAGATTATTCTGGCAGTTTTTGATGCTGCGACTGTCTTGAGGATTGTATTTAATCGTGGATCTTGACTCATATGCTTATATGCTTCATAGACATACTTCAACTTGCCTTGTGCATCTGGTACATCATGGCTAATGAATGAATGAGCCATAAGGACATTGATATGCTTGTCTGGAAGGTCCTTGGAATGTTTATTGTGAAGTTCTCGAATAAGTTTCTGTTCTTGATGCTCTAGATCATCAAAGACTCCTTGTTGGTACTCGTGTGGTGCTAGAAAGATCTCGTTGATGACTAGAATCTCGTAAATATCAAAAGCTTTTGCATCAACAGCTACTCTTGCTGCTGATTTATTGGACAAATCGAAGTAAAATTCCAAATTATTGCCAGAATTTAAAAGTTTTTTAACTTTTGTTTCATTTTTGTCAATGATTGCAGCATGAAGTTCCTCAGTTTTCTTGTAGAATGTCTTGAAGTCATCGGACAGTTGATTAATGTCAATTCCATCAGGATATTTCAAATTAGCTTGAGCCAAGACGAGAAGCACTTTAGAATGCCGATTCTTCCATGCCAAATCTTGAGCACTAATTCCATCATCAGCTGTTGTATTGGCACCGCAGTTTAAAAGTATTTCGACAATCTCAGCATTTCCAGCTTCAGCAGCAATAAGAAGTAAGTTGTAATCTCTAGAATCAGCAAGAAGATGTGCACCAACTTCAGTTCCATTTGAGTATTGTTGCCATTCTCTGTACAGACCTAAAATAAATAATTTTTGGTTTTAAATTGATTTATAGTCACTCGATGTTAAGGATTATACTGACAGGGAAGTTATTAACTTTAAAGGTCAGTGCCAATGCAGAAGATAAAGACTATGACGTACCTAATTGTCCTCTACTTAGTGATGACGCCAAATAATCAGCAACAAATGCGTAAATTTTTCTATCATTCTCAGTAAACACTTCTCCGTAGTGCCTTAAAGTGATTAATTGTTGGACGTCCTTTGATTTCCATAGTATTTGAATTTTGTCATTATTTGCTATTGTCATGACGATGACTAACGACTTATTAACGCTCTTACACTTGAGATTTTCAAGCACTTCTGAGTCAAGGTCGTCAAATGAGTCACTAATGTGAATCTTAAGAAGCAAAACGGTTGTTGGATCATCAAGCTCATGTTTTATTGTTGCCGAATCGAAAAAGTCGATGAAAGTTTGAAGATTCTTGCAAGTGTCGATAAGAAGTGTCTTAATATCTAAGGCAGATGGTCCTGGAGTGTCATTTTCTATCGTTGATAATTCAAAACTGGCATCTGAAGAAGAAAAGAAGTGATATTTTGTGAAAAAGGATTTTATAGTGTCACTATGGTTATAACAAGATGGACATTAGGGATATCGGAGATAACCTGGTCTATTCTCAAAAACAGGCGCGAATCCAGGGGGGGGGGGGATAATTGGAAATTTCTTTATTTTGCTAGGGTTTTTTATGAAAAAGTCACAAACCCCCTCTTAAAATTTTCCATATTTAAAAATTTCTGCCCCCCCCCCCTCTTCAAATTCCTGGCTACGCCCATGCTCAATCTTCATTTCGACTCTAGGATGCCTAAGAAAGCCAAGAAACTGATCGAAGGAGCTTTAGGGGTGGCTTCTTGGTTGTGCCGTAAGTTCAATGGAATATCTAGAGTATGGCTTAAGAACATGGAGTATAACCGAGAAACCAACACCCCTGACAACGCACTTTCTTGGAACATTATTAAAACTTCTCTTTTTTCAACAATCAATACTGTTGAAGGTTAAGGAATGAAGCAATAAAGTTTAAACCAGATAGGTCAGTTCCAATTTTTCAAAATATCACAAGAACTTATAGAACAAGAACAATAAAATTCAAAACAAAAAACCAAAAAAAACCAAAAAAAAATCATTTTTTTTATTACCTTAACCAACAACTTAGTTATATTGAGCTAAATTCTTCTTAATATTAAATATGTTAATTTTTTTAATATTATTTTTTTTTTTTGGAATTTTCAAACAATCATAAACTTGTCATTTTATTACTTAGCTCTCCACAAGCATGCAGTTAAGAATAAAAATCAGGGGCGTAGCCAGGAATTTGAAGAAGGGGGGGGGGGGGACAAAAAAAATATATGGAAAATTCAGAGGGATGGGGCGGATTTTTATGATTTCTTCATTTATTGATTTAAGAACATTCTCACAAGATGCTTGGTCATATTGAATAATTTCTATGAAGTTCTGACAGATTTGAAGTTGAAATTGCTAAATACTATCTACTTTTGCACTAGGTTGCATCATAAATTCACTGTTTCTTTGAACCCCCCCCCCCCCCCCCCCCCCCCCCCCCCCCCCTGGTTACGAGCCTGATAAAAATCGAATTTAAAATTGATGATATTTATTGAACTAGAACAAATAAATTAATTCTATCGTTATTGACTTAATCCAGTGATGGCCAACCCTAGTGTGCCATTAATAAATACAGAAAATTCCACGAACCGTATGTCAGGTGCGATTTCTTCATATCTTACTATCAAAATGTGCTTTGCCATGAAAAAGGTTGGACACCACTGGCATAGTAGATTTTTATTGTGGCTGTAGCTATGAACAATCAATTGACAGTGAGTAAATTATGATTGAACTATCCAAGTGCGTATTATTGAGCGGACAAGCCCCATTGTCCGCTGAATCTTGATTGAATTTTATTCATTTAAAAGCTAAGTTCAATTAAGACTCAGAATTTCAACTTACTCGTACTTTTCCTTTTTAATCCACTTTGATTGCTTAATTTTCCAATATTTCGGAGTTTTCCAATGTTTTTTTGAAAAAAATTACTCATTTTTAAATTTCACCTTTTTCTTCACATTTAATTAATAAAATTTTAATTATTTTTATATTAATTTATTTTTATTAGATACAATGTAATATGACAACTATGCAGCTTGATCTTCAATCTTTGAATATTTTGGTGAGAATAAAATAATAATTTTTGTAGTTTTTAACCATTTAAGAAGAAGAGTCGCGGGAGAATCCGATAAATGAGAGTACAAAAAACGAGTTTTTAAGTCGAAATGCAAAAATCCCAAAAAATAATAATTGCTAAATAAAAATCTCAAAAAAAAGAGACGAAAAACCAAAAAAAAAATTACAAAAGTCCTCGTGTTATTGATCGAGGGACTTAAGCGCATTTTTGTGTTAGCGATCAGTATTTGATTATGTAATTATTTTGCGTTCATTTACAGATCATGAGAAGATTAGAAGATCATTAATTTTAGTGTAATTAACAAAAAGTTACAATGAATGCTTATATAGAAAGGATTATTATTTAACGGTCAATAAATAATTTGAAATTTTGCCGTTAAAAGTTGCACTAAAAAAACATTAATTATAGTATAATTAGATAATTTGTTGCAATGAATTTCCATACAGAAAGAGTTTATCATTTAACGGTTTCTTGTAATTCAAATTTTCTAACGGTCAATATAATAATAATTTGAAATTTTCCCGCTATAAGTTGCACTACGAAAAAATTAATTATAGTATAATTAAATAATTTGTTGCAATGAATTTTCATACAGAAAGGGTTTATCATTTAACATTTTTTTGTAATTCAAATTTTCTAACGGTCAATAAATAGTTTGAAATTTTCCCGCTATAAGTTGCACTACGAAAAAATTAATTATAGTATAATTAAATAATTTGTTCCAATGAATTTCCATACAGAAAGAGTTTATCATTTAACGGTTTCTTGTAATTCAAATTTTCTAACGGTCAATATAATAATAATTTGAAATTTTCCCGCTATAAGTTGCACTACGAAAAAATTAATTATAGTATAATTAAATAATTTGTTGCAATGAATTTTCATACAGAAAGGGTTTATCATTTAACATTTTTTTGTAATTCAAATTTTCTAACGGTCAATAAATAGTTTGAAATTTTCCCGCTATAAGTTGCACTACGAAAAAATTAATTATAGTATAATTAAATAATTTGTTCCAATGAATTTCCATACAAAAAAAGTTTATCATTTAACGGTTTTTTGAAATTCAAATTTTACAACGGCTAGAAAAATTTAACGGTCAATAAATAATTTGAAATTTTGCCGTTAAAAGTTGCACTAAAAAAACATTAATTATAGTATAATTAGATAATTTGTTGCAATGAATTTCCATACAGAAAGAGTTTATCATTTAACGGTTTCTTGTAATTCAAATTTTCTAACGGTCAATATAATAATAATTTGAAATTTTCCCGCTATAAGTTGCACTACGAAAAAATTAATTATAGTATAATTAAATAATTTGTTGCAATGAATTTTCATACAGAAAGGGTTTATCATTTAACATTTTTTTGTAATTCAAATTTTCTAACGGTCAATAAATAGTTTGAAATTTTCCCGCTATAAGTTGCACTACGAAAAAATTAATTATAGTATAATTAAATAATTTGTTCCAATGAATTTCCATACAAAAAAAGTTTATCATTTAACGGTTTTTTGAAATTCAAATTTTACAACGGCTAGAAATTTTTTGAAATTATAGAGGTAATATTGAAATTATAGAGGTAAAATAAAATTTGAGCAGGTTACACTGAAAACAAAACAAAAATTCATTAATTATAGCATAAATACACTGTTTTAAGATTTTTAAATGTCCGGCGGGCCAATAACTCGATATAACGGAACTAATGCAAAAAACTAGAACTCTCTACGATGTCTAGATTAAAAGTTTTTCTTAGCAGCCGACCAGCCAGCCAGCCAGCCGACCAAAGTGCGTTATTAAGCTACCTTTTTGAAAACAAGTTTCAAAAATGCGCTAAAAAAATTATGTGACAAGAAAAAAAAACCCGGCAGTGCTGCAAAAAGAGAATTTCTCTCACTTTTATCTTCCATTGAGTTGTTTTCATTTTTTATCTCAGCTTTATTATTAAATGTGGCCTTCGTGTGGCAAGATCAAGTTTTAAGATTCTTCTCAAATATTTAAATTGTGTTCATTTTTAGTGAATAAGAACGAAATGTTGATAAAAAACTATTGAAAAAAGTTCAAATTAATTAAAAAGACTGAAAAGTGAAAAAAAAAATGTTTAAAATTGTGATAAGAAAAAATTCGAATAAATTGATGGACTCTGGACGACATATGAATCAGGTTGATAGACTTAAAGCTTCAAATGGTAAGTTGATTGTCATTCTAATTAAGAAGCTACACATTTCTGCGTAGCTTGACTTACTGGAATATTGCTGGTTCTTGTGTGTGTCATTTATAATGAGCTGGATTGTATCTAGCAGTTATTTACTTACTAAAGCTGTATTCCTATGTAGAGCTTAGGTTACAGCAAAAGGCTTTCCATCAGACTCTGCTGCTGGCTCTGTCAACAAGTTTGTACAACTTCTCTGTCCGCACATTAAGCTGACATTCCTTCATTACTTTTCTACGTTATGTAGCTTCAGGGCTTCTTTTCCCTTGCGGATTTCAACAAAGGGCAGTGGAACAAACTTCTGTTTCTGTTCGAGCAATAAAGGATAGCCAGAAGGATCTTGTCCACCCTGAACGTTTTGAACCGCAACGAGAGCATGGCATAAAACGCTTACGAGGGGGACAAGACCCTCCTGGCTACGCGCCTGGTTACAGACACAGTCCACATTCTCTTTAGCAGTGCTTAAACATAAATTTTATAAGTTGCCATAAAAGAAAATCAAATTTCTGAAATATTTCTGACTAAGCTCCTTGTTAAAGGTTTCTTGGTCTATTCCAAACCATAAAAAAAAAATAAACTTTATCATTCAGACCTTAAAGATCCATAGCTGCGCGTTTTTATGCGTTACAAGGCTAATGATAGTTTAACAAGAGAAGGTTCGCTAGACCTCCCGCTCAAAGCTAGACCTACAATTTATAGTGGGATCCGAACCACTCCTTTGATGACATTACTGTCTGTAGCCTACAAAAGAAGGCTGTGAGCCTCATTTGCAGTACATATGATTCCATTCCGCAACCGAGCAACTTCAGCTCTCATACGAAGCCATACCTTTACCTATTTAACACTGAAGCATGTATGTAGACGCGTATGTGTTGCTCTTTACCAAGAAACCATCTTCTAGCCATCAATTTAAATAACCATGAGAATAATTCACACATTTTAATAGCAATGTGCTTGTATCGACGCTGTAAATGTTGAATATTTTAAATTTCTAACTGCATTTTGCAGTCATTGAGCCGGTTTAGGAAAAAAAATGCTTGTAATGATGAGTTTGCATTTCCAATAGTCGGTTTTTAATTTATAACACCGATTAAATTTATCAAATGTGATCAAAACTTGATTTTTCAACTGCTTAATCAGTGATATGGCATTTATTGCTCTTTTCTTTCTTTTTTTAATCCCACGCCAAGTCAAGATTCTTATTATATTCATGATTCTAGATACAAAGCTAGTAGTTTTGAGGTATTCGACATATAACATGTCTCTTTTGCTAGATATACTTTTATATACCAGCATCTGGATGATTTTATTACAACATGTAGAATTCACAAAGTGTGACTAGGAATATTGAAGCTTACATCAGGTCAGGCGCGTAACCAGGAGGGTCGGTTCCCCCTTTTAAGCGTTTTAGGCCGTCCTCTCACTGCGGTTCAAAACGTTTAAAGGGGGGGGGGGGATGGGGGGGGGGGGCAAGAGCCTCTTGGCTACGCGCCTGCATCAGGTGTTTCATCATCTTCGTGTCATTGCAATGTTCATTGCTCGCAAGTATTTCGAAAATTCATTGAATCGCTGTGCATTTCAGTTCAAGTGTATTCTGTGTCAGGTGAGAAGCCAAGGGGGGGATTGTGACAGCCCCTTTACTTCAACAGAAACATTTTACATTTTTCTAGGATTTTTATGCCCCTCCACTTGACTTTTCCATCCAAAATGCCCCTCACAAAAACTGCCTTCATTTTCCAAACTACACCCGTTTAAATCATCTGCTTATTAACGCTCGCTGCTAAATTCTTAAGGCTCAAAAGACTATACTGATGCCAGTTTGGCTACACAAAGAATTGAATAGTTGAATTCTGTAGTAAAAGCTAAAACCAGCAATCAATTCATCTGGGCAATCCAAAGCAGTTCCTTGACAGAGTCGAATAGTTTTTTTTTTTGGGAATTTCCATTCTCACGATCCAAATGAAATTTCCAAAACGCTATGCAGTGGAAATATTCATTACTCTCACTTTTACCAATCGTTGGATTTCCGTATTTCCCCAAAAAAATGATCTTCCTTCATTTCTTCTTGATTCATTGATTCCATGTGTTGAATGAAAAATTCATTCTATTTTTTTGCTTATTCATTCTCGTAAACCTGACGCTTAGCTTGTTTTGAATTTTATTGCCATTTCATGCAGCATCGGCAGTAATATAAATTTAGAATATTTATTGTTTTTTTAAGTCTTGAAAGGTGTGGCTATGTTGACTTTTTATTGAACTGAGATGAGTTTGTATTTGGGACATAGACAGAGAGTCGAAAATAGGATGTTATCGAGCTTATCCCTCACAAAATCATTTTTTTTTAAGAAAAATGTTCACAGAGGGTTGATGGGTTGGGTTGGTGTTGACCCTAGTAACTTACAAAGGGGTCATTCATCAGGTCCGTAGCCAGGATTTTTCTAGAAGCGGTGCCTGAAAAAATGTTCAATGTCAAAAATAAATAAATAAGTGCCCAGGCAGCTAAGGACCCCCCCCCTCCAGGTTACGCCCCTGTTGGTTACTTCTGACGTCCAACATTGAGTAGGGGAGAAGGTCTAAGCTATTCTGGCAGCTCAAACAAAAAAACTGTTTTATCCATACAAATTTTTTGACAGGGAGGGTGACATTTTTAAATGACGTCAACCATAAAATTGAATTTTTCTATCCCAATCGCATGGCAAAGAGAGAGAAGCTTAGATCCGTTCTTAATGAATTTGAGTCAAGATCCCAATTTGAACCTAATTCATCTCACATCTGTGTTTAAAAATGCATTCAACTAAAATTAGACATCATTTTTGAACTATCCCCAAATAATCATATCAATCAAGTCTAATAATTATTCTACCATTAATTGCCTATTTCCAGATGACAGTTTTGAGCTATCAGAAGTTAAAGTAGACAACAACATTCGATCAAATTCAAGTTCATCACTTAGAGTTCCTCAAAACATCGAACAAATGTCATATCTAGCCGATCAGCACATCAACCTCCTCATGTCTAAATCATTTTGTGGTCACGATGTCCACGAAGATGAATCAACAAGAGAGCATGTGCTGAATGCTTACAAATTCCTTAATTCAACTCCATTCCTTAATGTCATTCTCATGGTCGTCGCTTCATCAACAAAAGTTCGGAGTGTCTTTGACTTTAATCGTGATTCTGTGTACATGGCTGATCCAACAGTTCCTTCAAATACTAAAGGAATGTTTTATCTTTCTGGTCGAGTTTATATTGGTGCTCAGCAGCTGCTGGATGAGGCGACAAAAAATGAAGTTTATGCAACTTTGGCTCATGAGTTTTGTCACTACGCGACTGACTTGACTTATGGGAACTTTGCAAAGCCATACGCAAAAAATGATAGCAAAACCAGACAGCAATTTGAGGAAATATCTCAAAAATGTCAGCAACAGCAAGGATTTGAAGAATATATCGACATCGTCTTTCAACATTATCCACCTGCTGTGCAGCATGCAGAACTGATTGTTCGAGTTCCTCATTTAATCGCTTTGTACAGCAACGATCCTGAAAGATTGAAGGAAGTAAGAGAAAAATTCATTGAATTATTCGAGTTTTATGAGACAAAAGTATATCCTGAGATGCAAGAGGCACTGCCAAAAATAAATCAACAAGATCAGCTCAAAGAAAAGGAGCAAAAAATTCTAAAATTAAGAAAAATTGCTTGTATTTCATTTATTTGTACATTAGTTGCCATTATTTTAGTCATAGCTTTAACATGTTTACTTAGTCAACCTAAAAATTACACATTCTCTAACATTACAACATACGACAAGCTTAAAATCCATAATTCATCAATAATCTATAAGGACATTGAGGTTAGGTTTCATGATTTATTCCCAGACAATTCTACAGCTTATTATAAGCTTACTTCCGATCACATCTCACAAATCCTCGATGGACAAGCCTTAGATTTTAGTGATTCTCACTTCCAGTATCTAAACAACTTAGTCAATCATGATTGGAAGAATTTGGCGGGAAAATTAAAACAAAAATTTTTAACCTCAAATTTTACATTTCAAAATGAAAGTTTAAAGTTTGAAAAGTTGGCAGAAATAAGTTTGGAAGTCTTTAATTCACTAAGTTCTGAGCAGATTGTGGATGTGTTGGATGGGAAGGAACTAGTCATTGGGAGCATGGTTGAGGGTAAGATTGATTATTATATTGAAAGGAGGTTTGTTGTTGAGGATGAAGATAAGAAAGAGATTGATTTTGAGGTTAGGGATTGGATGGAAGCTAAGGATGTGAAGGAACTTAGCGATAGCGACAATAATGAAGCTAAGGAAGTAAAGAGAATTGGCGGGGAATATAAAACTGAAGGGGAAGATAAGATTGAAGGTAGAAGTGGACATGGAAGTGATATTGAAGCTGAAGATAAGCAACAAAGTAGGAATAAGCAAAGCCAAAGGGTTATAGAAGATAAGATTGAGAATATTCATAATTTAGGAGAGTTTAGAGAGGTTAGAAAAGTTCTAGAAACCCAAGAGAGATCAGAAGACATTAGAATCACCACTTTAGAGTCCCAAGATCACAAACCAGAACATAATCTAGTCCAAAATTCAAAAAACACACAAGAAATCATCCAAGAAGCTTTAGAAAGTAGAATATTCATTCTTAATTCAGAGATTCGAGCTGGAAAGACTGTAATTTTCCAACAATTAACAATGGTGATTAAGAGCAGCTTTCCAACTCGATGGGTTTCTTTTGTCGATCTTAGCGATATTAATGTTAATTCTAGTTTACAAAAATTTAGCGAAACTTTAGAAAATGAAGTGAAAATTGAAGATTTAATTGAATTCTTTAGCAATATATTAAGATTAGATGCTAATAATAAGTTTGAGGAAGCTGTGTTTGAAAAGCTGTTTAAGTTAGGGAATGTCGTCATCCTTTGGGATAACTACGACTTACTTCCTCTTAAAAATAGAGAATTAATCACAAAAATATTCAAATTAACTTTCAATCTCACCAATAATGTTCAATTCATCTCAAGCATGCCATTTTTTAGCTACCAATTTAGAGAATCATTAAATGCCAAAACCTACCAATCAGTTCCATTCACAGAATCTGAACAAAAAGAATATTTCAAAAGTTTATTTAAATTACAAAATTTAACAATCGAAAAAGTTGAAAATTACACTCAAATTGCATTTAACATTTCAAAGACTTTACAGCTTGACAGTCCACTAATGCAGAAATTTATAGCTCAAAACTACAAACCAGAATCCGTTAATTTTTATGAAATCTGCAAGACATTTGTGGAAAAAACAATTGAAAATTACCAAACAAGTAAAAGTGGACAAGAATTTTTTAGATTTTTAATTTTAAAGCAAATCAAGTTTGACATGATGGAAATGTACCAAAATGTTGCATTTCTGAAAGCACTCAACCTTAATTTAGGATCAAATAACACAAAATCTGAATCTAAACATTATAATGAATTAGAAATTTTAAAACTTAAAATTCCGAAAGAACTCGAAATTGAGGAAATTGCAAGAATGGGAATTTTAAGCTTTAAAAGTGAATTTGACTATAAATTCCTGCATAAAACAATTGCTGACTTCTTTTTTGCCAAATATTTTATTGATAATTTATGTATTTTAAGCAATGATGTAAATGAGGCTGAGATTAAGTTAAGAATAGAGATTTTTAAGTATTTATTGAAAAGCTATGACAGAAGTGAAATGGTTGTGACTTTAATTAAAGAACACCTGAAAGATAAAATCAGATGCAGTCAAGATTTTAATGAAATCTTAAATCTAAGCATTTATTAATCCAGAAGTTTAAGATTAAGAAACAAGTTCAAAATAAAATCCATCAAAAAACCTGAATTAATGATTAAAAATCAAAAATCCTTGAATTTTTAAAACATTTCAGCCTTCAATTGACTGCTTTTGTGCATTTAAATCAGAAAGAGACAGAACGTTGACAACTAAAGGAATAAACTTTGGATATTTCATAAAAATAATGCAATACAGATAGTCAAGCAGCATAAAGTGAACTTAATAACGAGCCTGAACTACAAAATCACTGAATATGAAGTTATTTGCTCTTTTTCTGTTGCTTTTCGCCCAAGCATCATCAACTAGCTCCAAAATCCTGCCAGGATATCCACAAAGTCATGACAATTCATCAATTCTCATCTGTCAAACTCTAAAGGCCACAATAAACTCAGAACAAGGCACACATGACATCTTATTCGCGAAAATTGACGACAACATCAAAGATTCTGTGGCTGACGACATATCAAGGTGCTTGGGCAGTGAAAATCCTATGATTATTATGGATTTAAGTGTGCCAGTCGTTACCAAAAATCTGAACAAAGCAAAACTGATGATTATTGAAGGATCTAGCATTGATATGGTATGTAAAATGTTCAATAGTTGTGATCTATCTGAATTCTAGCTGCATCAATGAACTCAAGAACGATGTGTCAAAAGTCAATTGCATCCTTAATGTTCTCAATAAACGAAATTTCAGGGTTCACTTTTGATAAATTCTAAATTCAAAAGCCATAAGCCCAAATGGCACAAGTCGGTTAATTGATCAGAAATCCAGCACCAATCTGGACTCTGGCATAATGCTGCATTCAAATCAAAGCCAGCACCAAGCCAGACTCTGACATGATGCTGGATCCAAATCAAAGCCAGCACCAAGCCGGAGGGACTTTGGCATGATATTGGATTTATATCAAAGCCAGCATCATGCCAGAGTCATGCCAGCTTGGGTCTTGTTTTTTTTTCGATTTACCGACTTGTGCTGTTCCGGGAGCTTCATTATAATGCAAAAGTTTATAAAAAAAGGATTGCCAGACTCAGAAATTAATTCGCTTTTAACCCAACAGGATATATTGTTAAGCTTGGTTCAGCAAAAAGCCAACATATTTTTCCGGAACTACATGTCTAATATTCTATTAATATCTCACACAATTATTTCTCAAGAGCTAAGCCAAAAAGTCCTTCGTCATACTTTAATTAATGGATTCCTTAACGTCGCACTCATGCACAAGGTCAATGAACATTTTGAGGTTAAATATACAGACTCAATAATGACTGAACCAGACACAACAAAAGTCCAAACATTGTCAATTGCTGGCGACCACTTTTTTCCTGATAAGCTGAAGAATTCCAAAGGATATCCGATTCATATTCCTGTGTACAATCAGCCGCCTTTTGTTTCAATTAAATCAGGGAATGTTGCTAATAAAATGACTAAGTTTGTGGAGATTCTGGAACAGAAAATGAATGCAATTGCATCTTATTACATCGTCAAGGGTCAATCTGAGATTAAACGATATGCACAGCTACGCAAGGCTAACTTGGCATTAAATAAAATACGCATGCCACTTGATGCTCCAAAATTGTTGACTTATGAGGAAAATGGGTACTGTGCTTTGGTTCCAAAACCACCAAAAACGTCCGTCACTGAATTGATCTTCATCAAACCATTCAATCGACTCGTTTGGATGATTCTGGGCTGCTTACTTCTCGCTTGTTTGATAATCTGGCGATTATTTCTGAACCGTGGAACTTCTGACTCATTTTGGCTACTCTTGTTCGGCATGTTTGCAATGTTTGTCGGTCAAGGCGTTGAATTTCGTCGGACTCATCGAGTTGTGCTTATCATTCTGCTGCAATTAATTGTGTCAATAATCTTTGTGCTCAGCAGTGCCTACCAAGGTGCCATAACCTCATTCAAGATCCAACCTGAATATGAGCATAGAATCAACACTGTAAAGGAACTTATCGAGTCGGACATGCGGATTTTAGTTTCTGATCGATTTGCTGAAATTGTAAAGGACTCGAAAGAGTTCCAGGCTGTCAAATCAAGAGTAGATATAATAATTCCTAAAACAATCACGTTTGATGAGCTTAACAATGCCTTAAATACATCAGTCAAAGAAAAGTCAGCAATAATTTTGCAATGTGATTGCGTCAGAATCTTTTTGGATAGATACATATCAGCTATGACTAATTACTATATGCTACCACAAAAAATCATCACGACTTATGGACACTTGGCTGTTGGGAATCAAAATCCATTTTTGCAGAAGTTTCAACACTTGATGGACCTTTTATTTGAAGCTGGTCTGCCACAAGCTTGGGATTTGTTTTTCGAGAGAAAAAATGAAAAAAGTTTAGAGAATGGACACCAATTGAGCAACTTGTCGCTTAAGGATTTGTCACAAATCTTTTATTTCATGATTATTGGACATGCCTGTGCTATTATTATGTTTTTGATTGAAGTTTTCTATTGTGACTTTATTGAAAAGCTTGATTTGAGCTTTTATAATCTGAAATTGAGGAATTGCATCAACGAGTTTAGCAAATTGAAGGTTAAGACTCAAATTGTCTCAAAACCAAATAGAAACAAGTCCAAGATGTGCTGCAAAAAATCAAAAGTTGAGAAGCCAAAAGTCCGGAAGATCTTTGTTGAACCTATCAACTCTGTAGTTTAAAGTGAAGCTCATTACTGAGCCCATGAAGCATACAAAAGTGAATATTCAGCTTTGTTAATTGGATTAACTTTGGCTTAATTGAATTTTTGACTGTATTGTAAAATTTTATGAATAATAAAAAATGCTTGAACTAAAAAATTTTGCCTTAAATTTTATATCCTTCAGAACCAAAGTATTGACTGAGATCATGAGCTTGTTGCATCTATGACAACATCAATATAAAAACAATATCAATGCAGAAGGAGACAAAAGATTGGCAACTGATGGACATAAACTTTAAACATCTCCATAGAATTTGTGCCAGCACATTAGTTAAGGGATATAATGTGAGGATTAAAAGCTATAAAGATCCACTAAAAGATAAAAAAGCAAATTCAGACTTACGAATAGTTTTTTTGATCAAATAACAATTTAAAAGATGTGAAAATAATTTAATTTAATTGAATTTCGAATAATAAAGTTTCATAAGTTGCTCAAAAAATTATTGAATCCAAAAACCATTATTTCCTGTTGCTAGACTTATAAAGATGTTGTTGTATGACATGAGAATGAAATTGTTTGTGCTTTTCGTGTTTTTCTCGGTCTTTGTCATCCAAGCATCATCAAGTAGCCCCAACATCTTGCTAGAATATCCACAAAGACATGATAATTCATCAATTCTCATCTGCCAAACTCTAAAAGCCACAATAAACTTAGAACAAGGCACACATGACATCTTACTTGCGAAAATTGACGACAACATAAAAGATTCTGTAGCTGACGACATATCAAGGTGCTTGGGCAGTGAAAATCCAATGATTCTTACAGACTTAAGTGTGCCTATTGTTAAGAATGGTCTGAACAAAGCAAAACTGATGATTATTGAAGGATCTGAAGTTAATTTGGTAAGTTGATTGAAAATCCAGAGTTGCAGATGCCTTAACATTATTTAACGACAATCTTCATCTAATCAGGATATAACAACGAAACTGGGTCAAAGGAATTTCAACTCAGCAGTCTGGAACTACATGGCAAATGTTCTCCTAATATCACACACAACCATATCCCAGGAGTTTATAGCAAAAATCCTACATAATACTACACTTAATGGATTTATTAATGTTGCACTCATGCATAAGGTCAATGACAAGTTTGAGGTTAAATACACAGAAACAATTATGACTGAACCGGACGAAACTGACATTCAGCCTTTATCGAATGCCAAACAGAACATTTTTCCTGACAAGATCAAGAATTCCAAAGGATATCCGATTCATATTCCAGTATTTCATCAACCGCCGATTGTTGAGATTAAATCGAGTATTGTGGTCAGCAAAATGACAAAGTTTGTGGACATTCTTGAACAAAAAATGAATGCAAGAACAAATTATCATATTGTGGATGATCCACTTGAGATAAAGACATATTTGAGGCATCGTAAATTGCAGCTGACTTTAAACAAACTACTTATTGCACGTCACGCTCCGAAATTATTAACATACGAGGAAAATGGCTTCTGTGCTTTAATTCCAAAACCACACAAAACGTCTGTCACGGAAATAATCTTCATTAAGCCATTCGATCGACTCGTTTGGATGATTCTGGGTTGCTCACTTCTCGCTTGTTTGATAATCTGGCGATTGTTTCTGAACCGTGGAACTTCTGACTCATTTTGGCTACTTCTGTTCGGCATGTTTGCAATGTTTGTTGGTCAAGGCATTGAATTTCGTCGGACTCATCGAGTTGTGCTTATCATTCTGCTTCAATTAATTGTGTCAATGATATTTGTGCTCAGCAGTGCCTATCAAGGTGTCATAACCTCATTTATGATTCAACCAGAAATTGAAAACAGGATCAAAACTGTAAAGGAACTAATTGAGTCTGACATAAGAATTTTAATGTCGGATCACTTTATTGGAATCGTAAAAGATTCGAAAGAGTTCCAGGCTGTCGAATCAAGAGTCGATGTCTTAGATGCGGAAAAATTATTGACAATAAAAATGCGTGAAGACATGATAGTAAGTTCTATAGATCAAAAGTCTGTGATTATCATGCAATGTGACTGTGTTCGAAGCTTTTTGAACCGATACGAAACAGCTAAGCCGAATTACTATTTGCTGCCACAGAAAATCATTTCGACACATGGACACTTGGCTGTTGGGAATCAAAATCCATTTTTGCAGAAGTTTCAGTACTTGATGGATTTGTCATTTGAAGCTGGCCTGCCACATGCTTGGAAACTACTTCTAGGTCGGAACTTCGATGAAGATACAAAGTCCGAGCATGATATATGCAACTTACGACTCAAGGATTTGTCTCAAATATTTTATTTTATGATTTTTGGACATGCCTGTGCTGTTTTTGTATTTCTGATTGAAGTTTTCTTTCGAGACTTTATTGTCAAACTTGACTGGAGCTACTATGCATCAAAATTGAGGAACTTTGTCAATGAATTGAGCAAATTGAAGATCAAGAAGCAAATTGTCATAAAACAAAAGAAAAACAAGGTCAGGAAATGCTGCAAGACATCAAAAGTTGAGAAGCCAAAAGTCCGCAGGATTTCTGTTCATCCCATCAACCATGAAGTTTAGATTTAATAGATTTGAACTTTGCTGATTTCAAAAAATCAATCAACAGGCTGAGGGATGAATTGCAGCTGTATGAACTCACGAATTGGCATACATTTAAAAATAATTACTAAGCAAACACAAACTTGATTGATTACTGATTGATCCAGCACTCAATTACATATTGAATAAGCACAAACACAGTTCACATAAATTTTTAAATGTTCAGAAAGAGACAAAATATTAGCAACTGAAATTGTAAACTTTAAAAATTATTTTAATAGAATTTTTACATTTTTGTGATATTTCAATCATTATTAAGCAGTGACAGTGGCTGGCTTTAGTTTGTGAATTAGATACACGAAAGCCACGTCAGTGTAAGTTGTGAAAAAAATGTTAATAATGCCTTTTTAAAATAAAATAAACTTTAAGTTTTCAACAGCATAAAAATAATTAAAAGTTAATTGAGTCGAGCCAAAGCTTAGTGTCCAATTCCAAGCATGAATATCAAGTCAATTTTTGTATTATTCGCGATTTTCTTCATCAAGTCATCAGCAATCAGTCTAAATAGCTTCAAAAATGACAATGATTTCATGAATTCTTTGTGTCAAAACTTGAGAAGAACAATTGACTTAAAAAATGGCCCACATGACATCTTACTTGCAAGAACTGATGACAACATGATAGATTCTGTAGTTGATGACTTATCAAGCTGCTTGGGTACTGAAAATGCAGTCGTACTTACAAATTTAAGCAAGCCATTCAATAATGATGGACTTAGAAAAGCAAAATTGATAATTATTGAAGGAACGGATGTTGATTTTGTAAGTTGAGTCAGTAAATAAGTTAATTCGTTAGCCAGGAAGTCAATTTTTTCTTATTTTTGATTCTTACCAGAACATGATTGTTTCAACTTTACGAATGAACTACGACTCAACAGTTTGGAATTATATGGCGAACTTCCTTTTCATTTCACACTCCACTATATCCCATCACCTAGCTTCACATATTCTGTTTCACACATCTTTAGCGGGATATTTTAATGTCGCACTCATGCACAATGTCAATGGACAATTCGAAGTTAAATACACAGAAACAATCATGACTGAGCAAGATGAAACTAGAGTTAAGACAACATCGGATACTAAGAATGTATTTTTTTCTGATAAGATCAAGAATTCTAAAGGATATCCAATTCATATTCCAGTTTTTAACCAACCGCCTTTTCTGCTGATTAAGTCTGGCACTGTGATCAACCAATTGACCAAGTTTGTGGAAATTTTAGAGGATAAGCTAAATGCTGTCGCAATTTATCATTTCGTACAAGACTCTTCTGACATTCGAGATTACTCAATACAGCGCAAAGCTAACTTGGCATTAAATAAATTGCTCTATGCACTCAAAACTCCAAAAATGCTAACATATGAGGAAAATGGCTTCTGTGCTTTGGTTCCAAAATCATCAAAAACAGCAAATACTGAGTTTATCTTCAAACAGCCATTCAATCGAATCGTTTGGATGCTTTTAGGCTGCTCTGTTCTGGCAAGCTCAGTGATTTGGCGATTGTTCCTTAATCGTGGAACTTCTGACTCATTTTGGCTACTTCTGTTCGGCATGTTTGCAATGTTTGTCAGTCAAAGCGTTGAATTTCGTCGGACTCATCGAGTTGTGCTTGCCATTTTGCTGCAATTGATTGTGTTTATGATCTTTGTGCTCAGCAGTGCCTATCAAGGTATCATAACCTCATTCATGATTCAACCAGAAATTGAAAATAGGATCAAAACTGTAAAGGAACTGCTCAACTCGGACATAAAGCTTTTAGTAACTGATTATTTCTTTGATATTGTCAAAGATTCTGTGGAATTTCAGGCAATTACTTTTCGGATGGAGTTACTTAAATTAGGACTTCCAACAGTCCATGAAACCATTTTAAGAGCTGTGTACAGAAAATCAGCATTAATTTTACAGTGCAGCTTTATTAATTCTTTTCTTGACTTGTATAAGGCAGTTAAGATCAATTACTACTTGCTGCCACAAAAAATCATCACGACTTATGGACAATTGGCTGTTGGGATTAACAATCCATTCCTTCAGAAATTTCAACACTTAATGGACTTGTCATTTGAAGCTGGTCTGCCACAAGCATGGAATTTATTTAGTGGAATGAATTATCATGAAAGCACTGAACTTAGTCATCAATTAGAGAACTTGGCGCTTAAGGATTTGTCACAAATCTTTTGTTTCTTGATTTTTGCACATGCTTTTGCAATTTTTGTGTATCTGGCTGAAAAATTCTTCTGTGACTTCATTGACAAGCTTGATTTGAGCCGCTACACATCAAAGTTGAGGAGCTACATAAATGAATTGACCAAGTTAAAGAAGAAGGAACAAACAATTCGAAAAAAGATGAAAAAAGTCAAGAAATCGAAGAGACAGAAGGCAGAGAAGCCAAAAGTTCGACGAATTCAAGTTCAACCTGCTGAATCTGTTGTTTAAGTGCTTTTTTACATATTAGTCAAATCTCACAAGTTCAAACCCCTAAAAATCTTGATTCATTTAAAAATGCACTTCTTTGTCGCAAAAGCACCAACCAATCACAATTGCCATAAAATAAAGCTACGCAAAATTCAAACAAAACTTAAAATAACTAAAATTTATTAAAATTACTAAAATAAGTTCAAACCCTTTTCGGGATATCATTAAGTCTCGGATAGACATTGTCAATGTACCACTGGAATGGCTTACAATTCAGCCTCTTTTTCAGCTGCATCCTTTCAGTTAAATCTCCATAAGGTACTCGACTGTTCTTTATTACTCTATAGAAATACTGTTTATAGTCATCCATCCATGTCTCTACAATCCTAGCCATATTCCAAGGATATCCGCCTTTACCTTTCAAATTAATCGAGTACTTATGCTTCCTAAACATGTGAGCAATGTTGCTGCACGGCACAAACTCAACTCGACCACCACAAAGCCATGTTCTGAATACTAATTCGTAGTCCTCGCCACCCCACACATCCATGTCAATGTCTAAGTACTCAATTCTCTCATAAAACTTATTTCCAATTGCTAAGACAGCAAAAATTCCAATCGGAGCAATTTTTGGATCCCAAGTTGGAGTTGCATTTGTGCCTTCAAGCCAGTTGATGTCAAGGAGTCGACTTTGGAGTTGCCAATCAATTGCTAGCATCTTTCCAATGTATAGCCATGGGTGACGGAGGTAGAGACAGACGGACAGAAAGAATAAAGGGACACTTATATTGTCATATCAAAAAAAAAAAAAAAAAAAAAAAAAAAAAAAAAAAAAAAAAAAAAAAAAAAAAAAAAAAAAAAAAAAAAAAAAAAAAAAAAAAAAAAAAAAAAAAAAAAAAAAAAAAAAAAAAAAAAAAAAAAAAACAAATAAAGGTGGGCGTATAGCCATGGGTGACGGAGGTAGAGACAGACGGACAGAAAGAATAAAGGGACACTTATATTGTCATATCAAAAATAAAAAGATTCGTTTTTCTAATAAATAAATAAAATATATCATTTAAAAACATTAAAAACTTAATATCTAGACATTAATATATACATAAAGCTCATTAAAACTCAATTAAATTCGAGTTTCAATACATATTTAAGTATTTAGTGATAAAAATAGTATTTTGAACCACCTCACACGTGGTCGCTTAGAACAGCAAGAGTTTATGATTGATCTATCAGCATCAAGCATTTTCTGGCGAGAGTTGCAGCTCATAGAGCTTGATTGTGGACGAAAGCAAGGCTGGAATCCAATATTCTCGAACGCTATAACAATTTATAGAGCATTCGATAATTCTATAGGACAATTTCGTCCATACACAGTGCCTGTAACACAAATAATCGACCCATTTAATGAAGTTTCATTCCATAGCTATCAATCGCAGACAAATCAAGGAGTTTTCGAACCTAAACTGCTACAAAAAGACTGGCGCCGAACGAGGAATCTTCTTGAAAATTTAGATCAAACTTCAGAGAGGTTAGTAACAAACCCATTAAAGAGATCTTGTGTTGATCTTACAGATTGCTCAAGCGACAGTGAATCAGAATCTTACCGAGTGAAGGTAAGAGGAAATAGACGTCATAAAAGACGAATGAGCAACCGATTAACAAGAAAGCAATATACTGATAGGTTGGCAGCTGGTGAGAACCTAATATTAAACACTCCATCAGCCTTACCGACGACAAAAAGAAGAAAAAAACAACATCAAGAAATAAGTTTTGATAATCCTAACGCAAATCAACATTTACTAGCATCAGAAATTGAAGGACATAGCAATATGGCAGTACAAGGAAATTTTCCTCGTCCAATCCCAAATTATAAAATGGATGTTAAATTTTTGACACCAAGAATGAAAATGATACATAAAATTATGAGAAAACAAGAACCAACAATCGACGATCAAGCAATGAACATATTGTACGAGGAAGAATTTATCAGATATCAATTACATGAGAATCCTTCTGTGAATTTTGATAAAATCCCTTTGAAGGATGCCGTCCAAACCATGCAAGAAATCACATTGGAATTGATGCCATGGCAGTTAAGAGAGTGGAGTAGCTTAGAGAATCAACAAAAGGCCCAGAGCATTTTAGAGGGAGTGATTGACATAATATTCGTCATTTGGAATGATCTTAATCCCCTAAATAATCCTATTCAAAAGTTTTTGATAGACACTGCCTGGGAACAGATACATATAGTCGACATGCTATATAACAGACTTATTAATATTTGCTATAATCTTAACTTTAGATCTCCACTAACCATAATAGGTTATAGAAACCCTCGTATGATTATTCCCCAAACTCCTCATCCAATTAATAATGGATTTAATTATAATCCGCAACTTCTTTCAACATCTAATATGTCGAATCGTGTTAATGAACCTAATTATGTTCCCTTGAATGCAACACCATTAATGAATACCCCAAGACAGAATAATGGACCTAATTTTGTCCAAAATGCACCCTCACAAATCAATTTACCTTCACAGTATAATGTCTCTAATAATCCCCAACCTAATGTATCGACCTTCAACAATACCGCTGCACACAGTAATGTATTCAATAATAATCCGAATAATTTTGCAACTTCTTCTCAACAATATAATTGTACACCGTCTAATGCTAATGGACATAATTTCGTCCCAAGTATTGCTTTTAATAATCATAATAACGCACAAAATGACGAATTTCGTCAACAACCACAACAAGCAAATAACAATGCTCGAGATCAACGAATGGAACTAGACGATGATGACGAAGAAAACGAAATTGCTCAAGAGCAACCGGTATTTAATTATGGAAGGAGAGTATTTGTAGCACCTCGAAATAATTATCGAAATAACCGAGATAACTATAGGAAATTTGATGATACAGAATTAAAGATTGTTAACACGATCAAGAGTTGGCCAAATAAATTTGATGGCCATCAAGGACATTTTAAGCAATATGTAGAAAGTTGGATGATGAGAATCAACGAAGACATAACGGCTCAGAAGATACTGACCAACATTGAATGTCTTTTAGAAGGCGAAGCACTAAAATGGCACAAAATATTTGGATCAAGCATAGATAATTGGGAAGACTATATCGTTAAAATGCAAAATTATCTTAATAGAGGAAAAAATGATGTTGAAATCGAAGCCGATTTTAATGATGGACGTCATAATCAACGAAAAAATGAGAAATTTGTTGCTTATTATACGCGAATTAAGGCATTGAGCAATAAGATGAAAGACCAGCCCTCTGAAGCCAGACTTTTTGAAAGAATAAAGAGAGGATTGCACAATGACTATTTCTTTTGTAAAATATCAGCAAAAGATACTAATGATTTAATGTCAAAATGTGCTGAATATGAAGCGACTCTTCCAACAACATCCAAGTATGATAATGTTCCGACTCATGATCCATTTGCATTTCTGAAAGATAAATCAGATAAACCTAACGACATCGATAAAATGAAAAGTCCTTTTCCTTACAGTAACAATAACAACCGTCCTAATTTTAATAATAAGCCTTTCATACATCGAAAACCAGGTAACTTTCCTGATTACAGGAATAAATTTTGGTCCAGAAATAAACATAATGCTGAAAATACAAATGGAAAAAATGTTAATTTAATGGCAACTAATGAAAGCGATGAAGATGTGGAACGACCAGAACTTACAAGAGGCAATCCACGTGAATTAGATGAGTCCGATATAGAATTCTTGGAGATGAGAGAAACTGAAATACTGGATATGATCCACCAAATGAACATGTCTTCAAGTGACTATAAAAAATATCAAGAACATCAAAAGTGTCAGAATTGTCATGTAAATGGACACTCAATAGATCAATGTCCAATAGCAAGACGTGGCGTTTGGTTCGAACATTGTAAACAATGTGGCATCGCAAATGTTACTGTCAATAATTGTCCAACTTGCTCAAAAAACACATAAAAGAAGATGTAGCAGGGAATAATGCATTTTCTTTCAGTCCCACTATTCCCACAACAAGCACAAATGCACTGAATGATGAAAGCAATCTATGTACGAGGATGAACAGTCTTTCTTTAAATGAAAACCTAGAACGAGAAAACAAAAACAAATTAAAACTCTTAAACATATCCAATTTAATGACAAAAACTTGGGATAACGTTAATGCAAATATAATATATGAATTAAAAAATACCGTTAGAGAGATTCCAAACGTCGTAAAAACTCCACATGACTCTGAAATTCTACTATCAGTAAAAATTTTTGACTATGAAAAGGTAGCATTATTCGATACAGGTGCTGAAATTTGTGTTTTAGGTCAGGGATCAGAAGACATAGTGGAGCGAATGAAGGATATACCGATTCATAAGAAAATTAATGTAAAGACAGGAGGAGGTGAGCTACATGCAGGAATAGTCAAGAAACTTCCAGTGACTTATGATAATGAACAACATAAAATCCAATTTGTCTATTCGCCAACCATTGCGGTCCCAATTGCCCTAGGTATGAATTTCTATAATGCTTGGAAGTTTAAAGTGGTGAGAGAAATTAAAACAACTCCATTTAACATAATAAAAGATTCAAGTGATAAAGAATTAGAATTGAATGATGAAGAAGAAATTGAATCATCAATTGAGGATGAACATGAACTAACAAAATATGAAAAATATTTAGTGGATATGGCAATGAATAGATTTAACTTCTCGGATGGTAGTAAATTAGGCTGTCAAAATATTATTCAACATAAAATTGATACAGGCGATTCTAAACCCGTTTATTGTCTCCCTTATCGATATAATCCCTTAGTTACTTCTAAAATTCAAGACATAATTAATCGATGGTTAGAACAAGGGGTAATTGAGAGATCTACAAGCGAATGGAGACTACCAATTGTGGTAGTAACAAAACCAGACAAAAGCTTACGTTTATGCTTAGATGCACGAAAATTAAATGCAATTACGAAGAAGGATTGTCACACACCTCCAAATGTACTACATAAAATAGACGAACTTCCCCATGAAGCACAATATTTCGTTCGTTTGGATTTAAATGAAGCATTTTTACAGACTAAACTAACTCCCAATGATAGAAAAAAGACTGCCTTCTCAATTCCAAACATTGGAGAATTCCAATTTGTTCGTATGCCATTTGGGCTTGTAAATTCTCCTGCAACGCAGTCAAGATTAATGGATATTATTTTCCAGGAAGCTCAGACACCATATATAATACATTATTTGGATGATGTCATAGTATTAGGAACCACAATTAATCATCTCGTAGAGAACATTAAAACTGTTGCTGAGTTACTCAATAAGTATGGACTCACTGTTAGTAGAAAAAAAACTAGCAAAGTATTGAAGAGAATCCGCATTCTGGGACATATCGTAGACTCAAACGGTATCCATACAGATCCAAATAAAATAAAAATCCTGCGAAATTGGGCACGTCCAAAAACGAATAAAGAGCTACAACAATTCTTGGGTTTTGCGAATTGGTATCGTCGTTTCATAAAAGATTATGCAATTATCGCCGCACCTTTGTATGCGATCTGTAAAAAGAGAAATTTTAGTGATAATATGTGGAATCAAGAACGCGAACTATGTTTTGAAACTATCAAGGATTTAATGTGTCACTCTCCCGTTTTAAGAACACCCGATTGGTCCCTTGGAATGACAATACAGGCTGACGCTTGTGATAAAGGAATTGGAGCAATATTAACCCAAGAAGACGCAGATGGCGAATATGTAATTGAGTTTTACAGCTACAAGCTTTCAGCCAGTGAGCAAAAATACTCCCCTACAGAAAAAGAGATGTTGGCTGTGATTAAAGCAGTACGACACTTTAGATACTATATCGAATTTAATAACTTGACAATCCTGACTGACCATCACGCTTTACAATACTTACTAAGTATGAAAATCTTGAACGGACGGTTAACTCGATGGATTTTGGAATTACAGCCATATGTTAATTGTATAAAACACAGATCAGGTAAAGAAATGATAGTTGCCGACGCCTTGTCACGTGCTAAAACAAATACAGAACTAAGATTAATAAGTGAAAACGACACAACATGGTACGAAGACTTTCTAGAGGAATTACTAGAAAATCCCGATAATTATCCACAATATTATGTGGAAGAAAATCAAATTTTTAGGAAAATTCCTTGGAAACGTAATGAATTCGAAGATGATTATAAGCGTCTTCCACATCCCTCTGAAATAATCGGTTTAATAACGGAAGCACATCAAAAAACACAGCATGCTGGCGAATCATCGACACATTATGAGCTGAAGAAACTTTTTTGGTGGCCTAAAATGAGAGAAGATATTAAAAATACGATTCAGACATGCGAAAAATGTGTAGCGATTAAACATCCAAACTATACCTTAACAGCCCCGATGGGTCGTTTCCGAATCCCGAAAGACACCATGCAAACGCTTAGTATTGATATTAAAGGAACTCTTCCCGTCGCTTGTAGACAAAAATATCGAAACATAATTACGGTTGTCGACACTCTCTCGCGATATGCTTGGGCTAGAAGAGTAGCAAAAGTAAGTTCAAAGAAAATAATAGATTTTTTGCAGGATATATTTAAAGAGCAACAAAAAATTCCAAAAAGCATTTACCACGACAACGGCACAGTATTCGTATCGAGGGAATTTAAGGAATTCTTGCACGAAAATAATATTAAATCATATCCAACTCCAATTTATCATCCACAAGCTAATACAGTTGAAAGGTTTAATAGAAGTCTGACTGAAGCATTAAGAATTGAAATTTCAGCGGATGTACTGAACCAACATCGCTGGGCAACAAATCTAAACGCCATCGTATGGAAATTAAATGCACGAATGAATCTCGTAACCAACTACTCACCTTATGAAGTTCATTACGGACGTGTTCCTGACCTGTTGACTCACAACCTACCACCATCAAATGATGAAAAACATAAAGCAATCAAACAGACAGCATATAAACGTTCTATTCTTAGATACCTACAAAATAAAAGACAGTTTAATGAGAGGGCGTTACATAGAGATTTTTCTCTTGGAGATATTGTAATGATTAGAACTTTCAACCTTTCTAATGCTGAGAAGAACACATCAGGCAAATTATTTCCACCTTATGAGGTAGCGAAGATAGTTGGTAGGAATGAGTATATATATACTGTATTGAAAACTGATGGAAAGATTCAAAGAATGAATCTCAAACATCTGAAAGGCATATCAAAGTCACTACAAGACAAACTCTCTTACCTTTTTGATGATTTTCCTATAAATTTAAACCATCCTAATGCCAAGAACACATAACTTATACTTTAATCATGCGTAACATATTAACTTGAAAAACTTATTAATTTTTTGTAATTTTGTATACAATTTTGTTTACAAACAAACTTTGTAACGGTAAATTTAAATTTTATTGTAGTTTCAAACCCTTTAGTTCTACAAATATCTAAAAAGCTCTACAACAGGCTTCATTTCCCTTTCCACTTGAAAATATCAGTCTTAACAAGGAGTTTGAAGTCAACACATTACTTTCATATAAAATAAATAAAATAGCGTCTAATCTTTAACTTGTGCACAGTAATCCATCCTAAACGATGCCTGGAAGAGACGTCATTGCACTACAGGTTCCGAGTCTACTTAAATTGTCGGATCTAGTCAGATATTTTGAGATCTTTGGCGACATAACAAAAGCCGCATTGGACGAAAGGCTTCGCACAAGGAGGCCTTACGTTAACCTATTTATATCATTTAGCGATAGCGTTGGAGCTTCAAGAGCCTTAGCAGCTGGATCTGTGGAAATTAATGGATTAAGGATCCGGATGGAAAGATGCGAATCGAAACTTTATTTTGGCCCAAAAGAAACGGAGACCTTTGAGATTAAAAGAAAGGACAACCATGCGACTTCCAGCTCATATGAAGAACGCAATAAACGTGCTAAAATCACGTTCCGTTAATAAAAAAAAAAAAAAAAAAAAAAAAAAAAACAAATAAAGGTGGGCGTATAGCCATGGGTGACGGAGGTAGAGACAGACGGACAGAAAGAATAAAGGGACACTTATATTGTCATATCAAAAATAAAAAGATTCGTTTTTCTAATAAATAAATAAAATATATCATTTAAAAACATTAAAAACTTAATATCTAGACATTAATATATACATAAAGCTCATTAAAACTCAATTAAATTCGAGTTTCAATACATATTTAAGTATTTAGTGATAAAAATAGTATTTTGAACCACCTCACACGTGGTCGCTTAGAACAGCAAGAGTTTATGATTGATCTATCAGCATCAAGCATTTTCTGGCGAGAGTTGCAGCTCATAGAGCTTGATTGTGGACGAAAGCAAGGCTGGAATCCAATATTCTCGAACGCTATAACAATTTATAGAGCATTCGATAATTCTATAGGACAATTTCGTCCATACACAGTGCCTGTAACACAAATAATCGACCCATTTAATGAAGTTTCATTCCATAGCTATCAATCGCAGACAAATCAAGGAGTTTTCGAACCTAAACTGCTACAAATGTTATATTTGTAGTCAATGCTCATATCTTTTGGATTAATCAGTGAAATGTTCGGTACGACAATCAAGTCCATGTTGTCAACAAATCTATCAAGAATTGGATCAATCCATCCAAGATGAAATTCAACATGGCTGTCTACGTATACGATGATTGGTGCTCGTGCATTTCTAGCTCCTAGCACTCGATTTGAGACAATACCAAGTCTGGTGTGCGATCTGATGATTCTTGTGTTTACTGGAAGTGTTGCTGTATAGTTTTCGAGTGGTTCTTTCAGATGCTGCATTGTTGAACAGTCATCGACAAGCAGGATCTCTAGAATATACTCCAATGGTGTCATTCTAATGATTGAATGGACGGTTCTCATCAGCAAGTGCCAATCATCATTATAAAATGGAATTACAATTGAAATTTTTGAGAATTTGTCAGTTCTGTAAACTTTTTGCTTGCATTCATCTGGACGGACGTCTGGTAAAGCTCTATTGAGGCTTACTAAGGTTGAGATGAACTGATTGTAGCCAAATGTGTCGAATCCATACTTAATTAGTCTCTTGACTTGATCTGATGCATTATTTGGGAGCTTAATTGGAACTCCATTCTCGCCTGGATTTGTTAAGTTGAGTTCTTTAATGAATCGTTGTGCTTGCTCCGAAATTCCACCATCAAGATTCATTGGATTGTTTGGATCAAATGTGTAGTTTGCTAAATAGTCAGGTATTTTGAATCTGTCGATGACTGAATTTTTGATTTTTATTCCATGCTGCATTAGGAACATCAATTTGTCTTGAAATTTGTCAATTATTCGATTTTCTTCTTCGATTTTTGTTTCGATGTCTTTACTGTAGTTCGTGACTATAAAGATGTAGATGAGGATCCATAAAGCTAATAAGATTTTTACACATAAGAAGAAGTTTTTGGTTGAAAATAATGGAATGTAGGTTTGTGGATTGTTGAAGGATTTTTGATTGGATCCTGGAGATGGGAAGAATTTGTTGTACATTTTTTTCAATTTGTTTTGAATTCCCTTTGAATTATCTTTGGATCAACTATGAATTATCTTTGGATCAACTATGAATTATCTTTGAATTATCTTTGGATTTCCTTTGAATTATCTTTGGATTAACTTTAAATTATCTTTGAATTATCTTGGAATTATCTTTAGATTAACTTTGAATTATCTTTGAATAATCTTTGAATTATCTTTGAATTATCTTTGGATTACCTTTGAGTTATCTTTGTATTAACTTTGATTTATCTTTGAATTATCTTTGTATTAACTTTGAATTATCTTTGAATTATCTTTGGATTACCTTTGAATTATCTTTGGATTAACTTTGGATTATCTTTGAATTATCTTTGTATTACCTTTGAATTATCTTTGGATTAACTTTGGATTATCTTTAAATAATCTTTGGATTTCCTTTGAATTATCTTTGGATTAACTTTAAATTATCTTTGAATTATCTTGGAATTATCTTTAGATTAACTTTGAATTATCTTTGAATAATCTTTAAATTATCTTTGAATAATCTTTGGATTAACTTTGAATTATCTCTGAATTATCTTAGAAGATTTTTCTAGTTTTCTTTAAATTTTCCTCGAATTTACTATTAGTTTCACAAAAAAAAAATAACAATCTAGCTCTCTAGACAACCAGTCTAGTCCTAACAAGTTTACTTTTAGTTCTGAATTATTACCAAGACTTTATCGTAGCTTTTTAAAATAGTTTTTAATGACTAAATCGTGAGGATTGTTATAGTTAATAAAATATAAATATTGTTTTTAGCTTACACGCTCCGCATTCGTGATCAGAACATAATTTACAATGAATGGACAGTGACTTTTGTTCTAATACCTTTTTAACTTTCACAATTGTCAATTATTTCTCACTAGATTACTATAGAGCAGTGATGGCTAACCTATGTGACACGGCACACTAGTGTTCTACAAACAAAGTTGTGCCGTAGCACAAAAAGGTTGAACAACACTGCTAAAGATTAAAATTACTGCTAATCTAATTCCAATTATTATCTATTTAGGATCAAATAAAGTGTTGTTGAAACATTGTGCCACGGCACAATCAGTCATCCAATGATCCAGCCACCTATTTATTCATTAAAATAAATTGTAATTTTTGAATTTTAAATATTTATTAACATATTAAATTATGGAACAGTCAGCTTTATAAAAATCAAATACTAGCTTCTTCGGATATAATACAATGTCACTAATTCTGTGTATTTCAATAAGAACCCCTGAAAATGACAAATTTTGATCTAATTTAAGCTACATCAATATAATAAATTATTACAACTTAACCAACTTAATAATGAGAAAATTTGAATATTCTACAAGTTTAAGTTTATACTTTTAAGTTCTTAATGCCCTCCGCTCTTCTCGCTCAATTCGTTCGTTTATTGACTTTGTGCATGTGAGTGTTGTGAGCGTTACAATTCCTAGAATTGCTGATACTCCACAGGCATAAGCTAGCACATCTCGATAGTAAGTTGGACACTCGTCGTGAGTTTTACATTTACTGAAAATAAAAAAAGAAAAGTTTGAGGTTAGAAATTGGACTTTGAGGTTATGATTTCAAATTGTGAAGCTAAGATCTGAACTTTGAGGTTAATTTCTAAATTTTTGATTATATGATCTAAACTTTGAATATTTGAGGTTAAGATCGGAAGTTTGAGGTTATGATTCCCAAATTTGAGGTTTATATCTGGATTTTGAGGTTAGAATTTGAATTTTGAGGTTATGTTAACGTTAAATAAAACATATTTGAAGTTAGGTTCGTTTTTTTGAGGTTAAGATCTGAACTTTGAGGTTAGGTTTTTATTTTTGGGGTTATGATCTGAACTTTGAGGATAGCTTCTAAATTTAAAGGATAATTTCTACTTACACAGTCTCAATAACAACAACAGCAATTCCAGTAATTAATTTATCACAGAATGTAACAGCTGAATAAATGAATCCACCCTGATCAGCATGAGGACCAATCATGTCAGCAGTAATACAAAGACTCGCAATCATCGTGACGGAACTGCCAGCACCAAAGAATGTAGCAACTGCATACAATTCCCAAACTGATGAATTTGGTGTTGCAGCTAATGCAACCCATGCACAGCCAAAGACACTGATGACTGATCCTATGAGATATCCAACTTTATGTCCAACAAATCTGTCACTCATTTTGAAAAACATTGAAGCTAAGAAGGAAGCAACAAATGACGCAAGTGGAACAGTTGCAATATTTTCAATACTTTTGTTATCTGGGAGATCAGCAAGTCCAATTGGTGAGGCTGTCGTGACAGAGGTAGGCACATATGCTCTCTCATTTAACCACAATGGCATATACACTAATGAAGTTGTCATAAATAATCTCGAGAACACATAAAGCAGCGCATTTTGATACAAAAGTGGCGATCTGAAGAAATTTTTCTTTGGAATAGCTGCAACCTGTGGCAATGAACCATTCTCAACTATTGCTGATGTCGATGAAGGTGGATCATCTGCTGATGTGTTTGTAATTAGTGATTCTGTTTCACTTGATCGTGATGGAACAGCTGGCATTCGAGCTCTCATGGTGAGACGTCGACGGAACTCGTAGTTGGATAAGGATAGGGAGAAATGGAAGAGAACTGACATGGAGACGCCGATTAAGGTTAGGATGAGGGCGATGTCCTAAAAAGAAAAAAATGGAAAATTAATTTTGGGGTTAAAATTAGAATTTTGAGGTTAAAATCTGAATTTTTTAGGTTAGAATCTGATTTTTGAGGTTAAGATCTGAACTTTTGAGATTACAATCTGATTTTTAAGAAAAGAATGTGAATTTTGAGGTTAAAATCTGAATTTTGAGGATGGAATTTGAATTTTGAGGTTGGAATCTGAAATTTGAGGTTAATTTTCAACTCACCCTAAACTTAGGCCAATCAGCAGGTGTAATCTTACTCTCCGTACTCGTCTGTAAATGCAGAACAGCCCACGTTACAATATAGACAACAACATTGCTACAAATTGATGCTGAATATCTTGTTGCTGTCAATTCACTCCTATCCCTTTGTGTCCTTGATATCTCAGGAATCATGGCAAGATGTGAAATTTGTACAACAGGCCATGCAAATTGGAAGATTAGTATAACTATTGTAAAGTATATGAGATGCCACCATGTAGGCATAACATCACAAAATGGACAAATCGAGAAGATCAATGGAAATGTCAAAATAACTAAAAATGTTCCAAAAATGTGCCACTTCCTCTTCGTGCTGAATTTGTCTGTTAACATTCCTACAATTGGAGTTGCGATGGCATCACCAACTTGTCCGAGCATAACCATAGCTCCAGCTTCTGGTCCTGGCATGTTAAGAACGCCCTGCATAAACAACAGTGTGTAGCTGAACCAAATTCCAGCACACAAATCATTATAGACATGACCAAGTGAGAAGCCAAGCTTCTCGAAAAACTTTAACGTTGTCTTATCGTCAGGCATTGAATCATCCGATAAATCACTCGACTGACTTGTATTTTGTTCCTGTATACTGCCGTAATTTGCAATACGTTGAGTCTGTTCTGATGACGAATCTATTTGATCAACTTGAATGTTTCTTATTTCTGAATTTGATGATAATAGTGGAGCTCTGTCAGCCATGATTCACTCAAATGTATTCTATGTGATGAGATTGATTGAAGTCAATGGACTAAGTTGAGGTGCTTTAATGAGCAACTGGAATAAGTAATGAGAATATAACGTTAGATTTTAGGTAAAATTTGAGGGTTTAAAGTTTTGCAATTTATTTTGTAGGGTTTTTAAGAAACTTTATTTTAAGTATTTTGAGGTTAAATTACTAAGTTTTGGAGTAAAGTTCCCAAATTTTAATAATAATAATTTTCATGGATTTTCGAGGTTATGTTCCTGAAGTTTAAGGTTATGCTCCCAATTTTGAGGTTAAGTTTCTACGTTGCAAGTTAAGTTTCTTTGTTTCGGGGTTATGTTGCAAAATTTTAAGGTTAAATTCCTTATTTTGAAGGTTAAGTTCCTAATTTTTAGGTTAAGGTTCTTGTTTTTGATGTTATGCTGCTGAAGTTTAAGGTTAAGTTCCTAATTTTAGGCATAAGTAGTTTATTTTTGAGGTTATGCTTCTGAATCTTTGGGTTTTGTTCGTAGTTTTGAGGTTAAGTTTCTAGTTTTTAGGTTAAATTCCTTATTTTTTTAGGTTATACTCCTGATTTTGAGGTTAGAATCCTTTTTTAGTTTAGGTTTCTTTTTTTGAGGTTATGGCAATGAATTTGTGAATTTTTGAAGGTTCAAATACTTTTATTTCCTTTTTATAAAACAGCATAAAAAATTCATAAATTCTAAAACTTAAAACTAATGTTATTTCTTAGGAATTTCATTAAGTCTCGGAAAGACATTATCAATGTACCACTTAAAAGGTTTGCACTTCAACTTCTTCTTCAATTCCAGTCTTTCAGTCAAATCTCCATACACTATATTGTGCTTTTCAATTCCAGCATAATAATACTGCTTATAATCATCCATCCATGTCTCCACAAGCCTATCCATATTCCATCTGTATCCACCTTTACCCTTTGATCTCTCAGAGTACCTATGCTGCCTATACATGTGAGCGATGTGACTACATGGCACAAACTCAGCTCGACCACCACACAGCCATGTCCTAAATATCAACTCATAATCTTCACCACCCCAGATGTCCATATCAATATCAAGGTACCCAATTCTTTCATAAAACTTTCGTCCAATTGCTAGCACAGCAAAAATTCCAATCGGTGCAATTTTTGGATCATCAGCTGGAGTCGAATGATTTCCTTCAAACCAAGCCATGTCAACAAAATTTTCATGCAACTGCCAGTCGATTGCCATTATTTTGCCAGCATTATGCATGTAGTCGATGTCCATTCCATCAGACCAAATTTTTGAGACATTCGGAAGTACTATTAAGTCCATATTGTCAACAAATCTGTCCATAATTGGCTCAAACCAGCCAGTAAATACCTCAATGTGACTGTCAATGTAAATCAAGACTGGTGCTCGTGCATTTCTAGCTCCTAATACTCGATTCGCGACAATTCCAAGTCTGGTGTGTGATCTGATGATCCTAACGGTGACTGGAAGTGTTGCTGTGTATTTTTCAAGAGGTTCTTTAAGGTGCTCCATTGTTGAACAGTCATCGACCAACAAGATCTCCAGGATGTACTCCAAAGGTGTCATTCTTATGATAGAATGGACGGTCCTCATCAAAATAGTCCAATCATCATTATGAAATGGAATTATTACAGAAACTTTTGAGAATTTGTCAGTTCTGTAAACTTTTTGCTTACATCTGTCTGTACGAACGTCCGGAAGTTCTCGATTGAGGCTCACCATCGATGATATAAACTGATTAAATCCATAATCATTGTAGGACTGTCCAATTAGAAGTTCAATTTCTTTTGGTTGATTTTTTGGGATTCTGACTGGAACTCCAAGGTGACCAGGATTTGTTAAGTTGAATAGCTTGATGTACTTTCTAGCTATTTCTGATATGCCGTCGCTAAGGTTGTAAGAGTTTTTAGGGTTTTTATAATTCCATTGATCAATTAACGAACGTTTCATGTCAGTTCCACCTTTCATGATTTCTGAGAGTTTAGTTTGAAGTCGGTCGATGAGTTTATTCTCATTTTGAATTTCTGACTCAATGCTCCTGCTGTGCTTGGCTATAATGACTACGTACGTGAATATCCAAATTACTATCATTATTGTGAGCCATTTGAAGTAGTTTTTGGCTGTGAAAATTGATTGAATTTGTGATGATCTTGGGATGAATGGTTTTGGAGTTGGGTATGGCTTTACGTAGTTGATGTACATGACTTTTCTGAATTTTAAGTCACTTTATCTTGTCATTTGTAAATTAATCCACACCGTACGAAATTTTCTTAGAGTCTGATTTTCAAGCTTAACTTTACATCGCTTTTTATGGACATTTTTATTCATTTTTTTATGTCCACGAAGGTTTTAAAAAATGTAATTTAGTCTGGTTCACACGTTAAGTTAGCGTGATCGTGTCGTGACTTTTGAAAAATTAAATAGGATCCTTTTAAAAATCTCACGGTCGTGGTCAGGAATTTTGGGAGATTTATGAGAGTTTTTTGTGGTTCTGAATCGAATTTTAATGATTCGGGAAGGATAAAAGTGATTTTTACAACTTTGCCGAGCCGAAAATTGATGAATTAATCTCATAATTATTTAAAATCAAGCAAATGTCATTTTTGGCATGACAAAGTCAGTAGTGGGCAACCTTTTGTGTACCATGAGACACCTTGGCAGAAAGCCATTGACCAAGCAACAAGGCACATGGTTTGTGGGATTTCTTAGATTATTCGTGGCACACTAACGTACCGCAGCACATAAGTTGCCCTACACTGGACAATAAAACTGACTTTAACATTTAAATGAAATGATTAATAATCGTGACAAAGCTTTTTTTTCTTTAACGTAAGTCTGCAAATGCGACATTGTGAATAAATTGTGTAAAAAATGTCAATGATCTTAATTTAGAATTTTATAGGTTTCCGATTCAAGTTTTAACTTCTTATTGTGTCCTTATAATTATTTCACACAATACCGCAGCAATGGAGGGATTGAAGTGCAGGGGGGGGGGGGGGGGATTTGATCCTAAGCCTACCTTTATGGTACTTTTGCAGATGCATTATCTGGGGTAGTTCCCCTGCCCCCTCACATTTAACAAATTCAATATTTTCAACAAAAAAAAATACCAAAAAATTTTATTGCTTTTTCTTAGTTTCATTAACTTTAAGCTTAACCTTAATATCCATTAGACTTGGATACACATTGTCAATATACCACTGGAATGGCTTACATTTCAACTGTTCCTTTAACTTCCTCATCTCCGTCAAATCTCCAAAAACCTTCTCATGCTCTTCAACGTCACTATAATAAAATTCTTTATATTCATCCATCCACAATTCAGCAAGTCTGTCCATATTCCATCGATATCCTCTTTTGCCTTTAGTTTGATGTGGGTATTTGTGGTGTCTAAACATGTGAGCAATGATGCTGCATGGCACAAACTCAACACGACCACCACAAAGCCATGTTCGAATGACTAATTCATAATCTTCACCGCCCCAGACATCAAATTCTAGATCAAGGTACCCAATTTTCTCATAAAACTTTCTTCCAATTGCCAGCACAGCAAAAGTTCCAATTGGTGCGATTTTTGGATCAAAAAGTGGAGTTGAATGATTTCCTTCAAACCATTTCAAGTCAGCCCACAGCTCATGCATGCCCCAATTAAATGCGTATATCTTGCCAGCCTGGTAAGTGTATTGAATGCTCATGTCCCAAATGTTGATGGACGAGACATTTGGAAGAACAATCAAGTCCATATTATCAACAAATCTATCAAGAATTGGCTCAATCCATCCCGTATGAAGCTCGACATGACTGTCGATGTATATTAGGACAGGTGCGACTGCATTTCTAGCTCCTAGCACTCGATTTGCAACGATTCCGAGTCTTGTATGTGATCTGATGATTCTGACGGTTACTGGAAGTGTTGCTGTATAGTTTTCAAGTGGTTCCTTTAGATGTTCATGGGTAGAATAGTCATCAACAAGCAGGATCTCTTCAATCAATTGCAAAGGTGTCAATCTGATGATCGAGTGGATTGTCCTCATAAGCAATGTCCAGTCGTCGTTATAAAATGGAATTACGATTGAAACTTTTGAGAATTTCTCAGTTCTGTAAGATTTGATTTTGCACTCATCTGGACGTACATCTGGAATGAAGCGGTTGAGGCTTATCATTGAGGATAAGAACTGATTGAATCCATATGTTTCTTGGCTCTGCTTGATTAAAGCTTTGATTTCTTGTGAGACATTTGAGGATATGCTGACTGGAAGTCCATTTTCACCTGGTTTTGTGAGGTTAAGTTCTTTTATGTACTTCCTGGCGATTTCTGTGATTCCATCGTCTAGATTTGGCAAGTCGAATTTAGTGTGATCTGAATATTCAGTTCCTTGGAGATTCTCAAGACTCAGCTTCCTCAAAACTGAATTTTTCATACCCGAAAGTTTGTCTTGAAGATTCTCAATTATGTGACTTTCTTCCTGAATTTCTGTCTCAATTTTAGAACTTCGCTTAATCATGTAGTAGAAGTAGAGTAAAATCCAAATGACGACACATGTTGATGCATATTTAAAGAAGTTTTTTGATGCTATGAAGGATGCTGGCGATCGGTGCTTATAAAATTGTAGAATTTTCATTTTAAGGATTTAAATTTTAAGCAAAAAAGCTTTACTTTCAGCCCAAACTAATCTGTCTGACCGACTGAACTCAAATGAAGTGCAAAAATGTGCAAAAATGAAAATTCAGACTTTATGGCGGCACTTAAAATGCAGTTTATTGTCACTTAAACATTAAAAGGATCACGATTTATGGCAAGTAATTTAATATTTAAATTCATCGAGTGTGGGAATTAGTTTTTAATGATTTTAAGTTTAATTAGTTTTGTTGCTGATAAGATTTGACCAGTGGTGGTCAACCTTTTTTTGAGCCACACCTTGGTGGTAAGCTAAGAACAAAACCACACACAGCATCCGGTTTTGTGGAAAAATTTAAATTGTCTCACGACACACGGGTTGCCCATCACTGGATTAGACATTTTTTTATGAACTTATTTCTGTTAATTGGTCATTGCGCTGTCAGTTTGAGGCCTTTTTAGACATGAAATTTGATAAGTAAAGAGGACAGAGGTCTAGCTTGTAATTAGAATAAGGCTGTTGCTTTGGGATGTGGAGGTGGGGGGGGGGGGGAGTATATAGGCGAAGTCAATAAGATTTATAACGCCTTTTAAGGAAAATTAATCTGATCTGATTGTCTGAACGATGTTCTGGATAGTATTCTACTCACAAGCTACATTAAAGGGCCAATAACCTCGATATTATCTTGTAATATTCTGGCATATCACATTCGAAAAGTCAATAAAAATAATTTTCAGTTTTACTTACTGATTGCCTTGGCACAGAATAAAAATTCCAGATCTTATCAGTTTTCAGAAAAAATAGGCACAATTAAATCATTTAATTATAGCCTTCTGTTCTACTTAGAATATTGTTGTCCAAACTTTTTTGAGCCAGGGCACACCTTACCTTAAAAATCGCACACATCGTGCGGCTCGCGTCATTTACAAATTTTTTCTACCTCACACCAAAGTGCCGCGACACACAATTTGAACAACACTGGTTTGGAGTAAACAATTCTTTTAAAATAGCTTTGGATCAACAGAACTTATCACAAAACTATAAACTTTCAGCTCAGCTGAATTTGCTTAACTTAGTAATTTTTATTCCAACTTACACTAAGAATCTTTTATGCTTAATATCAAGATTTTCCTTATTTCCTATCAATTATGACACTAAAATCTAGTCAAAAAATATTTTTTTTACACAACGAAAAAGATTCAATTTTTTACAAAAACACTCGAAAAACTACGCGAGCGACTGAGCGACAGAGCAAATACTGATATCAGAAAAAATGTAATTGAGAGTTTCATCTCTTGATAATCAATTTTATAGTCATGCAATAGCACTTTTAAGTGAGAGAATTATGAATGAGTCATGAGCTGAATAACAGATGGAAATTTAAAAAAGTATTATTAAAGGAGATTATGTTAAGAGTCATTGGTTGTTGATATGACTGGATCAGAACCTATGAGGAATAAGGGAGAGTCATATATGCCAGTGGCTTTCAACCTTTTTTTGTGTCAAATATTTAACCTTGGAAGAAACTGCACATGGCATACAGTTCGTGGGATTTTCTGAATTTTTTCACCGCACATTAGAGTACCGCGGCACATAGGTTGGTCATCAATTGATGTATGCCAAGGTTGTCTATGAGAGGATTGAGGGAGAACTTTTTAAGTGAACTTAACAGAATATCAAAAGTCGGTTCATCGAATAGGAATCTGGAACCAAGCTGGGGTGACTATGGCATTGTGCTATATACAAATTAATTGCCAGTTATGCCAGCCTTGTGAAAATTTCAATTCAACAAACCAACTTGTGGCCAACCTATGAGCCGCGGTATTCTAATGTGCCGTGAAATTTTTTAGAAAATCTCACGAACCGTATGCCGAGTTGATGATCAGATGGGCTTTACTAAAATGACGTCCATCAAAAAAAAAAGATTTTTACCCCACCCCCCCCCCCCCCTTTCTAAGGGGGAAACTATCATAAATTGTCAACCTTCTCAACTGACACGTCCATTCAGAGACACAAAAAAATTATGATTTTCTTTATAAAAATTTGAATGTTCCACAAGTCCCATCATCCACCTCTCTCCCCCTCCCCCTCCCCTTTTATTTTAAACGTAATTAAACAACGTCCTCATATTTTAAAAGCGTGCAAAAACACAATAAATGTCAATTAATGAATGAAAAATGCAGAATTTTGAAAACACAAAAATATTGCTTACCATTTGAAAAATTTGTTAATTAAAATCCAATGTGTGTGCAGAATTTGATATGTTAGTAATGAAATGAGATCACTTTTTGGTGCACCTGAGGTTTTTATTTTGTACTTTTCTTTATTTTCGACTCACAAATTAAATGAAGATTTTTTTTAAAATTTTTAAGTCAAACTATGAATTCTGAAGATGTTTTTGTGCAATTATTTTTCACAAAATTCAACAAAATTCATTTTTCATAAAATTCATTTTTCACAAAATTCATTTTTCACCGTCTTTTAACAAAAATAAATAAAGTTTAAAATAAGAACGATCAAAAGTCGCAATTCAATTCTCCCAAATGACACGACTAATATCAAAATTCAATATATTTTGACTTCTAGTAAGCACAATGTAAACAAAATATGAAGCAATCTACAAATCAAGTCTTATTTATCGTCTCGGTTGACAAAATTTTGACACACTTTTACTTTTGAGAGACGATATGGGAGAAGGGAATGACTTGAAAAAAAAATCATATTTTTGGGAGAATTATTTTTATCACTTTTTACTGAGAGCTGCTTGATTTTGATTTTGATTAGTGTTGATTTTTTTTTTTATGATTTGTGACAAGATGTTAAAGTTTGGGATTTGGTCAAGAACTGGAGTCAGGCAATATTTTGATTTTTCATGCATCACGCGAATTGCACAAGTCAGATAATTGAGACAAAATCCTTCACGGGGACTTCGGGGTGCATTTTTTGTCGTGCCGAGAAATTCGCCCCAAAGTCATCCTAAAGAAGAATTTCGTCTCGATTATCCGAATTGTTCTATTCGAGTAACATTCAGTAAATTTACAATTCTTGACAAAACTGCCAAGATGAATTTCCGAGAAGTGAATGGAATTGCGACCTTGATCGACTCTCACTCTCTGTATAGTCTAGTGTGATGTAAAATAGTAATTTACAGACGTAGAATTTTTTATCTTGAAATTATTCTTTTTGCGTTCAATATTTTTGAGGATTTTGAAGAATTCTTGCGGATTTTGTGGGATTTTTGAGGATTTTAAGGTTTATAATCGAAGACTTTCATTGACATTTGCTCAATTTATGGATAATAATTGATTAATATTTAAAAAAATCTTTAATTTAACATTTAAAATCAGAAAAAAATCACAAAATTCATCAATTTTTCACTCAAAACTTCTCAATTTCTCCACTTTTTCACCTTAAAAACTCTTAAATTCCTAAAATTTCTACAAACTTAAGTTGAAACTAAATCAACTATGTTGGCAAAATGCAAATCACGTCTTGCTTTACAAAAAAACTGAGAGAATCACAAACAAAAGTAGTCGCGACTTGAAAACAACTTTTTTTACTCTCAAAAATTGTTTAAAAAATGTTTAAATTGAGCGGATTTTCTCTCACAGCTGACTAAGCATGTTGTAAGTTTGTATGGATTCAGCTACGCGGCAGAGAAAATTATTATTTTAATTGAAGAGAAAATGAGAGAAAATTTTATATTTGAGATAAAAATTGAGATGATTTTGAGTTGGTGTATTTTGATGAAATGTCACATATTTTGCAATTTTTGAAATTTTAAAAATTGTATTTTTAATTATAATAAATTAAAATTGGCAGTTTTAATTTTTTTTGTTTTTAATCTTAACTATAAAGTCAAAAATTGAATTGATTATTTTTTTTTCAAGTGAACAAAGTTTTTATTCCAAGCTTTGAAGCTCTATTGTGGAAAGCTTCGGAAGTTTTTGAATTTTTCTTCCAACCGACTGACTGTAAAAAGCTCAAAGAATGATTTTAGATTTTTTTTTATTTTTTATGCATGCTAATTAGACATTTTAAGATCATTTATGCCAGACTACCGTCATTTCATATAACATCCGTTAAATTTGTTTTCAAAAAAATTCAATATTTTTATGACCGTTATAATATTCAAAAACTTTTGACGGTTAAACCAGATTTTAACATGCACTTACTCATTTTGCTCAAATTTTATTGTTAATAAAGTTGAGAATAAATAAAAAAAATATAAAATTAATAATTTATGAAGAACTTTGGGATTTGTTTACATAATGTAACTGGTTTTTGAAATTTGAAATTTCGGCTCTAATATCGAAGAAATCGAAATTAATTTCGAAGAAGTCCGAAACGAAATGGCGGTAGTCTGATTTATGCATTTAATTACTTATTAAACACAAGTTTATTTGTCATTTACCCCCCCCCCCCCCCCTCTACCCTCCCTACCTCCCTAACCCCGCAGGGATGAAGCCAAGAAAATTAAGTTTAATTAAGGCAATTTTTACAAATCATCCATTAGGGCTATTCATAAACAATGTATTTTACAATGGGGGGCCCCCCCTCATTCCATCTTTAGTCACAAAACTCGTATGAAGAAATTTTTTTTGAACCTTCGCAAACCTTCTGAACCCCCAAGTAGTGAGAACACCATTTTTGAACCGCTGTTTGGGACTATTTGTGCATTAGAAGCAATTTCTTGTTTCAGAATTGTAAACACTGAATCTCCCCTTGTTATTGAGGATAAGATTGAACTGCATAATCTGCTCAGCGCTTTATTAAGCGTTTAATGAATTAATTTGCAACATTTTGTTTTAAGAATTTCGGTCTTTTGAGTTTATTGGACCTAGATACCAGTTACCATCCACCCTTGTCACAACTCCTAATCCACTGATCGCTTTTTTGAGCTAACCTTCAAATCATTTTACAAGTTAAGCACCATTTGATACAAATTTATCGACTTACATTCTGAAAAGCTTGCAAAACTTTAAAATTTACCTTTTTTTCACTTTCTTCTCACGAAACTTTCTCCAATTTTTTTTTATTTCTTATTTTTTTCTAGAAAAAATATTTTTATCTTGATGATGATGACGCTGTGCTTTGCTTGACTCTTTCTTTTTTTGCTGTTCACGTTTACCCTCTCAATTGCAGCACATGTGTCCCCAGACCGACGTTTTTTTTGCTTCCCTTTTCAAATGTTTATGTTGATGATGATGAGAATTTTTTCAATATTAAAAAAATTCTAGTAAAACTGCTCTTGATAATAAAACAAGTGTGAATGTTCGATTGATTGCTTTTTTTCAATCAATTTTTCTGTGTAATTTTTTTTTATTTGCTTTCTTTGTGACTTTTTTTTCTGGTTTCGATGAAATGGTTTCTGCAGCTTCTAGGATATTTATGGGGATTATTATTGGTTACGAGAGTTGAGATTGCTTCCGGCGAATGAGTTGTTTTTGCATTTTCTTTGGGATGTCAATGATTCTTGGTCAAGTTTTTCGAGATTTTTTAAATTTTCTAATTTTTCACAAATTTATTTTGAATATTCGACCATTTATATTTTTTTTTGAAATTTTCGAAGTTTTGAACTTTTTGATTATTTTTTCAATTTTCAAATTTTTTTAATTTTTTTGAAATTTTTTTTTAAATTTTTTGAACTTTTCGAATTTTTTTAAAAATAATTTTTGTTATTTTTAAAACTTTTAATTTTTTTTAAATTATCTTTGCATTTTTTAAATTCAATTTTTGAATGTCGCAACATTAATTTCAGTCACAATAAATTCTACACCAAATTTTAATTCACATTAATAATCATCAATTATCAAAACACTTACAAAAACTAAATTAAACAAAAATTAATTAAATAAATTCAACACAAAAATCAAATAAATTTCAAGTTTCAATCAATCTTTCTCATTACACGTTCAATTTTCAACTGAAAATTGAGAATCTTAATTACAAATTTTTTATTTTTTTTTCTCATTTAAAAATTTTTGTAAGGCTTCCTTTTTTTCTGCTTCCTCCATTTCTTGTTGAGAATGGATCAAATTTGATGCTGGGTTATAAGTCCAGAAACTATAAGTCCAGAGATTATAAGTCCAGAAAATCAAAGTGATTAAAGGTTTATAAGTCCAGATACAAATTGCACCTGGACTTAAAAACCTCACGTGCAGTTTATAAGTCCAGGTACAAATACAGATGGAATTATAAACTGCACGAGAGGTTTTTAAGACCAGGTACATTTTATATCTGGACTTATAAACCTTACGTGTGGTTTATAATTCCAGAAATTTTTAGATTTTACTAATAATCTCCCAGTGCGATTATAAGTCCAGATACATTTTTCTGGACTTATAATCTTTGAAACTTATTTAACTTATTTTAAATTTTTTACTTTAAGGCAATTCTACACATGAATTTTTGAAAACTTCACACAAAGAATTCACATTTGATAATTTTTTTCCTCTGAAGTACCCTATATATCCTTTTAAGCTGCTGTATTTCATTATACCCCTTGATAATAACTTATTAAGATTTTTCATGCCTTAATCAAGGATAAATTTCAATTCTTTGGAATTAAAAATTAAAAGTCAACTAGTGTATCGGGTAGAAACCCAATGCGGATATATTTACACCGTACCATCAAAAGTCTTATGGATAGACCAAGATTTGCTCAGCATAAGTATGAAGGTATGAAGCTTGATAAGTCAGCTAAGCTTCGCTCAGCATAAGTTTGAAGGTATAAAACTAGCGAGTCAGTTGAGCTTGACTCAGCATAAGTTTGAAGTTATAAAGCTAGCGAGTCAGCTGAGCTTCGCTAAGCATATGTTTGAAGGTTTAAAGCTTAACGAACATTCTTTAAAAGTTTTTTTAAAAAAAATTTTCATCCAAAGTTTAATTTTATAAAAATCACAGTAAACTTTTTGATTTGAAAAATTCGTAAGAAAGGAAAGTTTTTTGCTTTTTCTGAAGCAACGGCTGTTCCTACCTTGCCCAAAAACAATACAGCTCTTCTATAGAGTAGTACGGTTCAAATGCAAAAAACTAGAAGTCTCTAAGATGTCTTGTTATTGAGATTTCTTGCTGATTAACTTGCATGGTTGTTTGCTTGTTTACAGAAAGCGTATTTTGCGATTTTCTCAGCAATGCCACAACCAATTTGAAATCTGTTTTTTTTTTTGCAAAAGATGTGAAATTCCAGGCATGAACTTTTCTTCTGGACATTTTAAGCTATCTTGCTCGATATCCTCACAAAATTCAAAAAACTGATTTTTCAATCTGAACAAAACCAATAGATTCACACGCGAAAACGGTGTGAACATACTTACATTTTTAACGAATCAAATTCTCAAATTATATGGATCAAAAAATTCACAAAAAATAAAGAAAAGTTCAAATGAAATGTTCATTACATTTTATCACATTTTATATAAAGTATAAAAAGGAGCGTTAATCGAAACCCAACTGGTGCTAGAGTAAAATTGAGAATGTATGAAGTCGAAAAAACTTCAGTCATCTTGGATTTTCTGATTGATTTCTTTTAAATCGCTAATTCAAAATGCTTCTAAAAGTGCTAAAAACATCAGCTGCTTCATTTAGGATTCAGTAAATATTTAGTGATAAAGATTTTTTATGATGTTCAACTTTAAGGCACCAGGTTCAATAACAGAAAATTAATAAAGAAAAAAAAATTTGAATAAGTTTCAAATAATTTTCAAAGATTATAAGTCCAGAAAAATGTATCTGGACTTATAATCGCACTGGGAGATTATTAGTAAAATTTAAAAATTTCTGGAATTATAAACCACACGTAAGGTTTATAAGTCCAGATATAAAATGTACCTGGACTTAAAAACCTCTCGTGCAGTTTATAATTCCATCTGTATTTGTACCTGGACTTATAAACTGCACGTGAGGTTTTTAAGTCCAGGTGCAATTTGTATCTGGAATTATAAACCTTTAGTCAATTTTATTTTCTGGACTTATAATTTTATGTGCACTATTTTTGTATCTGGACTTATAATCTCTGGACTTATAACCCAGCATCATCAAATTTCATAATTGCCGTCGCCGGTATAGAAGTAGTTGTTGATGGTGTTTGTTTTTCGGTAATTTGATACTTGTATTGATTTGTACGTGCTCTTTTATGTCTGTTTGTATGTAAATTGCAAAGTTTATTCACATTTTGTTGTGAGAAATGATTTTTATTGTAAATTTAATTGCAGAATTCCCGTTGATGTCGATATAACTAGGCACTGTGAACTTGAAGCACATCCGGTAATGAGCACCAAGAGCCAAGTATCAAAAACCAAGAATCAAGAATCAAGAACTAAAGAACCAAGAACCAAAGAACCAAAAACCAAAAACCAAGAACCAAGAACCAAGAACCAAGAACCAAGATCCAAGAACCAAAAACCAAGAACCAAGAACCAAGAACCAAGAACCAAGAACCAAGAACCAAGAACCAAGATCCAAGAACCAAAAACCAAGAACCAAGATCCAAGAACCAAAAACCAAGAACCAAGAACCAAGAACCAAGAACCAAGAACCAAGAACCAAGAACCAAGAATCAAGAATCAAGAACCAAGAACCTAAAAACCAAGAACCAAAGAACCAAAGAACCAAGAACCAAGAACCAAGAACCGAGAACCAAGAACCAAGAACCAAGAACCAAGAACCAAGAACCAAAGAACCAAAGAACCAAAAACCAAAGAACCAAGAACCAAGAACCAAGAACCAAGAATCAAGAATCAACAATCAACAGCATAAGTTCCTTAGCCACCCACACGTGATTTCCCATCATCCGAATGCGCACAATTTTGCACTTAAAATCTCGATCAATCATTCTGCAATCCAAACATTTCTCAAAGAATTCCAGCACAAATTTGCATTTGAACCTAAACCTGTCAAGTTTCCGTCACACAACGACAACCATTAAAAAGTTGTCAAGCACCCACACAAATCCAATTCTCAAAAAAAAGTAATTCAACATAAAGTCGACAAATATTGAAAGTGAAACTTGAGACTTTTTTCCTCATTTTTTTTTTCAAAAATATTACGCATTTCTTTGTGTCATTTACTTCTACTTCCACCTCTAACTTCATGTCGACAACAACAAATCATCTAATTCACTTTAAATCCACCATTTCGGCACCCGTACAACTGCGGATCGATCGCTCGCCAAGTGCCTATTCAACATAAAAAAAAAGGCAGCAGTTAACTTCAGTCAGTCACAAATCATCGACTTAAAATGTCACAAAATCATCCAAGAGACTCACAGTGGCTTCAACTTGACGTTTGCCTTGACTTTTTAGTCGGAAAGTGTGGAAAGTTGGGCGATTGTCAATTCGCACATCCAATGACTCACGTCGATGTTGTGGATAATAAAGTTATGGCTTGCTATGACAGCTTCAAGGGTCGATGTCGACGTGTTACGCCACCATGCAAATATTATCATCCAACACCGCCTTTAACGGAAGTTTTAGTTCAGCGTGGCAAAAATCACATTGCAATGAAGAATTCAATCCAATTTCCGCAACTTATAAGTGATGTTAGTGCCATGCAGCAGCAACAACAATTTGTAGAAGTTCCGACAACTTCAAAAAGTCAAAAAATTGAAATTGGAAGTAAAAGAAGTGCAAATGTTGTGAATAATGAACTTCCTATTGAGATGATGTACTTTAAAAGACCAACATTAGGACCAGCTACGATGGCTATGCCAATGATTCAAGTGCCATTCATACCGCAACCTGTTTATCAGCCATCAATGCCAGTTGTGCCAACTGATCGTGAGTTAATCTTTTATTATGGAATTTAGAAGAAGTTTATTAAAAGTGTCTGGAAAAATTGACATTCTATGCTCAGCTATAGCTATGCTGCTATGGATTTGAGGACTATTGAAGTGTTCATACTTCAAGTTCTGCAAGCTTTAAGCATGCAATTGCTAGTTTTTCAATAGGATCCATGCAGTGGCTGCATGGTGGTTTCCCAAATGGTCACCCTTCAGGTGCCTTCACACTTAAGTTAAACCTTCAGGTGCATTCACAGTTAAGTAACAACCTTCGGCTGCATTTAAATTTAAGCTTTAATCTTCAGATGCCTTCACACTTTAAGTACCTTTACAATTATGTTTTGTCAATTAGGTGCCTTCACACTTAATTTAAAACCTTCAGGTGCCTCCACACTTTTGCTAGTTTTTCTATAGGATCCATGCAGTGTTTCTGAGGTGTCTCCTGGAACTAACTGGACATGATTATGGATCCATTACCACCCTCAGAGACTTTATAACCTCAAAAAAAATTATTTTCAATTTGACTCATAAAAAGCTTTGTTTCTTTTCCTTTAACAACTCCTCAGTGATCAGCGATAAAATCAAATCTTACATCTTATTCCCCTTCACGTTCTTCGTTGCTTCATGTTCTTATTTACATGGTGAAGGGTTCTTTTTTCTGTTGCAACAACTTCTTGTTTCTCAAAATAATCATAAAATAAATTCTTTTTTTTTCTCTCTTTTTCTCTTCTTTTAACCTTGCTGCTTGCATGCTTGCGCGCTTTATCTGCTAAAACAAATAATAAAATTATGTATTAAATTAAAAAATAATAATAATATGCCATGTGTGTGTCATAACACAGCTAATGGGGCTATTCCGCTAAATGCTCCGTTCGTTACGTACACCGATATTAATGGACAGGTGAATTAACTCTTTACTAATTATTAGTTTAGAATTTTTTTGGTGTGTTTTTAGGTTATTTACAGGTAAAATTAAATTTGGGAGCCTTTACACTTAGTCAAGTGTTTTGAGATTCGGGAGAATTCAAACTTATGACACAACCTTCAGGTGCCTTTACACTTTTGTTAAGGCCTTCAGGTGCCTTCACACTTATGTGTTATGCTTCAGGTGCCTCCACACTTAAGTAAAAATCTTCAGATGCCTTCACATTTAATTTTCAACCTTCAGGTGCCTTCACACTTATGTATTGTGATTCAAGTGCCTCCACACTTAAGTAAAAAAAATCAAGTGCCTTCACATTTAGTTTTCAACCTTCAGGTGCCTTCACACTTATGTATTGCGATTCAGGAGCCTCCACACTTAAGTAAAAAACTTCAAGTGCCTTCACATTTAGTTTTTAACCTTCAGGTGCCTTCACACTTATGTATTGCGATTCAAGAGCCTCCATACTAATATTTTTTGGGAATCAGGTGCCTTCACACTAAAGTCAAAAAAGTTCAGGTGCCTTTACAACCTTTAGGTGCCTCCAGACTTAGGTTACGATATTTAAGTGCTTTTAAACTTATGTTATGTCATTCAGGTGCCTTCACACTTAGGTTACGATCTTTAGGTGGCTTCACACTTAGGTTACGATCTTTCGGTGCCTTCACACTTAGGTTACGATCTTTAGGTACTTCTACACTTAGGTTACGATCTTTAGGTGCCTTCAATCTTAGATTACGACCTTGAGGTGCCTTCGCACTTAGGTTACGATCTTTAAGTGCCTTCTTACTTAGGTTAGGACCTTCAGGTACCTTCACACTTAGGTAACGATCTTTAGGTGCCTTCACACTTAGGTAACGATCTTTAGGTGCCTTCACACTTAGGTAATGATCTCTAGGTGCCTTCACACTAAGGTTGAAAACTAAGGGTGCCTTCAGACAAGTGTTTTTTATTACAAATGTACCTTTAAAGTAGAACTTCATGAGTAAGGCGTCTTCACATAAGTATTTTGTGGTTCAGATGTCTTTACACTATAGCTATAAATAATTATAATTCGAGTAAAACTTCAAAAAAGAACTGATATAAGAAAGCTAGCTATGGAAATTTTGCCAATGCTGAAAAACAATTTGCTTATAATTATTTCCAAATAAATCTAAGAATAGAATTCTTTGAAAGAATTAAAATATTGACTCATTCTCAAGTTTTTTTGCTACATCGTCTTCTTGTAAGGACCAATTCTTCAGGTTAATTACCTCTCAGTCAAGCCTTTTTTAAATAATTTAATCCTTTTAATTTTAATTAAACACGTTTTAAAAATAACTCAGACGAGTGAATAAGTTGAAGATGTTTTTTACTAATTGAATCATATTTCCTTCTAATGGTGTAAACATCTTGACATTGGCTGGAGATTAATCTGTACCTTTTTAGAAAAAACAATTTGCTAAGTTGTTAGGTTGGATGTGGAATTTTCTGAGAAAATGTTTTAAGTTAATTATTTTTCGCGTGATAAAAAAGATGATTAATTAAATTTTTAATTGAATTATTTTTTATTTATCTTAATTTAGATTTTGGATAACTTGCCAGTGTGTCAGGACTTTAACCGAAATATGTGTACGAGAATAAATTGTAAATTTGTTCATCTTTTGGATCGTAAGTTGCAATTTTGAATTTTTCGACGTTTTTTAAATTATTTTTTTATTATTTTGGATTATTTGAATTATTTTGAAATTTTCGTTTTTTTAAGTTTTACTTTTTTTAAAGTTTTCAAAATTTTGAATTTTTTAAAAAAGTTCAAAAGTTGAAAAATTTTGAAATTTTTAAAAAATGCAATAGTTTTTAAAATTTTGAAATTTTTAAATAAGTTCAAAAATTAAAAAATTTTGAAATTTTAAAAAAAATGTTAATCTTCAAAATTTTGAAATTTTTTAAAAAGTTCAAAAGTTAAAAAATTTTGAAATTTTAAAAAAATTTTAGTCTTCAAAATTTTGAAATTTTTAAAAAAATTCAAAGGTTAAAAAAATTCAAAAGTAAAAATCTTTATCAAAAATTAAAAGTAAACGCAGAAAAAATTAATAAGTTAAAAAAAATTAAATTTCAAACTTTACAATCTCTGAAATTTCAGCAAAGAAGCTAGAAATTCATGAGCATCGAGTTGCAGTTTGTCGTGATCATGCAAATGGAATTTGCCGCCGTCAGCAATGCAAATATTATCACATACCAATTCAACTACCACCAGCAACTCATATGCTGTCATCTATTCATGGTCCATGAAATTGGATGTACGGATCGACTATCTACACGGTCGATTAATGAAATTCATTCATTTTAAACTAAAATAGATTCAGAATTATAAATAAAGTTCAAAGTTATCTTGAAAAAATTTAATTAAAATTTGTTTCATCATTCAACCTTCAAAAAATTTCTAATCTCACGAAAATTAACTCAACGACAGTAATTTCTTAATTATAAAGACGTAATGCTAAGTAAATTCGCATTCCAACCTCAATTCCACAGATCCTTGAAAATCTGAATGCCAAATTAACTTTGAATCTCGCGCTTATTTTATTCTTCGTCTCTTCATTCAAGGGAAAAAAATGAAAATTTTATTTTTCGCCCCGCATTTCATTTTTCCACAACGAAACGTTTCACATTAAATCATCGTCGTTCTTCTTCGCGTTCCTAATTTAATCAGTAAGTCATTTGTTTGTTTACTGTTATTATAATGTGAGAATGTACAAATATAAGCAGATTACAGATGGATAAATTATGGGATGGGGAAGGAAGGGGAGCAGAAGTGGATGGGAAAATTAAAAAAAAAACTCAGGAAAAATTTTTGAAAAAATTGGAAAATTTTATTTAAAATTTGGTGAAAAATCCTTGGAAAATTGAGAAAAATTTGGAAAATTTGCTGAAAACTTTGGAAAAACTATGAAAAACTTTGCAAAACTGAGGAAAACTTTATGGAAAATGGAGAAAAACACATGGAAAATTGGTGAAAACTTGTAGAAAATTGGTGAAAACTTTTGGAAAATTGGTGGAAACTCTTGAAAAATTGAGGAAAACTTTTGAAAACTGAGGAAAATTTTATTTGAAATGGAAAAAAACTTTCAGAAAACTGAGGAAAATTTAATGGAAAATTGAGAAAAACTTTTGGAACACCAAGGAAAATTTAACGAAAAACTGAGAAAAACTTTGGAAAACAGGAATTTTTATGGAAAATTGGTGAAAACTCTTGGAAAATTGAGAAAAACTTTTGGAAAGTTGAGGGAAAATTTTCGAAGCTTTAGGAAAACATTTTGACTCATTCTAACAAAAGCATAGACCTTCCTCATCCTCTAAATCTCAGACGTCATAAGTGAACGACCCCAAATTGTATATTTAAACAAATTTTCCAAACAATTGCATCCCCAACAGCATTATCCACCCTTAAATTGATGAAATTATCCACCGTCACATCTAAAACTCGCATCTTCATCATCGTTAAAAATAACCTACGAGATAACCTCATACATACAACAGCGAACGTCACATTAAAAAGCAGCCGCAGTATTTCTTTCATAGCATCACTAATAATAGCAGCGAAGCACCAACATTGCGAATTAATGTGAAATAAATAAAACTGAATAATTATAATCGCAAGCAATCTCACCCACGCAACTAAACTTGATTTGTTTTTCAATGAAATTACGTGAATGATGTTGAGATTGAAATATATAAAGTTTAAATTGAGTTGTTTGTATTTTTAGAGTAATGAGACTTTCAGTTTTAGAATTATCCGAGAGCAGATGATTTTCGTATTACTTGATGAGATTTGGTGGGTTGATGATAATGTCAATGTTGAATTATGTGATTTATAACTTAAAAGTCAAATTAATTGGATGGCAGTTATGCTAAAAGGCGCTAACCATGTTTTATTAATTAAAAATATGTTTTTGACTTTTAACCTTAAATTTCTTGATGCAATTTTACTCTTGCCACTTTTTTAATTGATAATATCAAAGATTTGATAGAGAAAAGTTTAAATAACAGCAAAAAAATTGATAAAAACATTTCGAGGTGAGAAAAAATGACCGCCATTTTGAATATTTCTCCCAAATTAATTTTTTATTAAATATTAGACAAATTGATAGATCTATTCATGCTAAATTGAAATGATTCCAAGCATTAAACTCAACAAAGTTGATTTTCCTCATGACTCGTACTCAAAACCCATAAATTCAAGACAAATGGCGACAATTTTTCAAATATAACATTTTATTTCACTCAAAATTACAATTTTTTTTTTTTACATTTGTAAAACCATACCAATCCAAATTTCTAATCTAGATACTTAGTCATAGATTAGATTTGATTGTATGATTTTTATTGACCAAATCTGGTTGGATATAATTAACAAGAAATTATTTGTTGGACATACAATACATAATGATAAATTGAAGCACAAGCTAAGAAAATATATACGAATAATTTTTGTAACGGATAAAATTATTTTAAAATAAATGCTTGTTCTAAGATGTACTAAAAAAACATGTAAATATTGAAAAGTGAAAAACAGTGAAATGTATAATTAACTCGTGATGAAAAGAATCGCTTGGACAAGGGACGCTGCAGAAGTCATCTGTTGATGGTTTGGTGATAATTACATGGATTATGAGTTCAGATATGTTGACTTTGAGAAAAACATAAAAAACAGGACTTTTCGCGATATGTTTGAGGCTGGATTCTTTCTGTAAATCCTTATCTCTTTTCTTTTAGGATCTACAGCTTAATGACGCTTGGGATGAAGCAGTTGTCAACATCGTTCGATCCTTAAAAGATTTTATTTTTGTCAGCCATTTGTCGTGGTGAGATTAATGTATCCGTTTTAGTCAACAAGAAGTGCTTAATTTCAGCTTTAAAGCTATCCAGATTGTTAATAGCCTTTAATTTCAGCGGTAAGCTATTATATATTGATGATCCCAGTGCTGTCATATCATTTTTCATAAATTTTGTTGCGTAATTTGCTATTTTTATATTTTTCAGGCGATCTGATTGCAATAATTCAAATTTCACCAACGTATCATCATGAGAGAGCAATGATTTCTTGACAGCAATCAGGCATGAGTAGAAAAGAAGTCCCATAACTGGCAAAATCCTTGGAGCGACTTGTTTGAATAGAGCTGAAGTTGAAAAGTCTAAAGGCAGGCCAAAAATTAGTTTGAGGCATCGATTCTGAAGGACTTTCAATGATTGAAATTCAGTGACAATTCACATTCAATGACCACCACAAAATCATCTCAAATCCCTTTAAACCCCATAAATCTGCTTCAACTCTTCCACTTAACTTTATCTCTCTTCATAAACGAGAAATCCGTCCCATGTGAATTCTATCTACAGCACTCTCCTCCCACCACTCATCTCATAAAACAAACTATCGCTCTTCTCCTAATAAATGAGATAGTAAATTAAATTTTTAGAACTTGCCATTTTGTGACACAATAAAATAATCATAGATCGATGATGACGACGATGATGACCTTCTTTAATTCCACAGATTAGTTTACTAGCAGATGCTGAATGTGCTTTTGTGGGTCAACGGGGCAATTGAATTAGTTTTAATAGTGTTAAGATTATTGGCTGAGTGAGAAAATCGCACGCAATTTTATTATTGAATTTCATATTGAATTAAGGACTTTGATTGATTGGATCAGTAAAAATGTAAGTCAGGCATTGAAAATGCTCAGATTTTGCACTCATAACTGAGCACCTGTAACGAATATTTCCCACTAAACTCCCACGCAAAATGAAAAATTCATGTAATCTCTTTAAAAAACCCTCTTATGATTGCCTTTACAATCCTACAGACATGTTCTTTACAGAAAGAAATCAGCAGCAAATGTAAAGCGACATAAAAAGATCCTTTTTTGATGTCCTCAGGTGTACATCTGTGAAAACATGAGAGCTTACCACTGAGGGAAAACGGAAGATACATGGAGATTGTCAATATCGTTTCTTGAAAAAGCCACAAAGAATGTACGAGAAATGTAATTGTGGAAAGTAGGAAGAAAGGTTGTTGTCCTGGCATTTTCATTCATAATTTTGTTGCTTTGGATTTGAAGGATGTATTTTTGCGCCTTTTTAACGACTGTTCTAAAGCAGGGGCTCCTTCATGTCAAAAACCTAATGCAAAGGCACCTGAACCTCGAAAATTCTTATGTAAACGCACCGTAATCTAAAACCACAGTGTGAAGGCATAAATTTTAATGTTGAGCCGCCTGAACCTTGAAAGTCTAGTGTGAACTCACATTAACTACAAAAAACTATTGAAAAGTCATCTGAACCACAAAAAATCTATTATAAAGGCACCTGAATCTCCTGAAATCAATGTTAATGCTCCTGAATTACTACTGAATAGTGAGAAGACACCTGAAACTCTACTGAATCGTGTGAAGACAGCTGAACCTTTACTGTGTAGTGTGAAGGCACCTGAAACTCTACTGGATAGTATGAAAGCACCTGAAAATCTACTAAATAGTGTGAAGTCATCAGAAGCTTTACTGGATAGTGTAAAGGCACCTGAAACTTTACTGGATAGTGTGAAGACAGCTGAAACTTTACTGTGTAGTGTGAAGGCACCTGAAACTCTACTGGATAGTGTGAATACAGCTGAACCTCTGTTGTGTAGTGTGAAGGCACCTGAAACTTTACTGAATAGTGTGAAGACACCTTTAACTCTACTGGATAGTGTGAAGGCACTTGAAACTCTACTGAATAGTGTGAAGACGGCTGAACCTTTACTGTTTAGTGTGAAGGCACCTAAAACTCTACTGGAAAGTGTGAAGACAGCTGAAACTTTACTGTGTACTGTGAAGGCACCTGAAACTCTACTGGATAGTATGAAGGCACCTGAAACTTTACTGGATAGTGTGAAGACAGCTGAACCTTTACTGTGTAGTGTAAGGCACCTGAAACTCTACTGGAAAGTGTGAAGACAGCTGAAACTTTACTGTGTACTGTGAAGGCACCTGAAACTCTACTGGATAGTATGAAGGCACCTGAAACTTTACTGGATAGTGTGAAGACAGCTGAACCTTTGCTGTGTAGTGTGAAGGCACCTGAAACTTTACTGAATAGTGCGAAGGCACCTGAACCACAAATTTGCACTATTAAATCATTAGAACTTAAAATCTCGACCATTAAACTTCCCGTATCTCCCATTCTTACAAAATATCCTCAATCAATAATTCTAAACATCAGAAAAACAAGAGGAAACATAAACTTTTTCTCATAAAAAAAAGACTCACAACTGTCATCATAATTTTCATCATCCGCTCCATTGATTTTTTTTAAAGATATAAAATTCAAAACACGGAAAATTGTTGAGGAAGTTTTCGATGAAAAACAGGAAAAGAACACAGAAATTGTAAAAAGAAAAATATTTTATGATATCACGGCAATTGGAGAAGATTTGATGACATGAAGCTAATCAGATGGCAAATCAGATAAATGTAGGACATTGGATAAGATTTAGAGACGTTTTTTATGGTGTTTATGTTGAGTGTTATTAGGTAGAATGATGTTTTTGAGTTAATGTGGATGATACGGTTGGAATTTGGGATGAGGGTTGATTTTGAATTGTTTTATATCTTAATTATTGAGCTGCTGCTGAAGGAAACTTTAATTTTAGAGGAAATTGAATTTGTTTTAGAATTTTTATTGATAGAATTAAGTAAAGAAATGTTAAAATTATATAATTGATATTTCTAGAACCTATTCAAAGCACGTAAAGGATCAAAAAACTTGAATGTTTTGCAACAATGTGATAACCAATTTTTCATTGATTTCTAAATTTTTAAGTGGAATTTCTTTATCAAACCTTTTTTATTCGTCTCTTGCCATCTTTTTCTATAGATAAACAATTAGTGTTCGTGCAAATTCGACTGATTAGTCTTAAAATAAGAGCAAATACTTTTTGAAGTGGAACAAAATGGCCGAAATTTTGTTTTAAAACCTTAAATTGTTATGATTTGAAATGTTCAATTGTTTGAAATGAATAGAACTCAAATTCAGTATTTTTCAAACATTCCAAGCCGGATAATTCTATAAAAAATAATCTCATTCATAAAAAGCTCACGAAACAAGTTTAACCAACCATAAAAAACATTCCGCAAATTTTTTAATATTCTACAAACTTTATTTTCCAAACAAAAGTTTTTCTTACTCAAAAATCAACAAAAAAATTTCCACGAAAAGATTTTTTGATTTTTTTTCACAGAAAAGAGAAAGAAAAAAAAACAAAAAAAATTCCACAACACATTTTCGATTACACAATGTTTACAAAATCTTAGAAATGCGCCTACAACAGCATGCATGTGCTGAATCAACGCGCATGCTCAACGAAAACTGATAAAAGCAAAACATTTTGAGAGTTTAAGGGGAAAAATTCCACGAGGGTTGAGAAACTCGTTAAAAATGAGAGCAAAAATTCTCAATTGGGGTTAGTGGATGTCTCAACTGAAATGTTCGATAAGTGACGACGAGCAGGCCAAAGAAATAAGAACGAAAAATTTCCATCGCGAAAAATTTTCATCAAATTTTGTGGAAATTTTATCAAATTTCACACAAAAAATTGCACCAAAATGTGCACAAAGTCACGTCACACGAGATTATTTACGGCAAATTTGAGTTTTTAGTCGCGATTGTGTGAAATTTTTAAGGTGAAAAAATTGATGAAAAAAATTTATTCTTTTTTTTTGTGAGAGAAAAAAATTTTTTTGAGAGCTTTTAAGGATGAAAAAAAATTTTTGATGTTAAAAATTTTATTTAACTCAAAACACGGCAGCTGAACGGATGTGAAAATTTGTAATTAAAAAGTGAAAATTTGTGAAAAAATTGAAAGTTTATAAAAATTGCCAAACGATTGACATTTTAGCCAACATAATGTAATCTGCAATGACATTGTCGTGTCCAGTGAAGATATTTTGTGAATATTTAATAGAAATTTAACAAGATTGTGGATATTTTGTGAAAAAAAGTGACAAAAATTCATCAAATTTCACAATTTCATGAAATTATCCACAACTTAATCCCTCAAAATATCAAAAATAATGAAAAATTCACACAAAAAATTGTGAAAAAAATTGAAAAAAAGTCAAAAAGAGAACAAGAAAAAATATTGAACGTGGAAAAAAAGAGATTGAAAAAGTTTTTTGTGAGCAATTTTGGAGTGCACGATGCGAGAAATAAAGGAATTAAGTCAAAGAGAAGAGTCCAGTTGGATTAATGGGGAAGTTTGATGTGAAATTCGTCAGAAAATACAGTTTAAAGTTGGGAATTTGTGGCAAATTCTGTGTAATTTGGTTCGTTTTTAAATGTTTTCTAGTTTTTTGCTGTCAATTTTTAAACTTTAAGTGTCAATTTTTGAACTTTTCTAAACATACATCATGTTAAAGCCATCAAAACCAATCAAAATCAGTTTTGCAATCCAAGCACCAGTGAACAGATGAAAACCATACAATTTCTTGGAATTTGTGAGGTTTTCTTAGAATTTGTATGGTTTTATTAAAAAAAACTTTTAAATTTTCAAGGAATTGTACGGTTCTCAACTGTGCATAGATTCTTGTATCGCAACCCTGGTCAAAATTCATCAAATATCTTCAGTTCTGACCTCTACCCTCCCTCCCCCCCCCCCCCCCCAGTAACCCCTCAATACCCCCCAGTAACCCCTCAACACCCCCCATACACCCCAAAACACCACCAATAAATCAACAATTTATTCACAAAATGCAATCGACAATCCAAAAACCCAAAACACATGTTCGATATCCAAAAATAGAAATAATTGAGTTGCGTGTACCTGTTTAAGTATATTCTGATAAGGTCTATGACACATGCTTTATATTTACCAGTATCGAGATACAGAAAAAGATAAATTTTAGAACAAGCCGAAGAAAAAAAAAATGTGTATTCGGGTGATTAAATTTAGTCAATAATTAATGCCATGGTTGGGTTAATAACAGTCATGTGGATGGGAATTTGAATGGGAAATGAGAAAATTTTGATAAGATGTTGTGGATTTGGCTGATTTTTGGTGTTTATTCAAGAAATATTTTCACACTTTGAAGATATTTTAATCATTTTGGTGTAATTTTGAAGAGTTAATATGGAGAATTGGATGCTGAAAGGGGTTAAGTAGGGGATTATTGAGATTAGTAGAAGCTAATGGTAGATTACCAAAGCTGAAGGGAGCTATAAGGTTCCAACAGAGACTAATGAGAGCTAAAGAGGACTTATTGGAGCTTACCAATGCTAATCGACGCTATAAGGCTCTTACAGGTTCCAACAGAGACTAATGAGAGATAATAGAAGCAAATGGAGACCAAACAGGGTTAAAGAGGACTAATTGAAGCCTACTAATGCTAATGGAAGCTATAAGGCTCTTACATGAATCAACAGAGACTAAGGAGAGCTAATAGAAGCAAACAGAGAGTTAGCGTGGCTTAAAAAGACTAGTTTTGATTAACAGGGTCTAAAACAAGCTAAAAGAGGGATGATAAGAGCTAGTGTAGACTTAAAAGAGTTTTAGAAAGCTAGTAGAAGCTTGAATCGATTAATTGGTGCTAACGAAGATTAATGAGATTTAAGGGCTGGTTTTGATTGAGAGGAACTAGTGGGAATATTGGGTGTGAATGGGAGCTCTTAAGGACCACCAGGAGTTATCAGAAGCTAACAAGACTAACCCGAACGCACAGTTTGAGTTCAATTAAACCAGAGTTGTTCAAACTATTTGAGCCACGGCACACCTTAAGGGTAAGCCATAGCATGCGGTCTATTTAAAAAAAAATTCTACAGCACACAGTTTGGACAAAACTGAATTAAACTTTCATAACCTCAATCGAAAATTACACATCTCGATCAACTTCAATTAAATATTTCATTTCCTTTTGACCAAAAAGGTGTTCATTAAAAATATGTCACAATCTACCAATCAACCAATGTGGCAAGTCAAGAATCTGACAGTAATTTAGGTGCAAGACATGAGAATTTCGCTCATAAATTTTTGATTAATTTTTAAAACCTTTCATTCATGTCTGTTCGTACTGTATGATTTATTTGTCGAACTTGTAATAACTTCATTCATTATTGATCTATTGGAACTTACTTGAAAGTTTTCCACTTAAAAGTCTTGTTCGATGTTCGAAAGTTTTACATGAGGATTGTCCTGCTTGATAAGAATCTCTTTCAATTTTAGTCTTGGACAGCAAAAAGTTCCATAAAACAATTCCAAAAATGATCCAATTTCAATTCTTTTTATTTTCTTTATTTTCTTGGATTCAATTCAAATTTTTCTTCTTAATTTCAATAAAAAAAAAACTTATTTTTGTTCTGTCGGACATGAAATGAAGGCCTTAAGAAGAAAAGGAGTCGGTCTGCATGTTGCGTTAATCATGAAAATATGATTTTTATGCTAAAAACTTTGATTCAATTAAATCAAATGGAATTTGTGGTTGTGAATTGAAATTGGAGTTGATAAGGCTGCGATTTGTTGGGCTTTTGAGGTTAGGTTTGTGATTTTCTGGGGTGAATTGGAAATTTACAATATGGAATTGAATGACAGGGATTTGAGGGCACTTAATTAAGCATTGAGACAGTTTCGTAGCCAAGGAGGAATTTTTAAGGGTTAAAAGCCCTCCCCCCCCCCCCCCCATTTTTGAAAAAACCTTAAATTTGTAAGGACTTTTTCGAAAGAAATTTCAAAAAAAAAAACTCAAAATTTTCCCTTCCATGCAAAAAAAAATCAAACTCCCATTAAGACATTACTGTCTCCACAGAGTGCTCCAAGAGCCAAAGTACCTCCACTTAGGCACAGATAACTTGAATTTATATATGAAAGT